CCGTTGCTCCGGTGTACATAAATGGGACGGGAAAAGCGTCTCCTGTGCGCCGTTTGGTCTTCAGAGATAAACGAGGCGTGATTGGGAGTGAGGACGCGGGGAATGGGTTGGGCAGTAGCCAAGTGTGGGTGCAGTTCGGAATGTTAAGTTGACCCCACATGCAGCTACACTGCCACCCGTGTGTGTGATGATTTCCGCTCATGGCCACCAACACCAGTGACGATTATCTGAACCGGGTCCTGAGCCTCCCCGTAGGTCGACTCAGCCTCAAATGAGTACCTGGTGTGGTGTGTAAACATTGCGACTAGGGAGACAAAGGCGGTCTGGTGTGGTGCTGGCCAACCCCCCCCCCCCTCATGCACCATGCTGACGTTCATTCATAGGTGCACGCTGACAGTCTGGTAGAGGCTATATGGGGGGTCATTGGCTTTAGCATAGCTGCAATGCATTGTTCGTGACAGATCGTTTGAATGTATATTTTTTTCTCTCCCCGTGCAGACACCAGCCAGTCTTCACCACACATTACTATACATGTGACAGTGCTGGGATTTGACACACAGAATCAGAATATTTATTTATTCTGGAGGAATCGTTTTCGCAGATGTCTAGTCGGGATGGGTCAGAACGTTACAACAACAAACAGTACAACAACACGCTAGGAGTGCAAAGTATAGGAAAGGTTGGCAAATCACGAACAAAATACAAATAGAACGAAACTATATGTTTTATTTCAACAGGATACATCCCACTGAGCTATGAGCTTCTTTTGCAGATGCAACCTGGCCACAAATGATAGCTCAACGAAGTTGCTGATCATATGGAAATTGATATCAGCCAAATAATCTAAATAACATAATCTAAACGCATGTTTCTCAATGTGGAGGGAAAAACCGGAGGACCTGGAGAAAAAATCTACACGGCCAAATAATCCACACTTGAAGAGCACACGTGGTGTGGGGCTGTTCAAGGACCCCAATCGCATTACACTTCAAAAACGTATCTCAATATGTATTACTGCTATCGTATGTATTTGTGATTTTTTTTTATCTCATTGCCATTTATTGAAAGTGTGTAATTTGTATCAATTGCTCTGCGATGATGAGACGCATGTTTATTTGATTGTAAGCTACGTGTAGTATAATGTAGCTAAATGCATAATGTAGTGTAGCTTTAGAAGAGCTTGGCTATAACATCAGACAACCCAACTTATTTAGTCTCACAGGCTTTCTTTATATCCCCACTTCTCCCACTTTTGCAGGATTTGTTTTATCTTCATCGCTGTCATAAAGCTGCCACAATTCCTTTCCTATTTCTGCTGCCGAGACTACATTTCAATCTGTTGTCTTGCATCATGTGTCCTCCCGTAACTCTCTCGTCTACGGACTCTACTAAGTTAAAAATCCTGCCGTTAGACTTCTGACTCGTACCCATATGTGAGATCACATACGATCAATTTACAAATCTCTTCACTGACTCCCAATTCGAGCTCAAATCAGTTAAACAATCACCCTCACTGTTTACATAATTCTCAATTGTCCCACTCTGGCCGATCGCTCTCCTCTCATGTGACTATAGTCTCTTGTTCTTACACTTTGCCCGAGCAATCCAGGCTTCTTGGCCAAACTCAAAATAAACTTACAATCTGTGGCAGGTCATTTGCTGCCCCTTATGATAGTAATTCTCTCCCCTGAATGTAGGCACTGTTAGTACCCACCCCCTCTTTAAGCGCAGACTTGACAAATCTCCTCTCTGCGCTCCTTAACTAATGTCCTCATAACAATCTCCCTAAAATTCTCACCCCTTTGCGCCTCCATCACCATATAAATCATAACGCCTGCCATTCTTCCCCTGCCTGATTGCTTAAGGGAGAGATGTAGTCGCCTCAATCACCACACATCGCACTGCAATTCACCATTTGTGTGGCTCATGGTGTGTCGCAACACTGCTCAATCTGTCCAATTTGTATTTTCATATTCCTTTTATTGTCTGAATGTTCAGCTTATACATACAACTTATTCAGACGCTTACGAATTTATACAATCAAATTATTATTAATAATTACAGAATGTGCCTGTTTCAATAAACGGTTCTATAAACCTTTGGTATAGAAGGCACATACAGTGAGGGAAAAAAGTATTTGATCCCCTGCTGATTTTGTACGTTTGCCCACTGACAAAGAAATGATCAGTCTATAATTTAATGGTAGGTTTATTTGAACAGTGAGAGACAGAATAACAACAAAAAAAATCCAGAAAAACGCATGTCAAAAATGTGAGACACTGCTTAACCAATACATACTTCACTTGGAATGGAACTTTCTTCAAACAAACTGAGGGCACCCTAATGGGCCCCCCCCTATCTCTGGTTGTAGCCAACATTTTCATGGTATTGTTTCACCTGAAGACGATTGCTTGTGTTGTGATCGAAACGTCGTGATCTATTAGTTATTTTTCTATCTACGTGACTTTACCGAAAGAACCAAAGAATATGTTGATTTGAAGCTGTCGTGACTGCCAGAATCCATACTGTCTACTTCAGCAGTTATTTCTTGCTGTGGTTGTCCCACCTGATGACGATTGCTTGTGTTGCGATCGAAACGTCGTGATCTATTATTTTTCTACCTATGTGACTTTACCAAAATAACCAAGAATATAATATATGCATTGTCTTTGAAACTGATTGGTCCACACCAAAGACTGCTTTATTTTGAGCCTAGTCTCAAAACAGTGTTAGACCAGAGGACGCCAAAAGGCGTACAGCCCAAAGACAATGCCACTATCAGAGTAATGAGGGCTCGGGGTGAGAATCTACATCATGGGACCTCCTTTGCCATTACCAAAATATGAGAATAGGTTTTCCCCTTTTTTTCTGGCATTAACCACAATACATTCTGACCACAAGTATTGTGGTTAATGCAAACATGATTCCTTGTAAAAGGTTTCAGTTTGGTGTTTTAACATCTTAACACCTGTTCTGTTGCCAGAAAAAAGGGGAAACCTATTCTCATATATTGCAATACTTCTTGTTATTTTGGTTGCAGACCCCTGACCAAGGAAGTGAAGTTTACCATGGGAGTCCAATTCACCATGGAAGTGAATTTAAGTGAAGTTTACCACGGGAGTCCAGTTCACATGGAAGTTAAGTTTACCATGGAAGTGAAGTTTACCATAGAAGTCCAGTTCACCATAGGAGTTAAGTTTACCATGGGAGTCCAGTTCACCATGGAAGTGAATTTAAGTGAAGCTTACCACGGGAGTCCAGTTCACATGGAAGTTAAGTTTACCATGGAAGTGAAGTTTACCATGGAAGTCCAGTTCACCATAGGAGTTAAGTTTACCATGGGAGTACAGTTCACCATGGAAGTGAATTTAAGTGAAGTTTACCACGGGAGTCCAGTTCACATGGAAGTTAAGTTTACCATGGAAGTGAAGTTTACCATAGAAGTCCAGTTCACCATAGGAGTTAAGTTTACCATGGGAGTCCAGTTCACCATGGAAGTGAATTTAAGTGAAGTTTACCACGGGAGTCCAGTTCACATGGAAGTTAAGTTTACCATGGAAGTGAAGTTTACCATGGAAGTCCAGTTCACCATAGGAGTTAAGTTTACCATGGGAGTACAGTTCACCATGGAAGTGAAGTTAAGTGAAGTTTACCACGGGAGTCCAGTTCACATGGAAGTGAAGTTTACCATGGAAGTGAAGTTTACCATGGAAGTCCAGTTCACCATAGCATTTAAGTTTATCATGGGAGTACAGTACACCATGGAAGTGAATTTTACCATGGGAGTACAGTTCACCATGGAAGTGAATTTTACCATGGGAGTACAGTTCACCATGGAAGTGAAATTCACCATGGGGAGTCAAGTTCACCATGGACAGGGGTCGGCATGCGGCTCGCCAGGGCTGTTTCGTGACAGTATTTATTGAGGACCACCACCAACAAACCACCACCGTCTTGCGTTGACACGCATTGCGGCTCCTGAAAGTTTTTTTTATCCTCCTCTCACTACCGAATTACGATAAAAAGACGTCTCTCGTTGTGTTGGTGACCGACTCGAGGACTAATCGACGTTTCGCAACCGCCCAAAGGTCGCGACTCAAGACCGTAAACGTTGTGGCTTTCGATTTAAAGCTTTCGTGACTGCAGGGATTCATCTTCTTGGTTCTTTCGGTAAAGTCACGTAGAATGGAAATAGTAAAATAATAAAAATAAAAATATTAAAATAAATTTCTCACGACGTTTCGGCCACAACACAAGTAGCCTTCTTCAGGTGGAGAAACAGCGCTTGTCTTACCATGGGAGTACAGTTCACCATGGAAAGGCTACTTGTGTTGTGGCCGAAACGTCGTGAGAATTTTATTTTATCATGTTTTATTTTTATTATTTTATTTCCATTCTACGTGACTTTACCGAAATAACCAAGAAGATGTTGTGGCTTTGCTTTCCAACACACAACCAGTGTCGCTGTACAAGTTACGAATTGGCAACGTTCTGTTTACGTGACGAACCTTACGAATTGGCTGTGTTGGGTGGTGGTGGCGGGTTTAGCGAGACACATTTATATTTTTACGCGATATAACCCCAATAAAAAAGAACCCCACTTGTATGTTACGAACCGCCCAATTTTGATTTAAAGTTTTCGTGACTGCAGGGATTCATATTCTTGGTTCTTTCGGTAAAGTCACCAAGTAGAAGGGAAACAATAAAATAATAAAAATATAAAACAATAAAATTCTCACGACGTTTTGACTGCAACACAAGCAATCATCATCAGGTGTGAAAACCACAGCAAGAACATTTTTATTACTTTATTGTTTCCCTTCTACGTGACTTTACCGAAAGAACCAATAATATGAACCGCCCAATGTTTACCAAAATAATCACCAAACCCCGTCAGCGGCCGCGTTAGTTTCCCTACAACGCACAAGCGGCGCTCTTCGTTTACTCGCCCTCGATTGGCTCGCGCGTCGTTACACGGGTCCCCGGTGGCCAATCGCGGCGCGCGACCGCCCCGGCGCTGCTTGTGCGTGGGAGCAAATCGAATGAGCGTTGTGAAGGATCGTGTAGACGGGGAAGGGCCCCGGGGGTGAACTCCCTAGACCCGCTCGGCTCGAGACGCCCACGCTCCAAGGCGCCTTTACACCATGGAAGCCGAAGCGTTTGATCGCACATAGAACCTACGGGCGTTCCAGGAGTTGCTGCCGAGGTAAGAGGGTGTTCAATCGGGCGACCGAGTTGGGGTTGAGTTTGGGGCCTACACCGCTGTGGGCTAGCCGGCCTCTACCGCGCACGGCTCGTCCTCCCCGGTAGGGCGGCCGGGGCGGCCTGGGGTGGAGGTCACTCAACTACCTCCACTGTGGCTTTACAGTCTTTAATTCTGGTATTTTTTGTTAATTTTGTTTGATTATTGACTTGTTATCGCGTTGATGCGTGCTGTACGGTAGATTGTGTGTGTTTGTGGTGTAGCGAATGACAGAGGCACGCCCTGTCTGGTGGAACTGAAATCCTTGGCTTTCGTTTTCGGTACAGTGATGTAATTTATTTATGTAATAATGTTTATAAATTAAATATTCAGTAGCGCTCGGATGTTATTCTGACAACAGGGTTCTGGATTTACACGTTTGCCGTATTATTTAGCAAGGCGTTTTCCGCATATTTAGTTTGTGCAACTTACAGCCCAGGTACTGCCGCATGCACTGGCTACAAAATTACGTGCGGTGTGTTTTTTTGCTCGTTAAACAATTCCCTTTTCACCGTAGCTGCGTGTGTAGAGTTTCCTTTTTGGGCAGCCTGCCACTGTGATTGTCGAAACCCGACAGGGACATCCGGATGAGCTGCAGAGCGCAGCAATTGATTGACAGAATCGGACACTTTGTGACGGTGTTTAATGCCCCTGAAGGCGTCTCTGCTACAAAACAAACATTTTAGATGCTTCGCTCGCTTGGTCTTCCAACAACACTTCTCGGACTCATGATCACAACTGCCCGCTCCGGTTCGTCTCAAGTGGGGATCGTACACAGCACCTCGGGCATTATTTGTTGCCAACATCTCGTGCGAAAAAGAGGAACACCGCTTTTTGTTGACGATGCCAAACTTGAGCACTGCACTGTATTGTCTAGGCAAGAGAAAAGTGCCTTTGATTTGTTTTAAATGCAGTGTTGCTCATGATGCTCGCTAGTGTAAATATGACACGTAATTTATGGTGCACTAGCTGTACTACCCGGCTTCGCCCGGGACTTGGATTCACCACGGGCGGCCGCCTTTGTCTCCCCAGTGGCGATGTTCACACACCACAGCAGTTACTCGTTTGAGGCTGAGTCGACCTAGGGGAGGCCCAGGACCGGTTAAAATAATCGTCACCGGTGGTGGCCGTGAGCGGGAATCGAACTCGGGTCGTCGGGTTCGTAGCGCGGCGCGCTAACCGCTACACTACAATGTGTTACGCTTCCACACGCACAGACACACACACAGACACACACACACAGACACACACACAGACAGATTACACACACACACAGCGCGCTGACCACTACACTACAATGCGTTACACTTCCACACACACACAGATTACACACACACACAGATTACACACACACAGATTACACACACACACAGCGCGCTAACCCCTACACTATAATGCGTTACACTTCCACATGCTCGGGTCACGTGACAGATTTGACGTCACAGCTCACTTGCCGTGCAAAAAAAATGCATTATTGAGCTCCCCCCCCCCCCCAAAAAAAAGTCTATTTTAATAATTTTTGCATGGTGTACAGTCTGGAAAGTACCCACATGGCAAATTTCAAGTTTGTTACATGTCGGGAAGTACACTAAACATTTTGAACAGACATTCACAACTTTGCCTTTTATATATATGGAGATGTATATGTCACTTAAGTTCTTGAAAACGCTCGTGAATGCAGAAACCCAGTTTACAATGGGGAAAGATTTGGTTACCTTCCTGGTACGAGTGAACATAGGGGGGAAATGGTAACTGTTTCACAACAATAACTACAATAAATAAGTAATAAATAACAACATGTTTAATTTTTATTTAAAGCTTTCGTGACTGCAGGGAAAGAACCAAGAATAATAACAACATGTTTATTTTGTATTACCCGTGATGACGATTTGACGACGATGGAGGTGGTGGTGAGGCATTCAGGAGGATGACTCTTCGGCAGAGACAGGGGTCTCATAACAACCTACATTTTAACACTGGGGAGCACCCACCACAACACTTTCCCTGATATGCGTTCTTTTTAATGGACCTCGCAGTCGACTTGTTTAATGCAACATGTATAAACGAGTCGACTGTGTATGCAAAAAGTGGAAATGCATAAAGCGAGTACAGAGTGGGATTACTGCGAGACTGAGGACTAAGCGAGCAGCTGAATCTTCACAGTTTCAAATTTAAAATTCTGCACGCACCTCCCCTGTGTCGGTGGTCCGTAGGCTCTACGTACACGGTTATTGGAGTCTGGTGGGTCTCGAATAGAGGATCGGTATATTTAGTCTCTCGCGAAACTCGCAAATCCAAAACTCGCGCATAGCGAGGGTTTGCTGTATTCACCTAATTTACAAGTACAGCTAGTTTTGACAATGAACAACTTTTTTGTTAACACTTTTGGTCATATTTTTTACAATTATCATTAAAAATCAGATGTTATTCTTGCTTAACAAAAGCCATTGAACCATAATTAGGTATTGATCGCAATTGATGGACAAAACTGTCAATGGCACTTGAAGCCAAGGGAGCCGACATGCTCAGAGATATGATTTGGTGAATGTATTGGCATCGTGAGGATTGGTTCAACAAAATAGCTGCCGCTGGTGATATATATATTCACTCAGCAGGAACGAGGTAATGAGTAAACCGTGCCATTTTTGTCATAAATTAGCCCTTACTTGCATGGGTACCAGTTGATAGTCAAAATGCTGATGGCAGTTGTAACTTAGAGGCAAGACACGTACTAGTTAAATTAATGTAGTGGCATCATCTTGAGGATTCCTTCATCCAGCAGTGAGCCATGAATGGTTGCTGCTGCTACTGCTTGTTATGATTGGGCATCTAGCACATATATCTGTTGCGTTTTGCTGCTATACATTTCCACATGATAAGCCACTTCATCCAGCTATTATTTGTGATCCGGTCACTTTTGAAAGAACAGCTAATAGCTCAGTGGGCCTTACCTGGTAAGATAAAAACGAGTTTAGTTTTATTTGTGTATATATTTTTTTACCTTTTCTATACTTTGCACTTCTGTTGTGTTTTTGTATTGTTTGTTGTTGTAACGTTCTGACTTGCCCCTACTGGATATATGTGAAAAAGAGCTTTATAGCTCATGGAATTCCTCATTTAGATTTTGTATTTTTTTTGCAGGACTGAGGCCGTGATTAACCATGACGTCTTTTGCTGTGGACGTGCCGTACAAAAATGACACCATCGTACCCAGCATTGGCGAGTTGGACGACTATCTTACGGAGCACAACTCCAATGTCGGCTGGCTGCTTGCTGGTAAGAGCCGTACTTCCCCACCTAAGGGGGCACTGTTGGATACATTTGAACCAAATCCTCCGGGGTCCTCTGTCAAGCTTCAATCGGAGTGGGCCCAGTGATCTATCTCAGATATATTTTAACAAAAATATAAATTATTCTTGCCATTTTGATTTAAAGCTTTCGTGACTGCAGGGATTCATATTCTTGGTTCACGTAGAAGGGAAACAATAAAATCCTAATAAATTATTTAATTGTTTCCCTTCTACGTGACTTTACCGAAAGAACCAAGAATATTCTTGCCATGTTTGTATGGCTGGCAGAAATACACAAAATAATTTCATTCAACTCGGTAACCTGCAGCCGGCGTGAGGAATTAAATTTATTTCGCTGCTGTCCATTTTGCCCATGTGAAGTACAGTGTATATACTATACACACTTTGAGATATACATATAAGTGTGTTTTGCAAAGCCTGTGTGGCCATTGCCCATGGGACAGATGATAACATTGATCCCAACATATTTTAGATCTGTGATGATATAGCCTTGGAAAAGGAGTCCTTTAGGGACATCTTGCTGTTCGATTGTCATGAATGTGTTGGCCTTCCACCTATTCAGTTGGCTTGCTCCGCCACTACACCGTATAAATATGTGTAATTATGTTCATTGTGCGGATGCAGTGCTTTGGTTTTATATATATAGCGCTAAGACATGGGCAAAAAGGGCTTTTTATGAATTCTGCATTTGAAGTTAAAGGCTTCGCTGCAGGTCTTTGGTTCGCATGTGTGCTGCCGTCGGTCATGTAAGCGGTGTGCATCCAAATGATGGAAGCATTGATGCGGCGCATTGAATTAAGCCACCGTTATGTGCCGCATCGCGTTTGGTTTATCAGCCTGATATTGCGAAGAGAGAATTTCAGTGATTGCTGATCACTGTCAGGTTTGATCCGTTGGCTGTCCGTGATGTGAACACTTTAGAAAAGCCTGCACAGTTTCATATTTATATTCTTAGCTCTTTCGGTAAAGTCACGTTGAAGGGAAACAATGAAATAATAAAATATATATAAAACAATAAAAAAATTCTCACGACGTTTCGACCATAACACAAACGGTCGTCATCAGGTGCGTCGGTTTGCATTAATTTATTTAGTTTTAAACGGTGTGTTTATTTATTTATAAAAACGCCAGCGCCACTCGCAGCGATTTGGCAGTTTATTTAGAAGGACTAGTCCATCTATGTTCTGAGAAGAGGAGGGGGGAGACGAAAAATTAATGTATGCTGTCTGAAAGCCACTGTAAGCGTGAACAATCAATTAAGACCTGAAATGGTTTATCAAATCTTTCCAATGATTGCTAAGCCAGAATCCATCTTCTCGGTTGAAATTGTCTCAGTGCTTGTATATGTGGATAGCCTCATGAACGAATCTCTCATGGTAGCCAGATGGCTTACAAAGAACCTCTGTCTTGGAAAAGTCAATGTCATGAGAGATTCGTTCATGAGGCTATCCACATATACAAGCAGAGAGACAATTTCAACCGAGAAGATGGATTCTGGTTTAGCAATCATTGGAAAGATTTGATAAACCATTTCAGGTCTTAATTGATTGTTCACGCTTACAGTGGCTTTCAGACAGCATACATTAATTTTTCGTCTCCCCCCTCCTCTTCTCAGAACATAGATGGACTAGTCCTTCTAAATAAATTGCCAAATCGCTGCGCGTGGCGCTGACGTTTTTTTTATAAATAAATACACCGTTTAAAAATAAATAAATTAATGCAAACCGACACACCTGATGACGACCGTTTGTGTTATGGTCGAAACGTCGTGAGAATTTTTTATTGTTTTATATATTTTATTATTTAATGTTTCCCTTCAACGTGACTTTACCGAAAGAGCTAAGAATATGAATTGCTGCAGTCACGAAAGCTTTAAATCAAAAGTTTCATATTTGCTAAAATTTGTTTTGTGTTCAGAAGCAAACCTTTACTGCAAACCATTTTTATCTGAATTTAGTCTTACAGTGAGGGAAAAAAGTATTTGATCCCCTGCTGATTTTGTACGTTTGCCCACTGACGAAGAAATAATCAGTCTATAATTTTAATGGTAGGTTTATTTGAACAGTGAGCGACAGAATAACAACAAAAAAATCCAGAAAAACGCATGTCAAAAATGTTATAAATTGATTTGCATTTTAAAGAGGGAAATAAGTATTTGACCCCTCTGCAAAACATGACTTAGTACTTGGTGGCAAAACCCTTGTTGGCAATCACAGCGGCCAGTCGTTTCTTGTAGTTGGCCACCAGGTTTGCACGCATCTCAGGAGGGATTTTGTCCCACTCCTCTTTGCAGATCTTCTCCAAGTCATTGAAGTTTCGAGGCTGACGTTTGGCAACTCGAACCTTCAGCTCCCTCCACAGATTTTCTATGGGATTAAGGTCTGGAGACTGGCTAGGCCACTCCAGGACCTTTATGTGCTTCTTCTTGAGCCACTCCTTTGTTGCATTGGCCGTGTGTTTTGGGTCATTGTCATGCTGGAATACCCATCCACGACCCATTTTCAATGCCCTGGCTGAGGGAAGGAGGTTCTCACCCAAGATTTGACGGTGCATGGCCCCGTCCATCGTCCCTTTGATGTGGTGAAGTTGTTCTGTCCCCTTAGCAGAAAAAACACCCCCAAAGCATAATGTTTCCACCTCCATGTTTAATGGTGGGGATGGTGTTCTTGGGGTCATAGGCAGCATTCCTCCTCCTCCAAACACGGCGAGTTGAGTTGATGCCAAAGAGCTCCATTTAGGTCTCATCTGACCACAACACTTTCACCCAGTTGTCCTCTGAATCATTCAGATGTTCATTGGCAAACTTCAGACGGGCATGTATATGTGCTTTTTTGAGCAGGAGGACCTTGCAGGCGCTGCAGGATTTCAGTCCTTCACGGCGTAGTGTGTTACCAATTGTTTTCTTGGTGACTGGTCCCAGCTGCCTTGAGATCATTGACAAGATCCTCCCGTGTAGTTCTGGGCTAATTCCTCATCGTTCTCATGATCATTGCAACTCCACGAGGTGAGATCTTGCATGGAGCCCCAGGCCGAGGGAGATTGACAGTTCTTTTGTGTTTCTTCCATTTACAAATAATCGCACCAACTGTTGTCACCTTCTCACCAAGCTGCTTGGCAATGGTCTTGTAGCCCATTCCAGCCTTGTGTAGGTCTACAATCTTGTCCCTGACATCCTTGGAGAGCTCTTTGGTCTTGGCCATAGTGGAGAGTTTGGAATCTGATTGACTGATTGCTTCTGTGGACAGGTGTCTTTTACAGGTATCAAGCTGAGATTAGGAGCACTCCCTTTTAGAGTGTGCTCCTAATCTCAGCTCGTTATCTGTATAAATGACACCTGGGAGCCAGACATCTTTCTGATTGAGAGGGCGTCAAATACTTATTTCCCTCATTGAAATGCAAATCAATTTATAACATTTTTGACATGGGTTTTTTCTGGATTTTGTTGTTGCTATTCTGTCTCTCACTTTTCAAATAAACCTAACATTAAAATTATAGACTGATCATTTCTTTGTCAGTGGGCAAACGTACAAAATCGGCAGGGGATCAAATACTTTTTTCCCTCACTGTAGGTGTCTGCTTATGATTGCTTTCTATCTAATTTGTACCACCTAGGGATTGAACGTTTCACTTCGCCTGCATGGAGATTGAGGGGGCTGAACTTTTCACCTGTGTGTATTTGTTTACACAGGCACTTTAGTGCCATTATCTGATAAAAGAAATTGGCAATCATTACATTATTTGTGACCAGTATTCAGTTACTATAACACAATTTTACTCATCATTTAGGGCCAAAAACGTTATGGATGCAAAGCAAGGGAATAATACCACCTGTTGTAGATTAAATAACTAATTGAAAGTCTAATTGTAATCAGTAATATGAAAGTATCCTTTTAAATATTGGTAATATGCAAAGAGAGCTGAGTAGTGGTGCAGTGGTGAGTGCACTGCGAAATAAATTCGGTGACCTGAGCTTGATTCCGAGCCATGGTTAACATTGTCGGTGAATGAGTTCTGAATCAATTTTGGTTCCGCTATTTCACCAATCCTATCTTATCAGCTTGGCCAAGTATGGTTAATCAACCGGGCATTGGGAGGCCTTTATCCACCTCTGTCTCTTGTCAAAAGAAGTGTAAATTATTATTATATACTCTTTGGTTCTTTCGGTAAAGTCACGTAGGTATAAAATACAATTAAATTGTGATTTATTTTATTTTCTACCTACGTGACTTTACCGAAAGAACCAAAGAGTATGGATTCCTGCAGTCATGAAAGCTTTAAATCAAGATTGATTATTACATAAGATACTAAAGCATTCTTTGATTATTTAAAAGCGCGACACAACTGCGACAGTGGTAGCTAACAATCAGCCTGTTGTCTTGCTCCCAGACACCCGCGCGTTCCAGGTTTAATGGCTGTGTTGGCTCCGGGTTAGATGTGAGGTGTTATCTCCCATTTGTTTCCAGTTACTGCATCCCTCTCTCCACCGTAATGCGCGCACACACACACACATGCTTGTGTCCGTAAGTGCCCAAAATTGGTTTTAACTGGCAAATGGATGCAGTAATAAAAACGAATAATTTGCTTATGTTTTTGTGATGCAACTATGCTGATGGATATATGAGATTTCATGACAAAAGAAAATATTTCTGAGAAGTCGGTTACCATAGAAGAGTTCATTTGCATTGTGGTTATGACATCTATTTTTTGAAAAAAGAATACATTTTATTTACACTCACTTGTTGCTATTAAGAATGGGCGCATTTCATTCTAACTTTGAGCTTGATATCCGTCTCGAATGCCATCCTGATGCGCAGTCACATCATTCCATCTCCACCTAATTTTAATAGATACTTAAAGTCCGATCTCCTTTCCCTGTCTTTCACGTGACACTGAGCTTGGCTGCAAGCCTCAGAGCCACGGTCATTTATGTCCATGAAATATTGTGTGCTTGATATATTGTATTATCATTATTGTTAAAATGCTGCAATAAATTCACACTGTTTTGCTTCTAAAAACTGACTAACATTATTAAGAAACAGTGTGTTGTCAAATGTGCTTATTTAACTTATTTGACTTCACACTTCATGAACATATCCTTTAAATTACTATTAAATTGACTTAATATTGCTGTACGTCACGCTACTACTGACTTTATAAAATTACTCTTACACAATGTCACACTCCCATAGCTTCAAAAGAGATACATTTTCATTTTGTAAGCTTCGTAAATGCTGTGACCAAACAGGTTGCTGTGCAACAGAGTATAAAAGGCATAGCTAGCGGTCTTAGCAATAATAGCCAAGCTTTGGCACGCAGTCAAGCAATGCCTTGCACAGATCTTCGCTGACCTCTGAAATGTATAATTGCATTGTTGAGAGTGAAATTTGAACTTATAATCAGCTACCGAAGATGGATTTGGCACTCATAAGTATAAGTACATAATGTTCCCCACGCTGATGGCATTGTACATTTTTATTTACCAGGGATTACCAAATCCTGTGTTGAATCAGACGACTAACAGATATCTTTTTACAGTATGTGCATTTATTTGTTTTTGTGAATTACAAAGAAGATTGTCAGTCATTCAAAGGGTCGGTGTGATCTTCTCACTGTGACCTCCAGCTGATGCCCGGCCGATGAACACAACCCACGCATCCGGTGTGGTTACGTGACTAGCACGTGAGACACAACAAAATAAAATTTGCTTTACATCACAGCTGGTCTCATATGAGATCTCGGAAGCTAAGCAGGCTTGAGCTGGTTTCTTAATTGGATCGGCAACTACTGTGCCTGAAACAGTTGTTGTCGGCTGCTGCGGGGAAACGTTGTTAATAGAGGGCAGTGTAGCCAAAATACCAGTAATGTACTGTGTACTATGTTCTAACGGCTGTACTCCCCGCTTTCACTTAGCTGCACTGACCAGCGTGGTGAAGTACTACGGTTCGTAAACCCCATGACCAGTATGGCATGGAGAGTCTTCAGCCAGAAGTAGATTGACAATAGGGCTGGACATGTATTTACAAACATGATGATTCTCATCATGTTTTTAAAATACAATTCCGAGTGGGATCATGGGATTTAGTGGACTTTTGGAACTGTCAGGGATATGAGCTCTGCGTAACGTGGCATGGCATTAATGGGTAATTTACCTTGCAGTTCCTCAGCTTTCTAAGAATCCCATTCCCGTCAATGACTGTTCTTTTTGTCGTCAGAATCCCATTGAAGTGAATGGAGATTTTAACCATGGAGGATTAACGATTGCTACAGGAGTCTTCCACAGTGGTATTGCACCGTTTGGACGCGATTCCTGTAGGAATTGCCTAGCACTCGACTGTACATCATTTTGCTCACTGCAATATGTTGGGCCATTATGAAGTGCAATTGATAAATTGCGTCATTACCTGTGGAAAGATTTGTGCACAAACAGCGTCGCGTTTAGTAATATTTAGCCACCAGTGGCGGAGGTCTGGTCTATTACCGTCGGATGTGTTCCGAGGTCAAGTCGGATGGTGACTTTTAACAGTACCAATCATGGCGCTTCATGAGAGAGGATTTGCTCATTCTCTTGCGGTACATGATGAAGTATAAGTAAAAATGTGTACAGTGTAAGAGATATACTGAATGACTTGTTATCTTATAAAGCTACCATTATACGCACGTACTGTGATTGCAAAATAAATAGTTCACATCATGCAGCAATCCATGGCAAATTAATTTAGCGTTTACATCAAATGTAAATGTCATAATGCTTGTATTGCAAGGGTGGGATTTTGTGTAAATTAGCCGGAACCTCATTAACAGTAAATACATTTATTATTGTATTCCTGGATAGGATTTTGCTTTTAGCACATAACCCAACCCCCCATTTATTTAAACGTGTTGATTTTTTCAGTGGAACAGTAATCGGTAAATAATCGTGTGTTGCGTGTGTCTTTCCCCTGTGTGCTGCCAGCAACGATCCTGTCATGCGGATGGATCATCTACTTGACTTACTATAACTCGCGTAACATGGGCTTCGTCCTCACCATCTTGTTAAACCGCTTTTATAAATATGGACACATTCACTTCGGTGAGTACATGTTCAATCGCAAAATAATTCCGCGGCGTATGGTGTGCGTGTTTTACTCGTGTTCTAAAAAAATATATACAATATTTATTCTCCTGATAGACAATTATAGATTCATTCTTTGATTGTTTTTACTTTGGTGTACTTAGATTATGTCATGAATATATTATGTTGTGTCTTGAGGTGGTTACAGATGAGATCCCAAGTAAAGAGAGTTGATGCTCACAGTCCAGTCACCAATGACTTCAAAAACGTGCATTACATTACGTTTGGTTTGTCACTTAATTTCAGCATGATTTAAAAAATATAACAAGGAACAAGCTCTTCTGAAATTGTATTTACTAAACAAATGATGCAATTGGAACGAATTCCTCTGACTTAATGTTGAACTACAGTCAAACCGACGTAATTACAGCTATCGGTAATTCACAACAATAAATTAATCAATACCTTCATTTTCTCGATAGTATTCGGACAAAATGTATGCTGTTAGGCATTATTCCTATCGATGTGCATTTCATGCTGATTTCACATGGGCTCACTGCATTTGTTTCAGGGGAGCGTATGTTTGCCGAGGTGTACACACTTCCCCTTACGCTCAGAAATGTCCGTCTTATTGCTGTGCCATAAAAGGTGGAAGTTCACTTCCATTCACCTCCAGGTGTTGCTCAATAAAGCTAAGGTCGAAACTAAATTATTTATTTTATGACCTTTGATCCGTGCTAGTTTTTGGGCTGCAAACCACTTGGCTACATGGAGGCTGCTTCTCATACTGTTGGGATGAATTTAAATGTTTGTATGTCATTTCAACGGTGACACTTGCACCCAATGTTCCACTTATTTTCTGATCATGCCGGTACATAGAGTGAAAGGACAGTCCCCTTTTCAACTGATATTTTTTGTTGTTAGCATTTTATCTGTTAGCCTTGGGTTTTGTACTATTAAAGCTCCATGGAAAATGCAGACAGGCTTGAAAGGTTGCAGATAAATCGGCCACACTCACACCATTTGTCGTGTTCATTGTGAATGTTTTGTGAAACCATAGATGTGTTTTTAGTTTTTTGTACAACATAACATAACACCCAGTGGGGGAAACACTCAGTGGGAACCACGATCATTGAATTAAGGGCTCTTCTTGGTGAGTTTTATAAAAATTAATGTATTTTTTCACAAAACTGTTCACGTCATTGCATTGTGTTCTAATATAATTAAGCATTGTATACCAAACTCTTTGGGTCTTTCGGTAAATTCACGTAGATAGAAAAATAATAATCACAATGTTTCAATCACAACGTCCTCAGGTGAAAATATATATTTTTTCATTTTTCTATCTACGTGACTTTATCGAAAGACCCAAAGAATATGAATTCCTGCAGTCACGAAAGCTTTAAGTCAATAATGACCTTCGGTTTTACCAATTTCCGCTTACATTGATTTGCAAGTGTTTTTTTGTCCAAGATACCTTCAAAAAATAAATTGCCAGTGGGAACCGTGATCACTGAATTCAGGGACATTCTTGTGACTGTTGTAAACACGAATGCATATTTTACAAAAACTAAGTTAACTTCATATTCTGGGTTCTTTCGGTAAAGTCACGTAGAAGGGAAACAAAATAATAAAAAAATATAAAACAATAAAATTCTCACGACGTTTCGACTGCAACGCAAGCAATCATCATCAGGTGTGAAAACCACAACAAGAAAATTTGAAAAAAGTGGCGGTTATTTTCAAATTTTCTTGTTGTGGTTTTCACACCTGATGATGATTGCTTGCGATGTAGTCGAAACGTCGTGAGAATTTTATTGTTTTATATTTTTATTATTTTATTGTTTCCCTTCTACGTGACTTTACCGAAAGAACCACGAATATGAATCCCTGCAGTCACGAAAGCTTTATATCAAAATGTAAGTTAACTTCATTGCACTTTGCTAAGAGAATTGAGCTTCGTTTACCAAGTGGGTTTACGTGTTTCTCTGTCTTCCTTGCAGGCTCTTTCACTTTCTCGGTGTTGTCTGGAAAAGTCATGTTCCGTGACGTTCACTTTGTCAACGAAGACATGTCTATCCGGTGAGTAAATATCAATGGAACATTTTTAGTAAATTATTTAAAAATTATACTTTTAATATAAATGTGTTTATTCAGTATTTTTTATTATTATTAAAGGGTTTGTCTGTTAAGCAATAGCTACTGCTAGGGAACTATTAACCCTTTCCCATTCTGAGACGTCTGCAAGTTGCTGGGTGAAACTCGGAACACGCAAGCGGTTAGAGTTAATTTGATTTCGAGAGGCATAGCGCCGTTGTTCTTAAAGACATTGCATTCACCACAGGGAACCGTAGCGACGCGACCGCACTCTATGATAGTTGGGGCCAAATTGTGCCACACGCCCTCCCGCATGGCCTTGTGAGAGCCTCGGTACAGATAAAGTTATTTTCCATCATCTGCTGATGTACACGTACGCCATCTGCTAATGTAAACGTACGTCATCAGAACAAGAAAGGGTTAATATGCCCAGTAAAAAAATAGGTTTTCACAAACCATAAAATAAAGAATGTTCCTCAGGCCCCTTGGTGTAAAGTGCAGTCTCCAACTCTTATCATCCACTCTCTCTGCGTGTGGCTTCCTTATGTATGGGCTTTGTAAAATGGCCTTTGCCCGAAACGTCGCTATCATATATATTTATTATTTTGAGGCCACAGTGTTATTGAATGATGCGTTGAGTTTTTAGTTAATTGTGCTTGTGCACCACTGCCAATGCAGAAGCCTCACCAAATAATTTGTTCAATTAGACATAGCACCTTATACTGATACGATGAATGAGATTTTGTAATTTGCTTTACACGTGTACTTTCAGTCTTGCTAATTCCTTGAAAAATGTTTCTAACTTTGTGCCAGAATTTAATCAAATAAGTAATATTTAAAAAAAAAAACTTTTTTGGAAACACGCTTTTATAAAATGTACTAGTAATGGCAGAACTCCAGGACTCCAGGAAGTGGCCCCGAAGCTTGCCACAGCGTAAGGGACCGTGGTCAATTACAGCCAACGTCAGTTGAGCGTGGACAATAAGACTCAAGCCGAAAAATAACATGTAAAAAAGATTTTTTTAAAAAATATATTTTTTTATGATAGAATATAGTATTGTCATCAGTATGACATAAATATACCAAGTTTGCAGTCGATACCACATTGGGAAGTGGGTAAAAATTAAGTTACAAGATTTGAGGATACAACAACAGACAGAGTGAGTTCATAGAAAGCGTGTAAAAATGTAAAATACTTAAGTATATCAGCCATATTCTTAGCTCTTTCGGTAAAGTCACGTTGAAGGGAAACAATAAAATAAAAAAATATATATAAAACAATAAAAATTCTCACGACGTTTCAATGCAAACCGACACACCTGATGACGACCGTTTGTGTTATGGTGGAAACGTCGTGAGAATTTTTATTGTTTTATATATATTTTATTGTTTCCCTTCAACGTGACTTTACCGAAAGAGCTAAGAATATGAATTACTGCAGTCACGAAAGCTTTAAATCAAGATTTATATCAGCCATATCCGTAAGCAATGGGCCCGACCTACGTCGGCAATGATTATAGAAGAAATTACATTACGCATGAGGATAAAAGTTGTTGCGGTCCATCCATATATATTTGGCGTTTCCTTTTTGTGTACTCAGGATACAGGACGGATTGCTTATCTTCAGATGGTGGCGAATATACAACCCAAAACAAAAGCACAACGGTGAGTACACTTGCTGGCATGAACCCTTGCTGAAATGTCCAAACCTACTGCACGTGACAAATCCATTGCGAGTGTGTGCACTTGGCTGCACTACTAATGAATAAGAGTCACGCTGTTGTTTGCGCGCATTGTCTGTGAAATTTAGGGTTGTTGATCCATTATCGATTTTTTGGAATCGATTTCAGAAGTTGAAATGAAGTTTATAATCGAATCCAGTTCAACTTTAACGATTGAATCGATTGGGCCACGTGAATGATGCCGCTCAGCCCATTCTAATTGGATAGGTCAGCAGTAACCATCATAAGGGACCAAGTGGCGCTTGTGCCAGGCTAGGAGCACCTTGAGGCCACTTGAAGTGTTGAAGGCTTGTTTGCTGGCAAGAGGTCATGGGACAGACCCAGGTTTTATGGGTTGGTTGAGATGACTGGCAGAAGCACCACCTGTGCTCCCCTCTGTGCCAGAAACAAGACAAAGATCTCCTGTATAGCCTTAACAGACTTTTGGGGCGAGTGCTGTTAGCGAGCACCTATGAAGGCAGGCACGGCGCACGAGGGGCCCAGCACCATGCCCAACTGCCTTTATCTCCCAAGTGGTGATATTTACACAACGCACCAGGTCCTCATTTGAGGCTAAGTCGACCTAGGAGAGGCCCAAGACTGGTTCAAATCATCACTGGGTTCGTAGCGCAACATACTATCTATTTTATTGCTCGACATTTAAATTTGTGAGGCAGACCGAAATTGTGTGTTTCTAACAGTTGTGTTGCTATTTGAAGATCAGAAAGGGTCAACAAACTAAACAAATTAGCAACCCAAGTGCAAATGTATCTCAGGCAGTGCAGTGCGTAATTATTGTGACATCGAGTGCCGTGGTGAGCTGATGGCCGTGTTGGGATCATTTCTGAGCCATCGATACAAACAGCAGCACGCTCCGAGCTCTTGTTTCTGTTTACTTCCTGAGTTTGGTCGTCATCCTGCAGCCAGAGGCCGGCAGTAATTGAGTTTGCGTGGCTTAATTTCATCCGCTGTCTCGTCGCGTGGAAACCCAGCGGTGCGAGTTGGTTGCGTTCTTTCACCGGTGAGTTATTGCTATCCGGGATAAAGGCACCGTACCTTCTGACCCCATGCATATTTAGCGATTCTTATCTGAAACTTCAATTCAAATGCCACATAAATGCATTACGAATATAAATGTGTAGCGCACTATGTGCGTTCAATGTTACGTTCTAGCCTAATTTGCTCAAATATGACAAAATTTATGCAAATGTAGTAACTGCTTGTATCGTCATATTTTGGAAGTAAAATCAGAATAGTGAAAAAGAGAGAATTACCCAAGGAAACTAATCTCCAATGGACAATGCTCATCACCATTATCGTAGTAAATTCCAGGTGGTGGCTTGTTCTTGCTTCTGTTGCTGTCAACAACATTATATTCCATACCCTGTTTTTTTAATAACATAAGGATTTACATTGGAAAGTTTAATCAAATAACGATATTGAGAATATGACTGCAAAACATGGAATGTATGCAAATGATCAATGTGTATGCGTGTACATATTTAGGAAGGAGAGCAGAATAGATCTGTATTTACAGTGCCTACCCCCCAGCAAATCTATGAATTGTCACTTTTCGGGATAATAATTTGGTTCGGGAATAATTAAATTTCGTCTTCTTCGTCGTGTTCATATTTTACGTCCGCGTCGCTTGTACAGTTGCGTTTGCTCCTTGGCACTTAAAATGTACCGTTGGCGTATCCTTGGCCACGGTCTGTCCACTGCCGGACGATGCCTCCACGCGCCGGCGCCATCCTGCAGCAGCAGCACCATCTCGCTTGTGCTTCTGGAGCCGATTTCGCGATTCCACGTTCACAGTGGTGGTATTCCTCGGGCGCATGTACTCCGTTCGCTGCCATTCCATCACCGGGGTTATCCATCAAGCCATCGTCCCTTCCAGCGACGTGTCCTGCCTAAGCCCACTCGCTGCTTGTATTTTTACAGTCGATACGATGTGTCTGTATTCTTAGTTCTTTCGGTAAAGTCACGAAGAAGGGAAACAATAAGGTAATAAAAATATAAAACAATAAAATTCTCACGACGTTTCGACTGCAACACAAGCAATCATCATCAGGTGTGAAAACCACAGTAAGAAAATTTGACAGCAAGAAAATTTGAAATTTTCTTGCTGTGGTTTTCACACCTGATGATGATTGCTTGTGTTGCAGTCGAAACGTCGTGAGAATTTTATTGTTTTATATTTTTATTATTTTATTGTTTCCCTTCTACGTGACTTTACCGAAAGAACTAAGAATATGAATCCCTGCAGTCACGAAAGCTTTAAATCACGATGTGTCTGGTTTGTGTTTTGTTCCCTGATCCTCGTATTGCTCTTTGTATTTCTCTGTAATTCCAAGCGTGCGTCTCGCTGTCATTGTTTGTGCACTTTCCAGCCTTGGTTCAGTTTTCTTTGCCATTGTCCACGTTTCTGATCAATGCGTCATAGATCAAAATCTGTCGTATTTAAGCACATTGTCCAATTTTATTTTTGCAGTTGTACCCCCTATTTTGCAGTTGTACCCCCTATTTTGCCTTATTCCCTTTCTTTATTTTCCAATAATATCTAATATATTTTTTGTTGATGAAATCAATCAATGTAAAGTGTCATATAATTTGCATATCATTTGTATGCATTGTAAATAATTCAAAGCGCAATTTTGTCATTATAAGAATTTGCTTTAATCAGCGTCGAATGCGCACAGTTAAAACAGAAAACATATTGTATATGCACGTACGTGCATATACAGTATGTACGTGCATATACACGCATGCATACATGTTTGTGCATATTTATTGAGCCTCAGTGATTTTGTTTGCAGAAGGACGCTCTTTGGGGAATTATCAGGGGAGTTTTCTGTCACAGTGGGCTGTTCTGCATATGCGTTATGTTTACACAAATCAGTTCTGTCAGCATTCAAGTAGCCGCTGCTTGCTGAATTGACAAATTATATTACACTTCGTTATTTCGTAAATGGGTTATGTGCACATGAAAAGATTCTATGATGACGAATCAAAAAAGGGCATTGTGACAGCAGATGTGTTCTGGTGTGCGTGTGCTTGATTGGAGGTGACCTCTGGGGGCCCTCTGATCTGCAATTTATTTATTTGGTTTTGTTCACTTCACCACCACGTGCCTATGACCAAATCACCCAGAGTGTGCGCCTGATCCGTGTTCCTGGATGTTAAGCAGGGCTGAGCCCTGATGGTGATTGGATGGGTCAACACCGTCCACCAGCAGGTTGTCATCAGGCTGTAGGGCTCCACGTGGTGGGCAGTACAGGGCAGTGAAATCCACTGTTGTCCTGTATATCCACACCCCTATATGTCTATGCTGCCTGCACGTACACCAGCGTGCACTGACCAGTGTGAAATAAAATCAAAGTAACGACGTATTTATACTCAGACAATTTAATCCAAAAAAACATTATTGTGAATAATATTGGTCGCGAAAGCCTACGTGTCAAACTCAAAGAAACCTGCGTAATCTGGACGGTTTGGGGAGGCCCTTATCCAGCAGTGGGTTGACGAAAAGGCCTGCACATGCATGTCTGCATGTGGCGAGCCATTGACCGCAGTAGTTCACCCGCGTACTTGCTATTCGCGTCTGCGTATTACTGTATGTGTGTGCGTGGATGCGTGTGTGCTTAACATGCGCACTGTCAATTTTATGCTGGGGCGACAAAAGGCGTACAGCACAAAGACAATGCACTGTCAGGGTAATGAGGGCTCGGGGTGAGCATCTACATCATGGGACCTCCTTTGCCAGTACCAAAATATGAGAATAGGTTTTCCCCCTTTTTCTGGCAACAAAACAGGTGTTCAGATAATAATAGGGGTTTCCCCTTTTTTCTGGCAACAAAACTGAAACCTTTTTACAAGGAATCATGTCTGCATTATCCACAATACTTGTTGTCACAATGCAAACAAAAAACGTACTCGGATAATATATGCATTGTTATTGAAACTGATTGGTCTACACCAGAGTCAGCTTTATTTTGAGCCTCGTCTCAAAACTGTTAGACAAGAGGACGCCAAAAGGCGTACAGCACAAAGACAATGCACTGTCAGAGTAATGAGGGCTCGGGGTGAGCATCTACATCATGGGACCTCCTTTGCCAACACCAGAATATGAGAATAAATTTTCCCTTTTTTCTAGCAACAAAATAGGTGTTAAGATGCTTGTGGCTGTATATAAATGTAACGTTATACAGAAATTATGATGGTATTTGCTTGTGGCTGTATATTGTTTGGCAAAATTGGTATGTTAGATTATTTTCCTTTTTATCATACACATACATTTTAAGCTGCACCAATGTGAACCCTATTTCTAATGTTGAGTAGTTTTCAGTAAACCAAGTACTGGAAATATATAAAAAAGCAGATAATGCCTTTATCGCTTATGTTTTATGGGCACTAATGTACCCACTGTTGTGAACTTAAGGGACTGGGTTTGTCCTTGTGCTCGAAGAATGTTCAGCATGGGATGAACAGATGGAAAAATGTAAATAATTGGCACGCCACCATCTGCAAGTGTAGAAATCACAATTTCACCAATTTTCATGGGATACATTTAAGAAGGATCTGAATGAATGCATAATACGTGTTTGATGATTCACTGCCCTCTCTCCCAATAGGCAATTTAATTAATCATTGCTATTCAAAACAGCAATTCTATTGAACGAGTTCCTTTTTTAGGCACATCTTTTTACTGCCTTGTATTGTTCATTGAGTTATTTCTATATCTTTTGTACAGCTTTGTCTGAATGTAATATTAGTAATTAATGTGCACGTTTTTTGCATACATTAAAATATATTGATGTTCATTGATGAACCCATGCATTATCCTCAATTACATTGTGTAATTTAAATTTGCACCTCGAAGATCACACCTGGCTAATTCCTCACATTGGAGAAATGTCAGCTTCCCAAAACGCTCTTACCGAGTATCATTTTGAAGGCGTATTACATTATGAATTGCACCTTGAGATACCTCCATTCCTTCCGATGTTTTGCTTTGAACGAGCCACACTAATCTCCCATTGTGCTGCATGCATCATGCGTATCCCAATCGCTGTCGGGGTCGAGGTGTCTTGACCCATGGAGACCAGCAGCAATTATTGAACTGAATGGATGCGAGCCATCTGGAAATGACCTGACTGGCCCCTCTGCCACGTGCAGCCGAGTTTAAAAGATTGACTGACGAAGATCCACCTTGACCCTTGACCTCGTATGTCCTGCTGTGTCCCCCCCCCTGTGCTTGACCGTGTGCTGCGGCGCAAACAAATTCTCCGCCGTCAGATCCCCGGGCAGAGACGCGGCTGCACGGCACTCTCAACGGCTTCGAGCTGCACGTGTACAACCGCTCGTCGCTGTATGCGCACGTGGAGGAGGTGTTCGGCCTGGAGCCGACCGTCATCCTGCCCCCCAAGGACAAGCCCCTGTGCAAGGCCGCTCCGAAGCCTGACAGGTGCGCTCCTGGGGTGGCCCGTTGTGAAGCACAGGCGTCGAAGCGCAGTCTGTGACACGCGCCTGAAATTAATGGCAGTTTTGCCCGCCATCTGTGAGCTGTTTACTTGTTTATCTAGCTGTCTTCCGGTTTGTTTAGCATGAGTGCGCGGTGATAGAGAGAGAGAGAGATTAAACCTATTCTCTGTTTGGTTTATAATGCACATGGCATGGTTGGAGAAGAAAATCGGGAGAGCACAGCAGATCTCTTATGTATTCTGGACCTGTGTTTCACTGCTACTTTCATGTGCCCGTCCACCTTTTCACTTATCCGTGCATCTTGTCATTTGGCTGATTGTTCCATTCATCTTTACACCAACCATTAATTGCTTTCATCTGTCCATTGTTGGGGTGCTTTATTCAACGTTCTCACGCCATATCAGTTCAGTGTCGTGTACGTGGCATGTTATGTGTGTTTTACATTCAGGTGCTTGCTCATATTTCTAACCCCCAAAGCCTACATTGTGGCAGTCACGTTACCTGGCGGTAGCTAGCTGGCGGCAGTGTGTCCGCCGCTTGCTGGAGAGGCTCACGTTACGAATTCAGCGGCTGCCCTGGTTGTTACCGCGGTGTGTAATGACCGAATGTTAAAGATCCCCTGACGTCATTCGCAAGAGTAACGCATTGTGTGCCGGTGTCGGGGTCCAAATTTGTGAATGAAAAGTATACTCGTAATTACTTAATTGGGATTATACGAGCAATCATCGCCCTGTTACTGGCACCACTAATGCCCCAAGTCACTCTTGTAATTGACACTAACCTGCTCTCTTTGAGATTTCACCTGCTTAAACAAAATAAACTTGAACACGGGGGACTTTTATAATTTTAACGCTCTCTTACTAAGCTTTATCGTATTTATGCCCACGCTCTGTTCGTCTAGATTTGTCTTTCCGTAACCGGAGGGCACAATAACTCCCACAAATTTGATTCATTTTACGCGCTATAAAGAAGGGCCATTGCTCGAAGTTTTGCCTACTTTGTATTTTTCTGTTTGAAGTGGTGTTATTGAGGAACATCTTGATTTTTTTGTTATTTGTGTGACTATTAAGGATTTACTTAATTGAAAACTGGCCAAGTTGACAAAAGGGTTATCCATACTTACAAAACCAGCGCTAACCTGGCGGTTTTGCACCCCGCTTTGCCCTCGCAGCTACCAGTTGGCTTCCATATTGCAAACGGATATTTATTATGGCATGTTGGAGAATGTTGCAGTAAACCATGATTTTTCTTCGTTGTTTTGCGTTACAGTACGCAAGCTAAAAAGCCCGAGACTGAAGATCCAGCATCGTCATGGAGGTCTCTGTTTCCTGTCTTTAAGCTGGACATTCATTCCGTAAGCCGTTGAGCATCTGTGCCTGCACCACATGGCATGTTTGGTGTACCAACACACGTGGAGACATTGCTTACAAACTCTTCATTAATGAGCTATCATTATTTTTAATCGAGTGGCTTACCCATCTCCACCACCTACCACCACTTTCCCTCCACCCAGCCCACTTTGATGAGACATCAGCTATTCAGCGAACTGATAAAAAATGTGATTGCAATCATTGGCATAGAAACGTTAATTGTTTTTCATTATAAATGAGACTGATTATCTGGTATTTACACATGATTACATGTGCATGGGTGATTACTCCAGTTTGCAAATCAGTGTTATGGCAGACTTCTGGGTTAAAGCTTACATCTCATGAAATTAATAAGTGTTTTATACACCTCTTGTCCATTTCATTTGTACACATCTCTTTGTACATTCGACTGTAATTTTGGTGCATTATTATAGATGTGATTTATAATCCCGCCAGCATTGCGACCTCGACTGAAACTACTCGCTTGATACTAAAAGGACGCTAGCGAACGTCACTGTTGCACCTGAAGAACAGGCGAACTGCATTCGTTTGCAAGCCAAATTAGCAGCCGCAGGTGCACTCCATTAATTTGTGATGCGCACCACACGATGCTTCGTTTGCTGAGAACAGAATGTTGTCTCTCATCGTTTCGGTGACATTTCCAACCGATTGGGAACATATCTTGGCAATAAGAACAAAAGCAGACCGTGTAAAAATTTGTGTCGTCCGACAAGCATCCGGGGACAAGAAATATCATTAAAAGAGCATCTCTTAGTGACATTAGGACGACTGCTAGGAGGCGTGAAATAGATTGCACAAAGAGAAAGCGGCCCAGTGCTTTGTCGAGTAATAATTTGAAAATTCTGCAAATTTCACACGTGTAAATACAGCATTATGGAAAGATTTGTCAGCTTCTGTAAAATCCAAGACTGAACCACCTTCATCATGAACACATACAGTTAAAAAAATGTATTACTTCATAAGTGAATGCACAGTAGACGCGATTATCCGCGTGCGGTTTATCCTTTTTGCGGATGAACCACGCACCTGGGATTTTGACATAAATTAACAACTCATGGATTTCCTTTAAGCCCAAATGAATCATCTAAAGACAGTTATACATTGTTATTCTTGGAAATTGTTATTACAAATAACGTGCTTAAAACCAACAAATACAGGTACGTGCTCCGGTTAATCCAAAATCCACGTGTGCTCGCCTCTACAGTACAGTAGTTGTATATCTTTATAACGGTGGGCAGAGTTTGATTGATTTTGATTGGCGTGTGGCTCTGCTATCCACTTAGTAGGCAGAGTCTTCTGCATGGGAGCAGGAAAGTGTTATCGCTGAGCACATGCATCGATCAGTCGATTCTTTACTACAATTTTATATTTTGTTCATTAACAAACTCATTCTTATTAACTTAAACATAATTTATACCCATATTAGTGGTTATTGGCATAGAGATCCTCGGAAAATGGATATTTTTAAATTATCCGCGATGTTGAATTATCCAATGACCTTTCCCCCAGTCATTAGCGCAGATAATCGAGAGTCTACTGCACACATATCGCTCCTGTTGGGAAAAAAAAATCGGGATATCTTCACCTGTCAGAATAACCACTCCAATTGAATTCCTGGAAAAGCAAAATACTAATTGCGTGAACACACCGGAGAATGTGAAAATGGGAAGGGAGTCATGGGGAGAAAGAGATTTTGTGTTGAAGCAGAGATATACCCACTACTTCTGCCAAAGGAAGAGTCCCAACACCACAAGGGGGGAGAAAAAATAGCAAACCTTTGTTTAACTGGAGGGAGACATTTTCTCTTGTAGTGAAAGTCCCAGGATACAGTTGTATTTGCTGATTTCCCCTTGGATGAAATCGACTTTCTAGAACTAAATGTTTTGGATTTTCTTTCTTAAACCTGATACCGTGGTCTGCTTGTCCCTTCTATCCTTGAAGTATGGTAAGTTCAACCATGGTAAAACACATCTGGAGCAACAGTCCCTGATATTTAATCAGCATTGCATGAAATTGAAGGCCTATAATACCAAAATTCCATGGCGCAGGGTTAACAGATGCAGAAAAAGCACTTGGTTGAAGGGTCCAACAATGGCTAAATATAGACAGTGAACATCTGGGCATGACCATAAAACATGTTGGTATTCATATTCTTGGTTATTTCGGTAAAGTCACGTAGAAGGGAAACTATAAAATAAAACCACAGCAAGAAAATGTTCTACTGCACACAATGTTCTTGCTGTGGTTTTCACACCTGATGATGATTGCTTGTGTTGCAGTCGAAATGTTGTGATAATTTTATTGTTTTATATTTTTATTATTTTATTGTTTCCCTTCTACGCGACTTTACCAAAAGAACCAAGAATATGAATCCCTGGAGTCACGAAAGCTTTAAATCAAAACATGTTGGTATGTTTGTGGACCCGAGTGGGAGCATCCCTGTCAACCTGGAGGCAAGGCAAGGTGTGAACCTGGCGCGGTGTTAAATTGTTGAAGCCTCGGTGGAGCCGATCCAATACCTGAAAATTAGGCTTTCTAGATGAGAGGCCATTCTTTTTCTCAGAATCCGTCAGGTAGAAATCCCCCCCCCTCCCATTAAGATGTAATATAAGGTCTGTGCGGAGACGTCTAGTCCTGGAGAAATGAGTTTACCCCAGAGGTCTTGTTATTGTCCGTTGGCCTACAAAGTCGTCCCTCGAGAGGTATTGGAAAAGGTAATGAATAGGACAATACTGTATTGTGGGTTTCATTTGAAACTGATCGGGGTCACTCACAGCAGTTTCATGGTGTGCCTCTAGGAACGTGTTATTTTTTTTAGCGTATTGGTGAATGTAGCACCTCCAGTGGATGCAGGGATGGGAAAACCAATTCAACATCCAATCATCACCAAGTGCATGATGCTAATTCTAATCCTGTTGCAATGAGAATTGAAACCAGTAACAAATCACTTAGTGTATTACGTGAGAACTGTTAATTAGGAAAGATATATATTTTTTCTTCTTATCAGGCCCCATGGTGTATATATGTTGTCTCCAACACTACCTCGGACATACATACCTCAGACATTTATTGAAAGTGGACAACATCTAATTTATTAAATAAATAGGCGTGTAAGATCAGGTTGGAGTGTTTTTGGAAAACAACTTGATAATGAAAATCAACATACCAAGGTTCCTAAAGAATAACGTGTTAGTCACTGCTCTTACATATGGATAGGAAACAGACTGACAAAGGCCTTGGCGAGTGACTCATCGCACCCTGAATAGACGCCCTACGCTTCGCCATCAGCCTTATTCAGCCTCGGCAGCAATCCTTGGAACACCTGCCCACATTGCTTCATCTCTCATAGTGCATGTCCTCATACTATAGTTCATACATCACTGTGCTTCGCACCAGTGTTCATTTATTCAGCATTTTATAAATTAGTCATAGTCTTGTCAATGGGAACCTGTGAACTTTAGTTTGGGTATTAGTCTGGGTTACGTGGAGTCATTCTCAATCTGGTTGACGAAAGCAGTCAAAATCTCATCCACTCCTTGTTATGTAAGTATGTTGAACTTCCTTTGCACTGTACATAGCCAAACGTGCTAATCGGAGGTAGTTATTGATGTTGGTGTGAAGAGCCTGCAAATCCTCCACCCGCTCAGTATTATCAGGTCAAGATGTCAGTCAATCTTTGCAAACAAATATAACTAATTACCTTTCTGTAATATCTTTACTAAGCAATTTTCGTCTGCATCTTCACTCAGGCTAGTTCGTTTCCTCTCCTCGCAATGAGTCATGCTGTGATAATGATGATTGCTATTTATGACTGAGAGTCATTGTTGACTAAACTAAAAAAAAAAGCACTTAATCGTTGAATGTTCCCATCGCTAATGCCATTGATGAAACGATCGCCGGCTCATGCGCCGTCACGTGCACGCGCGATCGTCCTTGCCAGGGCCGCCTGGTGTTCGGCAACCGCCTGCTGCCCCAGACGCTGTGCGTCAACTTCGACGACGCCTTCCTGACGTACACGACCAAGCCCCCGTCGAGCCACCTGGACGAGTACATGCACATCGTGAAGGGCAAGCTGGAGAACGTGCGTGTCATGCTGGTGCCCAGCCCGCGCTACGCCGGCATGCAGCAGGACGAGTGCGTTGCGCACCCGTGCCACCCTCGCCCCCCCCCACTCCCATAATGCATGCTGCCCCCTTCGTTTCCTCTCGCCAAGATTACCGCTACGATTCCGCTCGTTGGATAGATCCGAGCTGAGACCAACTGTCTCCGTTAGACAGGTTTTCCCCAAGTTCTTACAGGCTTAATTCAAGAAACCTATTAACGCTTTGTTACGCCTTCAGTAGTGCTGTTTGTTGCTGGTCACTTGGCGTTTTGGGCCTTTGGGCCTGTGCTCGGCGAGCAATAAAAATTGTTTGTAATTGATTAAATCATTGACACACGAGAGATTACATCTTGAGGTTCCCTGTTGTAGAAAATGGTTTATATTTGAAAAGTTAATGGTACAGCATGCTGTTCATGTTAATACATATATATTTAAAGCCATATGCTAAAGTCATTCCAAAGCAAGCCATTGGCACTCAGTTTGAAATATCTTTCTCCCAACAGACCTTGTAACATTTGCAGAGAATATACGGTTAACTATGAGGAAAGTTTAGAGATTTCTGTGATTTTTTTTTTGCTAGCTGTAAAAACGTTAATTGGATAACACGTGCTTAGATCTTTACAAAGTTGTCAGTATGTGTGTGGGATCAATACCTCGCCCGGGTGCAAGTGTCTCATTTGGCATCCGACGTTGCGTGTGCTGCGATGGTTTGGCACGTGCTGTGTCACACCGGTGCCATTTTGGTCACGTGTTTTGCGAGCGTGAGCTTTACCGTCCGCTCCACAAATAATTAATCTGATTGGTCTATAATTGTGTGTTTGTGTTACGCCACGCAGCCTAACCCCCCCCAAAAAATATGGATCACTGCATTGCCCATTAAAATCTACATTTGAGTTAATTTCACCATTTACTGTGCGCGCCTCTCGTCATTGCCGAGGGCGCAATGGGGAGAGTGCTTTGTGCGTCCGCGATTGCTCATCCCCGCTGTGTGTGCGTGTTCTTGGCAGGCCTCCGCGCTCGATGGGGGAAGGCTTTGTGGTAATGTTGTCGAACGATGTGGACATGTACTACTACATGGATAAGCCAGGTAATGTTAGTCATGTAATAGTTGAGTGTAAACGTGCACATTTTAAAGCTTTGGTTTGAGTTTTTTTTCTGCACATCAGATTTTCAAGGTTCATGCATACCATTAAATTCCCTGATTCTTCTTAAAAGATTCATTTACGTTATTTCACTCGGGGCAGTTGACTATGCCAAGTTCACAAAAACAATGAAGCCAAATGTTTTATACATAACATGCGATGTTCAAATTTGCACAGCAGCAGACTGATCAATTTTGCTATAGAATAGGGTTGATACAAAAATAGGTTTTTAACACGTAGTTGGTGAAACTTACAAAATCTTATTCCTAAAACTTTCTGACTCTGCTGTCATATGCTTGGTAGTGCATGTACCTTGTCAGATTTCAGTTTGAAGGCCACCATGATGATGACGACACCACACCCACACTTGAAGGCCACAGTTTCCAGGTGCTCTGTGGCCATATGTGTTACCCAGAATGAAAATGGATGACAGCAGATTGGAGTGCTGCTGGAAAACTAAATTTGACAATTGAACAAATAGTGTGCCTGTTGTTATTTTAATGTGTTTTGGTTATTATTTCTCAGCAAACTGACAGATCAGTAAATTGGTTTAATGTCGTGTTTTCTCATATTATATTTTTTCCAAATTTGAGAATGTTTTTAAAGTATTTATATGACTGCCCACTTAAAACTTTTATTATTTTCTTGACGTCTTGATGTTATTAAGTCTAACACCTACCATATTTCAGAAATTACATTCTCACAGTGAAGCCAAATATATATTATTGGTTCTTTCGGTAAAGTCACGTAGAAGGGAAACAAAATAATTTAAAAAATAAAACAATAAAATTCTCACGACGTTTCGACTGCAGCACAAGCAATCATCATCAGGTGTGAAAACCACAACAAGAAAAAAAACACTTTTTTCAAAATTTATTGTTGTGGTTTTCACACCTGATGATGACTGCTTGTGTTGCAGTCGAAACGTGAGAATTTTATTGTTTTATTATTTTATTATTTTATTGTTTCCCTTCTACGTGACCTTACCGAAAGAACCAAGAATATGAATCCCTGCAGTCATGAAAGCTTTAAATCAGAAGCGAAATATGTTAATATTGCGTTCATAATCTTTGCACAATCATACAGTACACAGTAGAGCAGTGGTGCAGTGGTTAGCACACTGCCCTATGAAGCTGGCTTCCTAAGTTCTATTCGTGGTCATGGCTAACATCAATAGCAAATGATATCCGACCCAGTCTTGAACCCCATCTTTACCAGCCTGCATTGCACCGTACGGTGAAGCGTGGTCAGACAACGCTGTTGTTGACACGTGGTCAGAGGAGAGGCTTTCATCCAGCAGTGGATTGACAACGGGCGGAAAAGTATAATTATCAGTGTTTCTCGGTTTAAACTTTGTGTAATATAACAAGTTAGAGCTCGTGGTCCTTGTGTGGATCGACAGGTTCTCACTATGCAATTCAGGTCCATTCCTTTGGTCACGATACAAGATTTGATTTAAAGTGGATTAAAAGAAACACAACTTTTTCTCATTTGCACAAGTAGCTTGTTTAAGTTCTTACAAAAATATTTTCTCCTCTTATTTCTCTCCATCGGTGTCTCAATAAAGTTAAGTATTATTTCGTATAAAAATTATTTTATTAAATTAAAAATTCTCTTTTATTGCACGCATAGAGAAAACAAACAAACAATAAAATTTATGATTGCAGACATCTTGGTATTTAATTTACTGCACATTTACTCCACCGTGGCCCGTGGATTGTACTTGCAAAGCATTGCCAATACCTCATTAAAATTTTAAAGATGATCTTGGCAGTTGGAGAGCAACACGCCGCTCTCTGGTTGGTGTGGGTCACGGCAGTGGCAAGGTTTCCTCTTTCGACGCTACTTTGCAATCATCTCATTTTATGGGATATGACAGACTGTGGCGTGTTCTGCCATAATTACAAAACCCCTGTGGTGATGTGTGGTTATCATGAATCTGCAATGTGCAGACTGGAAGGGAGCCTTCAAAGGAAGTGTCACTTAACTTACATTGGCTGCAAAAAATCTGGCTGGGAACAAAGTCCCCACAATGTTCAATGCGTGGAGCCCCAATGCATTGTTTATTGCCCTCGTGTGTTCGTGTGGGTTTGAATTCCTGATCATTAATTCAGGAACATTAACATCGTTTATGAATGTAATTGTTATGAATGTACTCTAGCTTTACTGCTGTGCTGCATTTATTTGGAAACGTTCATCTTGAGAAAGTGTTAAAAGTCACTGAGCCACAATTCTTCCTCTGGATATTCCTCTGCTGAAAAGACATTGGGTGTTGGACGTGCAATGCTTTCAACGAGGGGACTGGCTAATGTCCACTTAAATTAGCTTCCATTGCCTCCGAGTTGCACTTGTTTTAATTATTGCATGACGTGCAGGTGGTGAATTTAATGGGAAAGTGAGAATAACAGGGAAAGTTGGGTTCCAGAGTTCATAGCCAGGTTTCGTTTTTTATGTGGGAGTTGACACATCCTGGAACATCACGCTACAGTTTCACAAGAGCCATGTGGACCTGTGCGTGGGCAACTTCTGTCTGACATGACTTGCGTTGCTGTTTAGAGGACTGGAGTGTCACATACATTTTTTGGGGGAAAAATGACACCACATTTTTGGCAGCAGCAACAATTTATATCAAAAGCTGCTTACAGAATATTTTAATTTTTGGAGTGAATGATGTCTGTGAATTAGAATGCTGCACCACTCCTCCCAGGGTTCAGTTTTCCTCACCTGCTCACTAGGAAGCGACCTCTCACTGCCAGTTTTGCCACGTGTACACGTTCTCACTCTGCTTCTGACCTAGGAGGATTGGTGACACCTCTACAGCATTTGTGGTGCCTAACAGCAGCAAGTGATAATGATGTACGATGGCATCAGCAACATTGACCATCGTGACCTCTTGACCTTTACGCTTGTTTTCCTGCTTGCTCACAAAGTGTTCCACTCTATGCTGCACGTTGACCAGGCCTGGTGCCAGAGGAGAGCGAGGAGAGCTCTGAGGACAGTTCTGGCAGTGAAACCTCCAAACTGCAGGACCTGCCACCCTGCTGGGGGCTCGACATTGTGTGCGGCAAGGCCACGGACTTCAACTACGGGCCCTGGGCTGATAAACAGAGGCAGGCTGGTGCACAGACACAAAAGATAAAGATCCCCCGTATAGCCTTAACAGACTAGGGGCAAGTGCTGTTAGCGAGCACCTATGAAGGCCGGAACGGTACACGAGGGGGTGGGTGGCCAGCACCACGCCCGACCGCCTTTGTCTCCCCAGCGGCGATGTTTACACATTGCACCAGGTACTCATTTCAGGCTGAGTCGACCTAGGGAAGGCCCAGGACCGGTTCAGATAATCGTCACTGGTGTTGGCCGTGAGCGGGAATCGAACTCGGGTCGCCAGGTTCACAGCGCAGTGTGCTAACCGCTACACTACCGCACAGATACACCCGCGTACACACAGTCACATACACACTTGTGTACACGCACATGGAGACACATTTTTCCTGTTTAGTTCTACCGTTAAGTCTTTAACACTGCTAAAATTTACGGGGCGTAAGACAATCATTGCTGTTAGGTGACATGGAGAGTGAACCATGTCGACATTTGTAGTGCAAACAAAACTGCTTTGAAGAGGTGGCCTTATTGAATGTGCCCTGGGGTAGATGCTGCCAGTGAGCGTTTGTCGAGCATTGTGCAGCATGGGGGTAGTGTAGCGTGGCCAGCACCGTTTACACGTGGCCAGCACCGTTGACGCGTGGCCAGCACCGTTTACGCATGGCTAGCACCGTTTACGCATGGCTGCCGTTGTTTCCCGCAGTGCTGATGTTGACAACGCCACACTGGGTTCTGATTTTAGCTCGTGCTGACCTAGGAGAGGATCAGGTAAGGTTCAAATACCAGTGGCTACTGGTGTGTTCAGCATGGTTTGAAATTGTACCCTGCTGGGATTATGGTGCAGTGTGCTAAACACTACACCACCACCACCACCCCTGGCGTTTTCTTTTTGCGTTTGCTGAGCACAGTCTTCTATGCTTCAAACGCAAAGTGGCCAGCAATTAAGATCGCTAATGATCGTTCAGCAGAAATGAAGCAACTCATCTCTTGACATGAGCAGGTTCAATAGGAACATGTTTAAAAGAACATGGAAGGGAATTTAAAAGTTGAACAGTACAAGCAGACGAGGAGGAGGAAGATGAATCCTCTATCCTGCATCATGTTGTATAACATCGACGCTAATGATTGTTTTCTGTTACGTGTTAAATAACTATGCATCCAACTAGGACCCGTGACGAACAGAGAGGATCCTTGCCTGTAAACATTAAGCAGTTTGCCAGCATTGTTTTCAGCAACCCAGACTACTGATGAGACATGCCGAAACTGGTCCAGAGTATGCTTGTTTTTCACGAGTGCTAATGAAATGACGTACTCCCAGAAGGCTGTGTGTTTGATGGGATGTGTACAAATTTTTTTATTTTACTTTTTACATGAAGGAACGGAATTGGTGATAAAGTTGTTATTGCCTGCTTATTTATATTTCTATCTTCAATGTTATTGAGCAGTAGGGTAAGAATTAGGAGTTTTACTCCAGATATCACAACGTGGAAGGACATACGCACAAATGCATCGGTATGTATTTACCTGTTTACAGTTTTATTACGTTGTAAGTGTATAGTGCGGACTATGCTCATGTTTGGTTGCATTGGAACATTGAAGTGTTTGTATCCAATGTTCAGAAATGTGATTGTTTCTTCCAGTAGGCAGGGCACTTTGCCAAAGTAAATTAATATTCAATAGAAACAAAAGCCATTAGAGACTCGATACGTAAAGTGTTATGGAACATGGCCAATTGAGATAGTAAACGCGTTTTAAATGTAAATTAACTGCGCAAATCAATGTGCAAATATGTTTGAAAATGTAGCCTAATGTGTGTGGCATTGTAAACTCATTTTTAAATAACATTGACCAATACTTGAGGATCTAAGTGTTGGTTACAAGACAGAATGCGAAAATGAGCAAGGCTGTGTTTTGCATTTTAACATTCGATATATAATTCAGTGAGATTTAGACTGAAAAATGGTATGAATACATTGCTTGATTTGAAGCTTTCGTGACTGCAGGAATCTATACTCTGGTTCTTTCGGTAAAGTATTTTATACCTACGTGACTTTATCGAAAGAACCAAAGAGTATAATACATTGCTTACTTGTGGATTAATGGACCTTAGTGCTGTGCGGAAGGTTCCGGGTCACGTGGGTAGATTGTTTTCAGTCCTCTAGATTGAAAACTCCTCTCTTTAGAACTGCTTTTTGTGTTTAGTTTGTTGTCTTTCCCCACACCTCCGATGAGCACGGGCAGCTGCGTATAGTGCGAAAGACGTTCAACAACATACATACTGTACGTACGTAAGTGAGTGCAGGTGTGTCCGCGCGGTAAAATGTACTGCGCCATATTTGATTTGTCGTCCTTCATCTTTGCCCTCTGTCCCTCACCAGGGAGCATCTCTGGAAGTTCTTTTTCCCGAGTGACTACCAACCCATGAAGGTCACGGAGATGGCCAAGCCAGGCGAGCTGCGGCAGAACCTGGCCTTTGAGTTGCGCATGAATATCATTGCAGATGCCACCATGGACTTGCTGTTCACCAAGAACCGGGTGAGCTTGGAGTGATCGGGATGTGGCGCTTCGATGGACTAATACTCAATGTAAAAGGACTCATGTTCTGGGTTTAAATCTATATGGTTACCCATGATTATGCAGTACCGAAGCCTCAAGTGTAGAATAGTGGCAGGCTCGCTCGTTTGCATGATGATTATTGTAACTTTTATTTTCACAGTGCGTTTTGTTTTTGATTCTGTGAAATAACTTTGTGCATGAATGAATTATTTTGGCTGTCATGCAGGAAACCAATGCAATTCATGTGAACATTGGGGCAGGATCATATCTGGAGGTGAACATTCCTATGATTGTGGGTGAAAATGGTGAGTTTGCCCAATGCCAAGTGCCACGAAATCAGAATTGAATGAACGGAGTGCGTTGTAAAGGTTGTTTTGTTTAATATTGCTGATGTAAAGTTAACTTTGTAGGTGTTTGATGTGTCACTTGTTGCTGACCCAGCAGAGACCTAACATGCAACAGCCAGCAAATGTTGCAGGCTAACGAGGTGTGCGACGCTAAAAGGTTTAAAGGCTTTATTTGAAATTTAAAATCGCCCCCATTTCAAGGAGGTATCAGTACATTGCACAAACAAATTCAAAGATCAAATCTCGTAAAATACAGAACGATGAAATGCACTTAAGGGAAAGCAATGAGGAATTAGTGAGTCTTGCATTCCCTCCTGAACACGCGGAGACTCAGAGAGCACAAGACATGATACGCTGAATGTAAAATGGGATGCATCAAATCAGTGTTGTTACTTGGGGAATCGGCTATTTTGCAAGAAGCCTGGCTGCATTATACAACTTAGCAGTCCCATGATGAAGCCAACCTTTAGCCAAACTTTGAAGATGTTGGTTACTGACATGCACTTTCAATTTCTAAATATTGATAGGTGTTGCTCACCCTTTATAAACATAACTTTCATAATAGCCACCTGGATGGCAAGACGGGATATACTATCCCTACGTGGGCTGTACAGTTTATAGCCAGATCTCTTATTGTCATAAAAAACAAACCTTTGAACATATCAACTTAATATTCATGAAAATAAAAAGCAAATTGTTGCTTGTGACAGTGTTTTATTTTATGCGTCTGTGGCTTGGTCAGGTGATCTTTGTTTAGTGTGCTTGTTCACGATTGCTTTTATATTAAGGACAACATTTGTCTTTTTTGTAATGTAGCTGATAAGACCCATAGTTCTGGAAATCCACAGAGGACAAGTGATCACAGGTCAAATATACAGTGAGGGAAACAAGTATTTGATCCCCTGCTGATTTTGTACGTTTGCCCACTGACAAAGAAATGATCAGTCTATAATTTTAATGGTAGGTTTATTTGAACAGTGAGAGACAGAATAACAAAAAATATCTAGAAAAATGCATGTCAAAAATGTTATAAATTGATTTGCATTTTAATGAGGGAAATAAGTATTTGACCCCTCTGCAAAACATGACTAAGTACTTGGTGGCAAAACCCTTGTTGGCAATCACAGAGGTCAGACGTTTCTTGTAATTGGCCACCAGGTTTGCACACATCTCAGGAGGGATTTTGTCCCACTCCCCTTTGCAGATCTTCTCCAAGTCATTAAGGTTTCGAGGCTGACGTTTGGCAACTCGAACCTTCACCTCCCTCCACAGATTTTCTATGGGATTAAGGTCTGGAGACTGGCTAGGCCACTCCAGGACCTTAATGTGCTTCTTCTTGAGCCACTCCTTTGTTGCCTTGGCCGTGTGTTTTGGGTCATTGTCATGCTGGAATACCCATCCACGACCCATTTTCAATGCCCTGGCTGAGGGAAGGAGGTTCTCACCCAAGATTTGACGGTACATGGCCCCGTCCATCGTCCCTTTGATGCGGTGAAGTTGTTCTATCCCCTTAGCAGAAAAACACCCCCAAAGCATAATGTTTCCACCTCCATGTTTGACGGTGGGGATGGTGTTCTTGGGGTCATAGGCAGCATTCCTCCTCCTCCAAACACGGCGAGTTGAGTTGATGCCAAAGAGCTCCATTTTGGTCTCATCTGACCACAACACTTTCACCCAGTTGTCCTCTGAATCATTCAGATGTTCATTGGCAAACTTCAGACGGGCATGTATATGTGCTTTCTTGAGCAGGGGGACCTTGCGGGCGCTGCAGGATTTCAGTCCTTCACGGCGTAGTGTGTTACCAATTGTTTTCTTGGTGACTATGGTCCCAGCTGCCTTGAGATCATTGACAAGATCCTCCCGTGTAGTTCTGGGCTGATTCCTCACTGTTCTCATGATCATTGCAACTCCACGAGGTGAGATCTTGCATGGAGCCCCAGACCGAGGGAGATTGACAGTTATTTTGTGTTTCTTCCATTTGCGAATAATCACACCAACTGTTGTCACCTTCTTCTTTGGTTCTTTCGGTAAAGTCACGTAGAATGAGAATAAAATAATAAATTGATAAAATAAAATAACACAATAATATTCTCACGACGTTTCGGCCACAACACAAGCGGCCTTCATCAGGTGAAGGGGCGAGACTGTCTGGTAGGACAGCGCTGGAATGTTGTCACCTTCTCACCAAGCTGCTTGGCAATGGTCTTGTAGCCCATTCCAGCCTTGTGTAGGTCTACAGTCTTGTCCCTGACATCCTTGGAGAGCTCTTTGGTCTTGGCCATGGTGGAGAGTTTGGAATCTGATTGATTGATTGCTTCTGTGGACACGTGTCTATTATACAGGTAACAAGCTGAGATTAAGGAGCACTCCCTTTAAGAGTGTGCTCCTGAACTCAGCTCGTTACCTGTATAAAAGACACCTGGGAGCCATAAATCTTTCTGATTGAGAGAGGGTCAAATACTTATTTCCCTCATTAAAATGCAAATCAATTTATAACATTTTTGACATACGTTTTTCCGGACTTTTTGTTGTTGTTATTCTGTCTCTCACTGTTCAAATAAACCTACCATTAAAATTATAGACTAATCATTTGTTTGTCAGTGGGCAAACGTACAAAATCAGCAGGGGATTAAATACTTTTTTCCCTCACTGTTCGTATGTGGCTGTAGGCACGTAAAGAAATGGAAATTTGACACGTGTGACACGTGATAAAGTAGCTGCAGGAGATCCCAAATTAAATGTAAACTTCAGGAATCCATATTCTCTGTGCACGGTATAGGATGATCCATCATCCAATCCAGGCTACTCGCCAAAGAGGAGGTTAAGTTCATGTGCATAACACAAATTTCGTTGGAAAATTGTTGAGGATGAATGTTCTGATCTGGTCTTGCATCCAGAATTCTGTAATAAGTCACCTCAAATGTCAACTTGCTGCAATTAATACAGACTTGAAGGAAGACTGACTTGATTGAAACGATCAGAGCACCTAATAAAACACAACACTTCTCAGACTTCGTTTAAATTAGACGCACTTATTGACCTTGAATATATTAAACCACAGTGAATTAAAACCTCCTGGAGATGTAATCATTCGCACGATTCACCACAACTCGCCAGCCTACCTGGGTTGGCCTCTGTTGGTCTACATGCTGATTGTTGGACTATATAATGCCAATGGTCGTGATGATAAGCCTGACGGCAAGCCGCACTGCTCGGTAAATCCTGAACATAATTTATTTAAGCCTTGTCATTGATTTTGTGTACCATTTGCTGCAGTGATCAATGCACTGCGATCTGTAACCGGTGGGTGCGCTTGATTCCTGGCAACGGCTAATATGAGTCCAAATGATATCTGAATCGGTTCTAGTCCTCTGGTTTGTAAACATCAGCGTTTAGAAGACAAGCCAGGCACGATGCTGACCACACCACCCCATCGTGCACCATCCCGTCCCTAATAGGCACTTAGAAATAATCACTTACCCCAACTGCCTATGCAGGCTATGTGGACGGTCTTTGTAGATGTGTGAGAGGGCCTGCTTGCTGTATGCTCATAGTTATTGTTTCTATTACCGATATCGCTGCCACTTCTAACAGTGTTTACCCTTCTCTTCCTAGGTTTCTCCTCCACCATCAAAGGGCAGCTGTTACATGTGGACGCGACCAGCAGCATGCAGTACCGTTCCCTCCTGGAGGCTGAGACACTTGCGGTGAGAGACACCGCACCACACTGCCTTTAACTTCTCCGTTAATGATGCAAATGATGATTGTGATGCCTCTGGGTTGGCAGTGATGTACAAGCACATGGAACAAAAAAAATTAAACACGTTCGTCAATAATGCTGTTATAAAAGAAAACGTGTATATATATATAAAATAGGTGATTTAACACCTAGGCTTTCGCGACCATTATCCATAATACAGGTTTTTTTGTGTAAGATTGCGTAAATATAAATTGACAGCCAATTAGTAAGGTTTGTCACGTAAACAGAACATGTCAATTCGTTACTAGTAAAGCACACCGAAACACCGGTGTTTTAAGAAATTGCTCTTCTTTCTTGCATATGAATAGAGAGGCTAGAGAGATAGTGGATCAGATATTTTATAGTCTCTAATAAGCTGCTGGGGAGTGGCACGATAGAAAAAAGGGTGCTTCTGCAGATTCCTTCGCTTTGAACAGAACACCATGTGAACACATTTTTTTGGGGAAAAAATCGTATTTTTTTTACTCTTCTGTGTCTGATATATTATTTAATTAATTTTATGATTTGATAAATGGGACTGACGGCGAGGCTTGACCTGTGGAAAAAATTGCGTTGGCAGCACCCTTCGCGCGAGCACGGCTGAGCCCGCATGTCAGTACAACCTCCCCATCTCCCCTCCAAGGCCGACTTGGGAGATGTTCGGACTGTGTCCTGCAGTCATTTGTCTTTTAGCCCAATCGTATAATGTGCCAGGCGCAAAGCAGGGCTTGGTGTGGTCAGCACTCGGATTTAGGATTGCTTGGCCAATTCATTTGCACGATGCATTGGCTGATGGTAATAATCTAGCTACCTGGTGGTAGGGTTGAGTGATTGTGCTGCGATCACGCTCACAAACCACAGCACCACACTGCATAGGCAGCATTGAGGCAGCACAGCAAATAGGTTGCTAATCTTTGCAGTGTTTGTCACTGCTTCAAATGTATGTGGGTACTTTCTGCATACTCTGATTTCCCCCCCCCCCCCCCAATTGCACAAATCCCGTGCTCAATAGGATTTGGCCAACTCTATCGAAGTACGGTCCTTCTCAGAATGTCTTCTGGGTCTGAGTGCGGCTTTCCTGGATAAAGGATGAGTGCTGGTCCTCTATCCATCATTGTGTCAAAGGCACATTTCTCTCATGCCATTATTACAGGTCGTTCACCGGCCAGCTGGAATTAAGTGTCTCACCAGATGTGCGTGTGGTGTTTCAGTGTTAACGGCCATGAATTCGATTTAAAGCCAATGCTGTGAACGAAGGACCCTTTTGATATTTGCTTCTCCCTTGTTCTCTTTTCTGTATCTCTTTAGTTTCATGTCAATGCCAACTACTCGTTGCTGTGGAACATGCACCAGGCGTGGCAGTGTGAGATTGAGGTCTGCAAAGCCACCTACTACTTCATATTTGCACAGAAGAACTTCTTTCAAGGTGAGTTGTGTCACACGTGTTTATGGTTGGATCCCAGCTGGTTTGTGGTCGTTAATGGACGCCTTCGTTTTGTAAACCACCCCTGTAAAAATGGAATGATCTAAAGCTGGTTGCATGTAACTGCTTTCACAAATCGTTGGTGGGCGGTGGTGGCGAATGCCTGTAACCCAGCGCTGAGAAGCTGAGGGGGGTTTCAGAGAGCACTAGTTATACAGTGGTTGTCAGAGTACACTAGTTATGTAGTGGTTGTCAGAGTACACTAGTTATGTAGTGGTTGTCAGAGTACACTAGTTATGTAGTGGTTGTCAGAGTACACTAATAATGTAGTGGTTGTCAGAGTGCACTAGTTATGTAGTGGTTGTCAGAGTACACTAGTTATGTAGTGGTTGTCAGAGTACACTAGTTATGTAGTGGTTGTCAGAGTACACTAGTTATGTAGTGGTTGTCAGAGTACACTAGTTATGTAGTGGTTGTCAGAGTACACTAATAATGTAGTGGTTGTCAGAGTGCACTAGTTATGTAGTGGTTGTCAGAGTACACTAGTTATGTAGTGGTTGTCAGAGGACACTAGTTATGTAGTGGTTGTCAGAGTACACTAGTTATGTAGTGGTTGTCAGAGTACACTAGTTATGTAGTGGTTGTCAGAGTACACTAGTTATGTAGTGGTTGTCAGAGTACACTAGTTATGTAGTGGTTGTCAGAGTACACTAGTTATGTAGCGGTTGTCAGAGTACACTAGTTATGTAGTGGTTGTCAGAGTACACTAGTTATGTAGTGGTTGTCAGAGTACACTAGTTATGTAGTGATTGTCAGAGTGCACTAGTTATGTAGTGGTTGTCAGAGTGCACTAGTTATGTAGTGGTTGTCAGAGTGCACTAGTTATGTAGTGGTTGTCAGAGTGCACTAGTTATGTAGTGGTTGTCAGAGTACACTAGTTATATAGTGGTTGTCAGTACACTAGTTATGTAGTGGTTGTCAGAGTACACTAGTTATGTAGGGGTTGTCAGAGTACACTAGTTATGTAGTGGTTGTCAGAGTACACTAGTTATGTAGTGGTTGTCAGAGTACACTAGTTATGTAGTGGTTGTCAGAGTACACTAATTATGTAGTGGTTGTCAGAGTGCACTAGTTATGTAGTGGTTGTCAGAGTGCACCAGTTATGTAGTGGTCAGAGTGCACCAGTTATGTAGTGGTTGTCAGAGTACACTAGTTATGTAGTGGTTGTCAGAGTACACTAGTTATGTAGTGGTTGTCAGAGTGCACTAGTTATACAGTGGTTGTCAGAGTGCACTAGTTATGTAGTGGTTGTCAGAGTACACTAGTTATGTAGTGGTTGTCAGAGTACACTAGTTATGTAGTGGTTGTCAGAGTACACTAGTTATGTAGTGGTTGTCAGAGTACACTAATTATGTAGTGGTTGTCAGAGTGCACTAGTTATGTAGTGGTTGTCAGAGTGCACCAGTTATGTAGTGGTCAGAGTGCACCAGTTATGTAGTGGTTGTCAGAGTACACTAGTTATGTAGTGGTTGTCAGAGTACACTAGTTATGTAGTGGTTGTCAGAGTGCACTAGTTATACAGTGGTTGTCAGAGTGCACTAGTTATGTAGTGGTTGTCAGAGTACACTAGTTATGTAGTGGTTGTCAGAGTACACTAGTTATGTAGTGGTTGTCAGAGTACACTAGTTATGTAGTGGTTGTCAGAGTACACTAGTTGTGTAGTGGTTGTCAGAGTGCACTAGTTATGTAGTGGTTGTCAGAGTGCACTAGTTATGTAGTGGTTGTCAGAGTGCACTAGTTATGTAGTGGTTGTCAGAGTACACTAGTTATGTAGTGGTCAGAGTGCACTAGTTATGTAGTGGTTGTCAGAGTGCACTAGTTATACAGTGGTTGTCAGTATGCACTAGTTATGTAGTGGTTGTCAGAGTGCACTAGTTATGTAGGGGTTGTCAGAGTGCACTAGTTATGTAGTGGTTGTCAGAGTACACTAGTTATGTAGTGGTTGTCAGAGTACACTAGTTATGTAGTGGTTGTCAGAGTACACTAGTTATGTAGTGGTTGTCAGAGTGCACTAGTTATGTAGTGGTTGTCAGAGTGCACTAGTTATGTAGTGGTTGTCAGAGTACACTAGTTATGTAGTGGTTGTCAGAGTGCACTAGTTATGTAGTGGTTGTCAGAGTACACTAGTTATACAGTGGTTGTCAGTATGCACTAGTTATGTAGTGGTTGTCAGAGTGCACTAGTTATGTAGTGGTTGTCAGAGTGCACTAGTTATGTAGTGGTTGTCAGAGTGCACTAGTTATGTAGTGGTTGTCAGAGTGCACTAGTTATGTAGTGGTTGTCAGAGTACACTAGTTATGTAGTGGTTGTCAGAGTGCACTAGTTATGTAGTGGTTGTCAGAGTACACTAGTTATGTAGTGGTCAGAGTGCACTAGTTATGTAGTGGTTGTCAGAGTGCACTAGTTATGTAGTGGTTGTCAGAGTACACTAGTTATGTAGTGGTTGTCAGAGTACACTAGTTATACAGTGGTTGTCAGTATGCACTAGTTATGTAGTGGTTGTCAGAGTGCACTAGTTATGTAGTGGTTGTCAGAGTGCACTAGTTATGTAGTGGTTGTCAGAGTGCACTAGTTATGTAGTGGTTGTCAGAGTACACTAGTTATACAGTGGTTGTCAGAGTACACTAGTTATGCAGTGGTACTGGTTTTTCAACGACAGCCACGGGAGGGAACGCAGGTGAGACGATTACACCTGGGGTTTACGCATTCGGCGAGAAAATTGGGATGCATTGTTCTAAAATGCAAGGCCAGGTGCACAGTGGAGAATACAATAGCAGTGCTGCATTAGCAGTTCATTCAGAGTAGATGCCTACGATACCAGTAATGTTGCTGACGATGACGGTGGTGATGTTTTTGACACCTGTGCAGATTTGATTGAGGACTGGACGAACGACAACCCTTTGGACATCTGCTCGTTCGTGCCGTACACCTGGAACTTCAAGGTGATTCTGCACCAGTTTGAGATGGTGTGGGCTGCCAACCAGTACAACTGGATCGACTGCTCCACCAGGCAGCAGGAGAATGGTACATGCCGCGCGAGAGTCTTTGTCATTCTGATTTCACCAATGCCCGTATATCACGACGTGTACGTTTCCACCGGGTTTGAACATTTACATTTCTCGCAGTCCCCCGGTTTGCCTTGCATTTGTTAACGATAGAAGCGGAGTTTAAGTCAAAGTGCTTTTTTGCTCAAACAAGCAAGGACTAATAAAATAATACAAACTATTATTTCCCTTCTCCGTGAGTTTACCGAAAGAACCAAGAATATGAATCCCTGCAGTCACGAAAGCTTTAAGTCGAAATTTAAAAGCGAGGACTAGTTGCTCATAATCTGTGTACAGCTCTGAGCCAGTGGTAAACTTTCCCCATTCCTTTGGTGAGGGTGAGTCTATCCATAAGGCAATGCTTGTGTTTCCACAAAGTGGTACTCCTTTTTTATCGACTTGAGGGATGAAGGGCTGGTTGTGTCCCCTGAATGCGAGCCATGAGCTCCAACCACTCTGCCCCATCAGCTGAACGTGTCAAAATGTAAAAGGGAGGCAAGGTTGCAGCCCTGTAATGTTCTTGCTCACACTGCTGTTGGCAGAGGGGACTCCAATAATGGGAGCATTAGAGAGAGCCCCTCTAGAGGATATATTGCCTTCTCTCACACTACTGGCCAGACACCTTGGAAGCAGTGTGCGAATATATGGATTTTACAAAGTGCATACAAAATAAACATTGTGCACCCCCCCCCCCCCCCCCCCATATAATGAATATAAAATTCCAAACTTGAAATCTGTTGCTGTCTGGGCATGAATGCTGTGTTTAGAGTGACACTTGCAAGTGTGGAGTGTTTGCTGTCTCAATGAAATGATCCCTTTGGCCTGTTCCCATTCACTACTTGTCCTCTATTTAATATATTTTTATTACCTTCCAGCCCAGCCATTGATTGGTAAGATGCAGATCAGATGGATAATGAAACCGCTGAGATTACGGGGAAAAGTATAGTTACGTCGGCATTCCTGATTGCTGGGCATTACGCTGTGTACACAGGAGGTCACACGCTCATGCTTGCACAGAGCCTGTAGTGTGTAAGTGTATTATGATGTGAGGAGCACTCGTTTCAGTGACACTTAGGCGTCATTCCTCGTGCAAGCGCTGAAATTTAAAACAAAACTCACTGGGGAGGCACAAGAGTCACAGCTGCATTTCAGCGTTTGGTACGGCGATTCCCGTGGCCAGTTTTTGCTCTTTACAGGATTGGTTTTAGTTGATACTTGGCAGTAAAGCGTCATCCAAACTTGCAACTAAACTTCACAAACAAATGGCAGCCGAGTTGTATGAACAAATTCACCTTTTGAAGTGTCGTATATAAAATAACAATTCCCGTGTTCGACACTGACTATATGCAATTCACATGGAAGTTTTTTTTTAAAAAACGTGTACATGAACCACATGCATTAAACACCTTGGCCATGTGTGTAAAACTTTAACATTTTATTATGTCAAGCCGGTAGTCCACATTCACCTTGCAAGAATGTGGCAGTGTGCGTGCCATTATTCATGGATGGTCGCATAGTCCATCAATAGACAAGGGTTAATTACATTCTAATTTTAAACTGAAGGACATGGAGATGTCACGATGGTATAAAATAACTCGGCTATGCTGATTGCGGATTATTGTTTGGATTCGGGTAGCTGAGATGTCAGTGGCAGAAGTCACTTGTTGACCTCTGGATTCGGGGTTTGTTGATTTAAGTCCTATCCGCCACATATTAGCGAATGCCATATTTTGAAAGGTACCCTTCGTGAGCGTTAAGCCGTTGTGGTTTAGTTAAATGTACCTCCTAAATAAATGTATGTGTGACATTCACCAGTATGGGAGCCTTTATAATGGTGTCACGTAGGAGTGGAACAATTCACTTTCCTGGTGATTCTAGGAATCTTTGCAATTCAGGGTTGCGATTTGATGCAATAATTGTTTTATTATCACTGTGGTGCTGAATGGTAGTGCCTCCAGTGACTACAGGGCTCATGTGGAGGAGCCCCAATGCATTCACTGCATGTGATTCTAAAAACATACATTCTTACGCACCTGATTTAATCCACATATCCGCAGCTTTAAGGATGCACGTTAATCAATTAATCTGTGCATCATTATGGCCATGGTATCTAATACACACGTGGTAGCCAATCTGCAAATTGTGTTGACCTTCGAGCGGTTGTGGTAATATATATATCATTGTCAGGTAGAGGAAAATATGAGTTTGTCAACACACTTAAATGGAGAGTATGCGTACACAACAGAAATGGGTTAAAATTATATAACCTGGCATGCACGTTCATATAGTAGTACTGTTCAGTGTTTACCCTCGTCTATGCTAATATATAATCGGACAAAGCAATTCCATACGTCTGTGAATGCCATTATGGCGGTGAGCAGGGTTTGATTACAGCTCGCTCTGGCAGGGTCGGTGACCGGGAAATATTATATTTCTGCACGCGACACATCGCATCCAGTGCACCTCGCGCTGTGGCTCGTAGACACGCACCTACTCCAGTTGACCAGTGACCTGGAAAAATATCCGCTGAGGAATTGAACTCTCGTGGGGGCCAGCGTTATTATTTAGCCATTTCTAGGCCACATGGTGCATTGGGACATTTTGTGGGATGTTAAAAAATCATTTTTGGCTCTGCTAGAAATCGGGGGGGTGGGGGGGGGTGGGGGAGGCACAGGAGTGGGAGTATTCTCGTGTCCCCAAAGCACAGCTTCGGCCTCCTGCCAAGGGGCGTAAACACATTTGTGTCAAGCCTTCTGCCGTTGTTGCCACTTGCCCGGTTGATGCATTCTGAACAGCCGCGAAACCCTATGGCAACGACAGTCCTCCAGATTTGGATCTGTGGAACATTGTCACTTATTAATTATTAGAAGAGGGGGGGGGGACAGACCTGCAGCTGATATTTAGTGAGAGCTCGTGGGAACAAAACCGAATCAACAATGGTGCTCGGTTAGTGTTTCTGGACACCAGTGTAATTTTGTGCGAAACATGAGCGTCCTTTATTTGATCCAGGTGAGAGGGCCCATTGAGAATGGAAGTCTCTTTTGTCATGGGCACCTGGGTTTCCTATGGAAATGCGATTTAAAAAAAGTGCATCCACAACATGCAAATTCGATATGCATATAGATCATATAGATCAACCTGGACATTACAGCAAATGAAAATCAATAGAGGGGAAAGTGTAGCACACATATATAGCAATGGTAGACATAAACATGAAGGGTTTGTTTCTATTTTTCATATTAATCTGAAACATCAGAAAAGCGGACCCATATACTACATTTTGGATGACCTGACTTTCTTTTGTTTTTTCGGTTTACCTGAAAACTTGAAATCACAGGAAGTGACGTCAGTTCAATGATTTCTCGTGCACTGCCTTCCCGCCAAAATTGCCATCACGTGATGGCACTTTTCCTTAAACAATAAAAATGTTTGCATTAAAATTGTATGTTTGCTGTTGGTCTTGGAGGGTTTAAAGCTTTGCTTTCCAACATTTCTAAGCATATTGTAAAACAGCGCTGTGGCGGTTGGGGAACGTACACTGGACGTAGGCGCAGGATCCTGGGTCTGTTTGTGCATCGCCTTGTTTAATGCTTACTTAGCAAGAGCTGCGCAGGTATAGGGCTGGCGTCGTGTGGCGGTGACCATGATTTAACCAAGACAGGCCATGGTCAAGCAGACCTGCTGGCCCCTGCCTACCTGTTACAGGTTCTTTTATGCATTCGTGGCAGTGTCAGCCAACGCAGATAAACTATTTTAAGAAATAAATAAAAAATGGACAGGAATGTTTTAAACACAGGTCAGAGTTACGAAGGTTTAGGTGTAACGCTGCACAGACTCTTTGATTATTACTGATTCTCGAGCTCAGGACATGTGAAAATAAACTATTTTTGTATTCGTATTTGTCGCGTGTATTGGGTTCACATCGCCTTTGCACGGAATATAACTCTGGTCAAAGTTTTACTAAATTGCTTGCATATAAGTCCCTGCATACATGTGTTTGTACGTGTGTTTTAGTCTTTCCCACCTTTCTAAACGTTGTGCGTTAATATTGTGGTTCAGTTCAAATCAAGTAGTGTATTGATTTGTCTGAGATGTAAATAAATGTCGAGTGATGTCTTTTGAGTTGCATATTTTATAGACAAGTCAGTTGTATTGCTTTGCACACTCATCCCCATCAAATTGTATTCTTTCATTAGAAAATCTTAGCTCTTGCACATTTTAATAGATATGTTTCTGTAGATTGCACATTCTCTTACGCAGTGATTTCCATTTAAATGAGCCTTGCATGCTTCTGTACAGGAATCCATTTGCTGTGTGAAATACCATAGGAATGCCACATGAATGTAATGGTTATAAGAATATCCCCTGTTGTATGTCAAGCTTTCACATTGTCATGGTTCAGAACTCCAACAGTGGTGTTGAAAATAATATTTGCTCAAAGCCTCCTGAACCAGTTTGAGTGGGATGGTGGAAAGCAAATCACTTGACCCTCAGGAGGATTTCCGTAGTGCCCAAAGCATTATCCTAAAAACCTGGACAGAAATCTCCAATTTAATTTTTGTCGCGGATATATATTTTTTATAACTCTTCATTCAGCAGAGCAAAATGTCATGTTCGGGAACTGTCGTGGAAGATGAAACTGTCAAAAATAAAACCTATAGTCGCTTCAATTATCCCCTTCTTAAACTAACAACGGGTAGTGCCATTGTACGCTGCTTGATGGGACTGTGTAATAGAGCCTTATGTTCCAGAATTGTGTTTTTTTTAATTTGTAAACAGTGTGATCATCTGCACAGTAGCGACTAAAACAATATATAGCAACTTCTTTGGTTCTTTCGGTAAAGTGACGTAGAATGAGAATAAAATAATAAATTGATAAAATAAAATAACACAATAATATTCTCACGACGTTTCGGCCACAACACAAGCGGCCTTCATCAGGTGAAGGGATGAGACTGTCTGGAGGACAGTGCTGGAGTGAAAATGCCACGCTCAGATCACGACGTGACTTTACCGAAAGAACCAAAGAAGATGAATCCTTGCAGTCACGAAAGCTTTAAATCGAAATATATAGCAACACCCTATATAGGATACGCCATTAACATTCCCTGTGCAAATACAATTTTTGTGGTAAAAAAATATATAATTTAAATATACAGTGTTAAAATTCACTCCCCTCGTTTCAGCCGCCATATACAAACATCTGAATTCGACACTGATTATCTGGAAAGTCCATGTAAGTACTGTTTTAGTCTTGGAGTACACACAAATGGTAGACATTTCACCTTGGCAGGAGGCAGGTGATGAGGAACCAATTATAAATATCATTCCCAACAGGGTCTTGATAAATTATTCTATTTATTTGATTTATCAATCAAAATGTATCTATATTACATTATATTGTTAATAATAATGTACAGCCCATGGTCACTTTACTGCTGGAGGAATGCTCTATCCATGCTGTGTAAGTAATGGGGGATGTTTGACCTTTACTTGCTGATTAGTGTGGGTTGGACCTGTCCAGATATAATTTGCCACTGATATGAGCCATGGTTAGGAATATAATCTGGTTTTGGGGTTTATCGCCACTGCTGTCCCTACATTGCACACTTACATTTAACTTATTTAGATTATTTAGCTGCTGTATATATCAATGTGATAAGCCACTTTGTTGAGCTTTCATTTGTGGCCAGATTGCTTCTGAAAAATAAGCTTATAGCTCAGTGGGCTTTACTGGTAAAATAAATAAATATATTCGTTTCATATTTTGTTATTGCTTTGCTTACCTTTCCTTTACTTTGCACTCCGATCGTGTTTTATATTGTTTATTGTTGAAACTTTCTAAAAAGCCCCTACTGGACATTTATGAAAAAGCTTTATAGCTCATTGGATTCCTCCAGTATAACTAAAGATTCCTATTCTGTAATTCTTAATCGAAACCTATCCATAAGCATGTTTCCACAGTATAATCTTTCAGAATGGGTCAAGATCTTGGATGGCTGCCTTGTATATGCGTGCTTTAAAAAGTGAATCGAATTGAAAACTACATTTGTGGACGTATGATTTTGTGTCTTCCGTTTTTTGTTGTGCAGTTTATCTCGCTGCATGTGGGGAGGTGCTGAACATTGATTTCTGTCTTCCTTACACCGACTTCCTTCCGGCAACTTGCAACATCAAATTTGTCCTGAAGGTAAGCAACACGCACAGCACTGCGATTACCCACACGCACCTGTACCGCGATTATTTGATCATTATTACACGTGTATGCATGTTGAACTTCTTTCACGCTGTACGTAGCTAATCGGAGGTGCTGGTGCTTACCTCTAGGAAACCCTTCACTCAGTCTCATGACTCATTCTCGGGAGGGTCCTGATAAGTTTTTGCAGTAGGGGGCGATGATTGCGATGTAGCTTCCACTTGAGTCACGAGTGGGTAATGTTTTGCAAATTTTGTCATCGCGGGGTCATTGATGCCCGCTGTGAAGCAAGCCGTGCGTGCTACCGTGGCCAATACACCCGCAGTGTTAACCAGGCCGACCGCTGGGTACTGTGAGCCTCTGCTACAGTCAATGAACGCATTGCCTCGGGTCCATGTTGCTCGTGGAGCGGGTAAGGTGGAGCCAAATTCAGGTTGAAAGATTTGTTTGAATGGGTCATTTAAAACAACACTGAGCAAGGTCGTTTGGTCGGCAAGGATTTAACCTGCCAAATTGTAGGAATTAATTGTGTCATTGCGTTTTGCTTTTTCACATTCGTTTCCACTCTAAAAAGGATTGTTCATTTAGAATGTAATTTATAGTGTTTTGCCAGTGTTCCTTTTTTGTATAAAGGCCGATGGTTCAAATACATTGTATCTCCTGCTTACACAAGTGTGAGGCATACTATTGTTGGTTTATGGCTGTGAGCAGTCGGTTAAATGACACAGTCTTCTGATCCGTGCTATTTACTGTACAGAAAACTTCTATTGACGTGACACAAAGTTCCAATTGTTTTATTGGCCTCAGAGGGTTAGAGGGCTGAGTTGGGCCCTGTAATATAAGATTTATAGATGAACACTGCGAGTCTGCAAGGGTGAATGGGCAGAGCTTTGCATTGTATTTGCGTGTTTTTAAAATTATATCCTTGCCAGTCGGAGGACGTGGAGCTCCGCCTCTTCCTGCCGGAGAGCCACAGCAGCCGCTACTCGCTACTGTCGCTCGCCAAGAACAGCTGCTCGGCGGGGCGGTGCGATGCGCCGCCGAGCCCCACGGCCCCCGAGCACGCCGGCGCCAAGCTCAAGAACAAGTGGCGCAATCTCACCGACGCCGAGTGAGCACCGGCTGAACCAGTGTCCTTCATTGCAAGGCCCGCGGGCCACTGGCGGACCCTGGTAGCCCCTTTAGTGTGGGCCCCTGATGCTTGGCCCCCAACAATACACAAATGTGAAAACACCCCCCATCGTCGTGCTCTGTCAAACCCAAATGGTTTCAAATGTGTGGTGGTGGCCCCTCACACCGATGATGTAATTAGTGAAGAACAATGAGATGAACTCCCAGCCCATGCACAGGACAGTCTGCCACCTGTGGCCTCGTTACTCGTGCTTTTATTTGCCTCGTCGAGTCTCTCCTGATTTGCGGCGTCGTTGTCAAAGCTTTGAACTAGGAATCCCTCAAGGGTTAGAGTTTAAATCCAGGTTGTGTGTTAACTCAGCCCAGCGTGCCTCCAGGTGTTGTCTACCACGCTGTGGGAAGAACAGGAAAAGGAGGAAATATTTACCATCTCTGGTTTGCTAATTGCATGATCATGATTGCAAGGAATAGAAGTTATTTGCAGGAAATTCTAGGAGAACTTGGCAAAGAAGGCTGCAAAGTGGGGTGCAAGATAAGCATCGATTAAACAAAGGTCAACAAAATGTATGTACAACACCTAAAGACAACCACTGATGATCAACCAACAATGGTTGTCTGTTGAAGGAACTGGTCCCCGCCATAGGAACATAGCATTTCCACTGCTGACGGAAATGGGCATTGTCCCACATTAAGTTGAGCAGCGGGGCGCTTTGACGGTTGTGTCCCGTTGTTTCCACCTATTAATGAAGGAGCACGAATTTGTTTCTGAGATCATTAATTTGTACGTCCATTTGTTGTCATTGCTACGCTCGAAATTAGAATTGTAAATTGTATCGAGCGCTTTATTCTTCGTTCATCACTGCGGACTGTTCGCCCAAGTGCAAATTAAATTGTGCCAGTGAGCGTGATGTTGAACGCACTGATGAAAATCTATCACTATTTCTCATCCATATCCCATTGAGGGGTTCAAAGCTTAATCCCACATTGCCACGCTCATTTTCAGACGGCATATTTTATTTAGATGACAATTTAATAACCTTAGAAATTTTGATTTAAAGCTTTCGTGACTCCAGGGATTCATATTCTTGGTTCTTTCGGTAAAGTCACGTAGAAGGGAAACAATATATATTTTTTATTTTATTGTTTCCTTTCTACGTGACTTCACCGAAAGAACCAAGAATATGAACCTTACAAATGTAAATCAATTGAATTTAAAGAATGTAACTCTTATTTCAGGAATGAGAACATTTCACAAAGCTGTTCTAATGTGTTTCGGTTTGTGATTATTTAATGAAAGCAATATATAATTCCCCTTCGCATTTTTTTAGAATCCTTGTGATTTTCCTTAGTGTTGACACAAAAGCGGTTTACCTTAGTGTTGACACAAAATCGGTTTACCTTAGTGTTGACACAAAATCGATTTACCTTAGTGTTGACACTAAAGCGGTTTATCTTAGTGTTGACACTAAATCGATCTACCTTAGTGTTGGCACAAAATCGGTTTATCTTAGTGTTGACACTAAAGCGGTCTACCTTAGTGTTGACACAAAAGTCTACCTTAGTGTTAACACAAAAGCGTCTACCTTAGTGTTAACACAAAATCGGTTTATCTTAGTGTTGACACTAAATCGGTCTACCTTAGTGTTGACACTAAAGTCTACCTTAGTGTTGACACTAAAGCGGTCTACCTTAGTGTTGACACTAAAGTCTACCTTAGTGTTAACACAAAAGCGGTCTGCCTTAGTGTTGACACAAAAGCGGTCTACCTTAGTGGTGACACAAAAGCGGTCTACCTTAGTGTTGACACAAAATCGGTTTACCTTAGTATTGACACTAAAGCAGTCTACCTTAGTGTTGACACAAAATCGGTTTACCTTAGTGTTGACACTAAAGCGGTCTGCCTTAGTGTTGACACAAAAGCGGTTTACCTTAGTGTTGACACTAAAGCGGTCTGCCTTAGTGTTGACACAAAAGCGGTTTACCTTAGTGTTGACACTAAAGCGGTCTACCTTAGTGGTGACACAAAATCGGTTTACCTTAGTGTTGACATTAAAGCGGTCTACCTTAGTGTTGACACTAAAGCGCCCCTCGTATTGAATTTCAGCACTTATCCTAATTGGGCAATGACAGAATGCGCTGGACTCTGGGTTGTAGTAATTACAACAAGAATGGTGTTGTAACAGCACAGGCGCCTTCAGTTTGTGATTGTGACCATAGAAAATCTCTCCCCCCCCCGCCCCCCGTCAACGTAGTCGTTAAGCGAGCGATGAGCGAGCGATGTGCGGTGTGTATTGCACGGCGAATAACCGACCGTACGTGCGTCGTCTGTTGAAAGGCTGTCTCTCCCGTAATGCGGCAATTGCGGCACTTATCATGGAAAATCAGATGAGTGTGTAATTAAGCAGCGGAACACAAGTAAAGTACCACAACACAGAGGCCAGTGAAGCAATAATGATGCGGTGCCGTGATGCCGCCTGTAAGCTAATTTCACCGTAGAGTTATCAGGATGAAAACAGGAAATTCCATAATGCACATGATTAGGGCTCTAATTGTTTTGTCATGTTAATCATCAGTCCCATGTAATCCGTACCTCGCAATAATATAGAGTCCTGCTGGGTGGAGCACTCGCGCTGTGTCATTCATGAGGGTTGTTTGATCATGCTTCACCATGCTAGCCAGCGTGGTTTGGTGATTGGTGGGGTCCTCAGGCCTGTAGAGTTATCCCTCATCACTGATGATGCCTACGGCTAGGATTCAAATTCAGGTCACGGGGATTGTAGCGGCATGGCTACCCATACATTTTTTGGTGGTCTTGGGCCCCTCTTTCACCGGTCGACATTGATCGGTCAACAACCCCCATGATCGACACAGCATGAGGGGGCTTTCATCCAGTAGTGGATGAACGAAGGGATGGGAAATTATAATGACGTGACCAGGTGATTTGTGTAAGTTAAGTGGATGGGTATACTGAAATACAGTTCTTCCTTGCAAATGACATGTAATGTCACGTAATGTCATTTCCTTTATCCAGTCCACGAGGGTCCTACATTGTGATGTTTGGCTGATTTAGCATTGGTTGGCCAATTTTGCATCTGTATCTCGATGGGCTCCTACCTGGTTTAATAAATTTCACCTATCTAAATCAAACACCCAATATTTTTCCTACCAAGGTTTTGAAATGGCAATATTTAATTGATATGCACAGCTCTGCTCTGTGTTTCGCACACATCCTTACCAAATGATGACCATCTGTATACATATTCTGCAGTGGCTCACTGTTAGGTATGCAGGATAGATGACAAGTCAGCAGCTAATGTCCTGCATGTTCCGTGAATAACATACCAGTAAAATAAAATAATTAACAAAAACATAACGAAAAACGTAATTACGTGGCTTCTCGATGTTCCATATGTTCCACTGAAGCGTGTCTTGCTGGAGTAGGTAGAGACAGTTGTGTCGGGTGTGTGCCTGCCTCCGGAAGTGGAATAAATGTCACGTAGAAGTGCGAAATTCTTCCAGAGGACAAAAGTGAGCAAACATACAGGAGGAAGTGACCTTATATTGACAACACCAATTTCTAGAAGTTTCTTACAGGAACGAGGGGTAGAGAGGAGGGGACATGGGGGACGTGAGAGAGGCAAGGGAGAGGGCGATAGAGAGGTCACACGGGGGGGAGGTGGGGGTGGCGGCGGGAGGGGAAGAGGGGGATAGAAGAGTGAGGTGAAATGAGGAGAGATGCGAGGGGAACAGCTGCCCATGGGATCGCTAGCTTCCTGAGTAATTTATATTCACCGCCGCCACCACAGCTGAATCAATTAGTTGTTATTTCAAACGGGGTTAAGAGCCCATTGAGATTCAATTCCTCCTCCTCGAGCGAATGCTTTCCACTTGCATAAGTAATACTCTAAATAAGTACTCCTGCGTTCATCAAAGGTGCTTTTGTTTTTCTAAACTCGCCAAGCTGTTGCTACCGATGTTGGTTTTCGCTCACTTCTCCTGGTGGCAGTCATTTTTTTTAATGTTGTGCTGGGGGTTTGGTCATTGCAGGCAGGGCTGGATCGACTGCTGGGATGTGCCGTCCCTGCAGCTGACGTTCGATTACACGTGGCATCCCATCTACCCCGACAAGGCTGACGAGCAGCTCAAGCACTCCCGTGAGTCACTGGGCATGCCGGCGTCGGGGACGTGCGCACGCAGACGTACGCACACTACCTCCTGCAGGCTCTCATCCTTAATGCGCCGGGACTGGGTTTTCACCGTTAATTTAACCGTATCGTTAGATGTCCCGTCATGGGGAAGCCTTTTTGTGCATGCCGAGGTTGGTTTACTCGGATCATAACTGGCGCTGTGTGGCACATTGTCCGAGATGAGCGTACGGTTGCACCTTTGAAATTGATTTACGACGAATAATTTCACCTTGCGATAAAATCGGCACCAGTCTGAAAATTTGTAATTGAATGTAATGGTTCAGTAATGTTGTACGATAAAAATCTCGCATTCGTGATCAAATCAGCAATGTTAAAATTCATTGCAAAGACTAACATGCCCCACTTATACGGATGTTCTGTTTGGGTCAAGTTCTGTCAGTGAGCTCATATTAAGGCTGACGCAACACCCACGAGGATAGCATGTCCAGACCCAGCCCCATTCCCGCCAGCCTTTATCACAGTGCAGATATTGATAACATCAGGTACTCATCTAAGGCTGAAGCAGTCTCGGGGAGGCCTGGGCCAGGTTCAGATTTTAGTCGGCACTTGTATTGTGCTTGGCTAAGTGTTACATCTGGATTCCTGCGATCTTAGCACCGTGTGCTTAACCACTCGGCATGTAACGGTTCATCGCCCACCCACCACAAGTGAATTCGGATTCTCGGGTACAATTTTATTCACGATTTTTTGCTTTTCTCTCATTGTTATGGTCCAGTTTATATTGCTCGTCTCATCTCGGTATAATTTGCACTCTCCCGTTCGCGCTCTTAGTCTAGAAGTAAAAGGAGCAGAAATAATAGCCAATCGATTCTCACTTAATTAAATACATGTATTGTGAGCATAAGTATCCACTTTAATGGACAAATCAATACATTCCTCCTAACTACTACGTCACCGTACTCCACAATGCACATAAACGCAAGATGCACGCGGACATTACACATACACGTGCACCAATGCACTTGCCACTGGAAACCAAACGTGTGGCTAATTTCACTTCGTGCCAACGGCATTGCTCACAGTGTCGGAGCTGGAGGAGGAGCTGCTTGCGGCCCTGCGGCCCTTGCCGCCACCGTCACGCGACCGCCGGCCCTCCAGCCCACGGGCCACCTCCACCGGCGGCGGCGGAGGTCGCCACTCCCCTTCGGCCGGCATGTCCCACCCGCTGCCCTCCGCCGCCGACTTCGACCCAACGCTGCTTCTGCCCGACCGCTTCCACGTGGAGCTGGAGGTGGCGGCAGGCTCCCACGTGCTGCTGTACGGGCCGCTGCTGCAGGGCGTCCTTGCCGTCAAGGTTGGTCGAGCTGGGTCTGCCGCGTTTGGCAGACTGCGGCTATATTTAAAGATTTTTGAGATTAAGATTTGTTTTGTGTTTCAGCACGAAGCAGGAAGGGCCTGATGAGCTGCTAGGCTTTATATCGTATGCGTATGTCCATTCGGATGTCTCGTAGAGCATTGCAACCCTTCATTTTGGCGAATGGCTTACGGAAGTGGATACCACAGAGCTGCCTTCAAGTGATTTTCATGTCATGGTTGTTTGTGTGCTGTCATTGGTGATTGGACTGAATCACCAATGACAGCAACTTTAAATAATATTTCTGTGTGTTGGAAAATGTCTGCGATTCTTTAACGTCCAGGTAGGACTTGTGGATCACACCAAATATTACGTTTTTAAGTGCATGAGACACCTAGTCGTTAGGCTAGCTATAGGAGGCAATACATAGGCTGGCTGTAGGAGGCAATACATAAAGTAGGTGTTGACCTCTCAGCAGAGTTTGAATGTTTTTTTTATTCTTGTCAGTATGGATTTTCTACAAGCATTCTCAGAGAAAATGCTGCATCATTAATTCGTCTGGCATTCTAAGCAGGAATCTGCCAATAAGAGTGTTGAGACTCATCAATACTTCTTTGGATGCATACACATTTAGTAGTATTAATATTCAAAATTATACCATTTATATTACTTTTGTTGCCCTTCCTCCACACCTCCGATTAGCACAGTTGGCTTCATACGGTGCGAAAGAAGTTAAACATACATACACTATGCAACAATAATAATTGTTTACAGATTTATTTAACAGGAATAATATAAAAAAAAAATTGCCGGGTTACGCTCCACACGAGGCACTCATACCTGCGCAGGTGAGTGAACCACAACCGGCAGGTGCTTTGCGGTGTCTCCTTCTACACTGGCGTTCCAGTCGTGACGCCACCAATTCACAACTCTGGGGGGGGCCGGGGGTGCGGTGGGGGTGCTGCGTGCATCACAGGAGAACTACTTTGGCGTGTACGACAAGTACACGGACTTCGAGTCGTCGCCGCCCAGCCCGGGCATGTCGGCGTCGCCCTCGGGCGCTTCGGAGTGGATGTCGGTGCGGGTGGAGGAGGAGGGCCGGCGGGAGCGTGGCGAGGGGCTGCACCCGCTCTTGCTGCGTCCCTGGGACATCACGGTGCTGTGCAACCTTCACCAGGTTCACGGCAAGATGCCAACGGTGAGCACCTCGCCTCTGCAACGCCGTCACTTCTCTCGGAGCCCCTTTATATTGTCGTCACCATCATCATGGACATGCCTCCTCCGAACAGGCTCTCAGCTCAAGGGGCTAAACGTCGGACATCGTGTTGAACAACGCGTGGTACAGTTCGAATGCACATGGGAGTGTTTTCTTTAACTTATGGTTTTGTGGGTCTTGTTCGGGTACTCAAATTTTCCTCCCACACGCAAAACTCTCATTCAGAAGGATTTGGCGAAACCTTCCAATGCAGACAGTGCCTCTAGGGAATGGGAGTAGCATGAGAGGGGAGAAGTATGCAGGGGCAAGTGCAGAAGGGATCTTGAAGACGAGTGCTATCTTAATGTTCATCTGGGATTAGATTGGGAGGCATTGGAGGTATTGGAGTCTTGGATGATCAATGCATTTTCTTTCACGGAGTCGAGGTGAAAAGGGTGGCGGCTGCAGCATATTGAATCATGTCGAGTTTCACGTTGAGGGGTTTGGGGAGGCCGTACAGGGGAGACTCGCAGTCGTCAAGGGGAGATGTTATTCGGGCATGGATGGGGGTCTCAGCTGCCAGCTGGGTTAAGGGACTGGCAATTTGTAGGAGACTTTGAGCAGATGGAGTTGTGAGGTCCCGCGTAGTGGAGGTTCGAACTGGGTGGCGTCGGCGATTGATGCACCGACGCTGTGTCTCGCCGTGCAGCACTGCAGCGCGGAGAGCTCCGAGTGTCCGTACGGATTCCTCGAGCAGCTCTGCTTCGAGATGAAGAAGGGCTACAGGGAGACAGTCCTGCAGCTGGTGATGTCCCCCATCACCATCTACCTGAGTGACTCGTACCAGGTGACCACACGCCACCCCCCCTGTCTCTCCCTACGCGGCACCCGTTTCTGGTAGGCAACTGAACGCCACCCGGTGTCATGAGAACGAATGAACCAATTGCTCCTGAGCCACTTGTGAGTTAATCGAGGTTAATATTATGTTTATTTCCGTGGAGATGTTATTGAACAACCTCGTTAATAGTGAAATTAGAGCAACATGCGAACATCATGAGTGATTGTATTGATGTGATCATCATCATCTGCACCAGTTATTTTCTCTCCGCTGCTAGTTGGGTGGCAATTGTTCTATGAAGATAGATATTTTAGATAACGTCTGGAAAAAAAAAGTCTTCTCAACAGTTGAATTAGCAGAGTGTTAAACGAAAATGTGCTCTCCGTTCTTAAAATATTGTGTTGGACGTTTTGCAAAAGAACGTTAGAGCTCTGATAAATGAGGGTATATAAATTAGCTCTGTATATATTAGGGCCATTTTTCTTTCATGGCCATTCTCTTCCACAGGTATCCCCATACTACTACTTCTCTTGCATTCTCATTCTATTTTTGGAATTTTAGGTTGTCCCGTTGCATGATGTAATGTCTCGATTTTGAAATATACTCACGGTCTCCATTGGATCTAAACTTGTAAATTACAGGTACCTGAATGTAAGTTAATTGAGCTGGAATGGTTAGAGGCAGATGTAAATTTGCATGTGTAATGGTGGGGAGCGGTAGTGTAGTGGTTAGCACGCTGCGCTACGAACCCAGGAGTTCCTGCTCACAACCAACACCAGTGACGATAATTTGAACCGGTCCTGGGTCTCCCCTAGGTCGACTCGGCCTCAAATGAGTACCTAGTGCGGTGTGTAAACATCGCCACTCGGGAGACAAAGGCGGCCGAGTGTGGTGCTGGCCACCCACCCCCTCGAGCGCTGTGCCAGCCTTCATAGGTGCTGCTTGCTAACAGCACTTGCCCCAACAGTCTGTTAAGGCTATACGGGGGATATTTGTGTTCTAATGGAGAGTGTTAATGAATATTGATCTCGTGCTCCAACAGAGGCCGTCTGCCGGCAGTCACCTGGGCAAGGGACACTTGAGCCTGTCGGGTCTGCAGATGAGGGCCCACGCGATGTTCTCAGGCGAGGGCCTGCTGCCGGGCAGCGACACCTTGGAGTACGCGTGGCTCATCGACCTGACGCTCGGGAAGCTGGCCGCTCGACTCACCGCCCCACAGGTGTCCTCTCTTAGTCCCACTGCGCTTCCATGTATGTGGGTTGCGTGGGCGAGTATCCGGGTCGTCTACTTGCACAACGTTTCACCGTTTAACCGGGAACTGGGAGAACCAGGCAGCTCGTGATTAAGAATCTAAATGTGTCGGCATATTATTACGAGGACTCCTTTCATTTTTTCGGGGTGGGGGTGGGGCGAGGAATTGAAATGTTTTGCTAATTAATGTCCCAAATTTCTGTCTCCTTGTGTTTCTATTTCCAGCTGAGCACGCTGCTGGCATGGGTCAAGACGTTTGCGTTCCACGTGCAGTGTGAGGAGTTTGAGCTGGAGAAGCCGAACCCGGTCATGCCATGCCAGCATGGCATGGACCAGCGGCACTGCGACGCTATGGTGAGGGTACAGCACGTGTAGTGACAATACGCTCGTCAGATTCGGTGAAGGTCAAGGGGTCATGATAAGCCACTGTTGTAGCTCCTGCGGCTGTAGCATAGTCAGCAACTGTTAAAACTGTTCTCCAAAGTCCTGCTCTAAACATATCCCCGCACCTGGATATAGGTACTGGCCCTTACGTGCCAGATAAGGCTACAGATAAATTGGAAAATATTATGTCGGCTACAGTAGTGGCCGAACACTGTGTGGAATGACAGTGATTCATAGATTAATGTCAATACTTAGGCTGCATGCATTGAGAACAGCTCGTGCAGGAGTTAAGGTGTTAAATCACGAGACCATGGAAAGATGGTGACTACCTGGGGAGGCCTTCATCCTGCAGTGGAGAGAGATGATGGTGCATTATGTACCGAGAGGGGAATCATTCCACCCCCCCTACTGATCACATGACCTCTTGAAAATACTTTCCCTAAACAATGTGTGGTGAGCAGCGGTATCCCATGATGTTTTATTTCCTCTGATTCTTCCCCTGGCAGTTGACTGGCATGCTGAAGTGAAATTAAAATGGGTTATGTTATTTAACTTGTGTACATCGTTAAAACGTTTAATTAAAGGCTTTTAAAAAATATAATTATAAAAAGCCCATGCTAGAAGTACTCATTTGTTGGTTATCAAAGAAGTAATTCATATTTTATTTGGTTAAAATACTTCGAAGGTTTTCGAAAATCGTAATTAGGTCTTTTTAAAAACATAAAAGTTATCGCAAAAGTAGCCCTCAGGGGATGAGGCATAAAAATACTTTGCATAATTTCGTTCTATTTCCTGATGAAATGAATATATAGCTTTTAATAAGTCACTTTAGTATGCCTTGGAAACATAAAGTTGAACAAACCAAGCTGCTGCTCAAAGTTGAACCTCAAAGGTGCATGCTGTCATCCTTGTTTTAATTTTATTATTATCCTACTGTGGATCAAGTAGGTCTTCAAATTAACACTGACGTTCACAAAATAACAGAGGCGGCCACGCGGAATATGTGTTCAGCACCACGTGTGTGTACCGCATGCAAAGTGTTAACGTTCAGTGTTTTTCTGATATTTGCGTGTTGCAATTTCACGTGAACTAATGCACCTCGAAGTAACTTGTACCGAATTTCAGCATTGCATGAGGTCTTGTACTCGCCGGGGCATGCACGTGAAGACTTGGTTCATGTTCTTAAATATCCGCAGAATTCAGCCACCTCGGCTGTCTGCCCACTGCCGGATGACCTCAAGTACAAGATGACTCGGCTGAGCATAGATGGGCTCGATCTGTTTCTGGTTGAGTATGGATGTGCTGCTAACTTTAAGGTAGCAACTTTTCCTTTTCACCTCAGCTCTCTGCACCACAAGTCGTTTATTCTCTCATGCCTATACATAACTACCATAGGTACATTTTAAGGGTTCGTTGATTAAAATATATTTTTGTTGCTCAAGATATACGAGTTGTGTATATAGATTGATTATGGAAGTGTTCATGAAAAGCCTGCCGGTTGTTTTTAAACTTTGCAGCCTTTAAAGATTGTGAACACACTATGAGGGCAATAGAAATATTGTATTGTGGTCCACAATTGTGACAATTTGTCTAATTGTGGGTGGGGGGTGGGTAGGGGCATTGAACTGTTACATACCTTATTGGCCTATCCGCTGACTCGTCTTCACCCGCACTCATAGTTCACATGAATGACCATCGATGTGATTGATGACGACGACGAATGTATCCCAACGCGCCTCGTCTCTTCTCGCGGCTGCGCGCTGCGCCAGGTGGGCTCCGTGCAGATCGCCACGTGCAACCTGCACAACCACAGCGTGAGCGAGGGCGTCTCGGCCGTGGTGCGCGACGTCACTCTCACGCAGTACTTCGAGCAGCCGTGCGCCACCACCGCCGAGTCCTCCTGGGCCTCGCCGCCGCAACCGACCGCCCCCTCGAATGCCGCCGGCGCTTCGGCGGCACTGGCGCAGGCGCCGGTGCCGCCGCGCCGGCAGTGCTGGCTCGAGGCGGCCTCCGCTTCGTTCTCGGTGGTGAGCGCCGACGTGGCGCTCGCCACCGAGCTGCCGCTGCAGCACGTGGAGCAGCGGCGCTTCCTGGAGCTGCACGACGGTCACACCAAGCGGTAACGAGCCGTCCGCCGCAAGTGGTCACCGCATCGCTGCGCTTTCGGATGCGCTTCTGCGGCCGTCTGGAACGCTCTTCCTTCCGATATTAGGAAGCCAGTGGGGGATATGCGATTTTAAATCTTGATTGAAAACTTATTTCTTTAGAACTGCTTTTTGTGTTTAATTTGTTGTACTTCCTACGCACCACCGATTAACACGGTTGGCTACTTATGGTGCGAAAAAGAAGTTCAACATACATGCAAGACGCAACGTTGGCAGCACACGGCCACAAGCGGCTCTCGTCGCCACTTGCGCAGAAGCGCAGCGACGCTTTTACCCGCACCCTCATCCCGTTATTGTACTTGTCGTTAGTCTACAACTGGTAGTCAAAAAGGTTAAATTCACAAGACCCTCCACTTCACGTTCATATCGTAGCCTTTTGTTATTGCACGTCAAATTGTGTCTTAGAAATTATGATTTGAGATTTCTACATGAGTTTAATTGATACATTCTACAGACTCGTAAAGCTATACATTCTGCGAAAAAAAATAATAAATTGAATTGTGACCCGGATCCGAGATTAAACGTTTAATTTGTTGAAAAGGTAAATTATGACATCCAATTTAAGTGACATTGAGTAAAAAAAGGGATTTGAAATTAGTCCAATTTTAGCTTGCTCAAAATCTTTTAAAGTGACCTTACAAAACGTTTGACTGCCTTTACACGAGGCTTTACTGTGATTGCTGCACGGCTTAATCCTGTGTGCTATGGTGCCACGGCGCCCTGTGCGACCTCACTCGCGTTTTAAGGCAAATGTCGTTTCGATCTCCAACAGGCTGTGGTTCCTGTGGCCTGATGGTGGCGTGGGGGTGGCGGCAGGGCACCTGCACGGCCGCTGCGGGTGTCTGGGCGGCTGCTGGTTCTTCGCGGGGACGGCCCCGGGCTGGGAGCAGATGCAGGCGGAAGAGGGGTCTCCATCCAGCTCCTCGGACGCCTCCAGCCCCGAGTCAGAGGCTCAGCTCAGCTACGGGCAGTCGCTGCTACGCCCGGGGGAGCTTCTCCTCCAAGCCGGTGAGTAGTAAGGGGCTCAAGTAGCCTTCCTGCCCCCACATGCCACAGCATTGCACTTTGCTATCACATTGCCTTTTAAGACAAATGTAAGTGGTGCTAGCCAACGGTGGCGTGTATCATGAGACCGGGGTTTTGCAAGTGCGTATGGTTATATGTGTGACGTGTGTGTGGTGTGTGTTCCCGCGTGTTCTGCATGTGAGTTTGCAATGCACTGTGTGAGTGTGTGCTGTGTGTGTGCAAGCGAGTATCTTGCGTGTTGTATGTGCATGCCATGTCTGACTGTGTGTGCCACATGTATCTGTCTTTGTACGTATGTATGTATATCGACTCGGCTTCAAATGAGTACCGAGTGAGATGTATAAATATCACCACTCAAAGCCGGCTGGGCTTGGTGCTGGCCATTCACCCCATACCAGCTTTCATTGGTACTCACTGACAGCACTTCCTCCGACAATCTTCTATTAGGCTATACAGGGGATCTTTATCTTTGTACGTGTGTATGTGTGTGTGCCTTGCCATGTATTTGCCTGTCCATCCCCTGCACCGCCGATTAGCACGGTTGGCTTTGTACGGTGCGAAAGAAGTTCAACATACACAAATGTATGCATGCCCTCTTTGAGTTTATCAGTGGTTGACGCTAAACCATTTTTAGTTAGCACCTCCCATACTACCACTGTCAATGCATCTACTAAGAACAATAAATCCATTTGCGCGAATCAAGGTAACGAATACGAATGCGCGCGGTCTCGTTTCGTCAGGCGCAGCGGTCAGCGGCAAGTCAGGCGGCCACTCCGAGATGGCCAGCGCCGGCCACTCCCTGCAGGTGCCGCCACGCAGCCACTCGCACACGCCCTCATCGTCGTCGTCCTTGGAGGGCGAGGTCAGCTACTCGTCGGGCTCAGAGCTGCCGCTGCTGGCGCACGGCAGGGCCGTCAGGGACTCCAGCCCCGTGGAGCGTGGGGCCCCCTCCTTCTCGCCTCCGCCCCTGCCGCCGGGATCCTGCGCCGACGCCGATGTCTGGTACGCCTGTGGTCTCGCCGTGCTTGGAGGAGGGATTTAGCAACAGGCCGACGACGATGGTTCATTGTCGGTCGCGAGCCTTGCGACAACTACAATTCTTGAGCCTGATGTGTTCATTGGTCGATATTTCCTGTCTGTATAAATACAAATATAGATATTGCCCATTGCGTCGACCAGCTGAATGACACTGGTTTAACAAGCAGTGTTCTACCGATTAGGGTCATAGATGTAGGAGCTACTAGATCACATCTCCTTTCTCCAGAACAGAGAAATTGGAATAAATAAAAAAAATGACATTACATAATGAAATCTACTATACATGATAATAGGTTTTTCCCCTTTTTCTGGCAACAAAACAGGTGTTAAGATGTTAAAACGCCAAACTGAAACCTTTTACAAGGAATCGTGCCTGCATTAACCACAATGCTTGTGGTCAGAATGCAAACAAAAAACATACTCTGATAATATATGCATTGTCCTTGAAACTGATTGGTCCACACCAGAGACAGCTTTCTTTTGAGCCTCGTCTCAAACGGTGTTCGACCAGAGGACGCCAAAAGGCGTACAGCACAAAGACAGTTTAACACGTAGGCTTTCGCGACCAATATTATTCATAATAAAGGTTTTTGGGTTAGATCGCGTTATTTATAAATGTGTCGTAACCCTCCACCACCCGACACGGCCAATCAGCAAAAAAAGTGTCACGTTGACAAAAGACAAATAATTCACTACTTTAGCCCACCGGTGTGTTGAAGAGTGAATCCACAACATTTACAGTTTGAGTACGACGTTTCGCTGGTAATTACATCCAGCATCATCGGGCAATTCGCCAGAATGGTAAAGCCCTCGCTTGCTCCCGGTTTTATATAGAGCAGCAGGGTGACATCATCATTTAACTCATATCAGGTGCAGTGATTAGAGGCGGAGGGGGGGGGGGGTATTGTAATTATATAATCGATTAGTGATCAGTCAATGGTTATGATTAGTAATGAGTTGTAGATTAGTAATTAGTTGTAATGTGTGTTAGTGATTATATGCTATGTTAGTAATCCGTTAATTAGTATGTGTTTCCCCTATAAGGAATTGTAATGTGCATTCATATTCTTAGCTCCCTCGGCAAAGCCACGCCGAAGGGAAACAACAAAACAACAAACATAGATATTCTATTATTCTATTGCTTCCCCCCAACGCGACTCCACCGAAAGAGCCAAGAACATGAATCACTGCAGTCACGAAAGCTTTAAATCAAAATGTAATGTGTATTATTTCATAATACGCTTCCAGGCCCCACTAAGCCTGTAGCTGTCAGAGCGATTAAAGTTATCAACAGAAGGTGTATATCGGATTAATTGTTCATGTGGCAGATGCTATATTGGACAAACGGGACGTAACATCAGCATAAGACTAAAAGAACATCAGAGAAATATTAAATTATCTCAAACACAACTGTCGGCAGTGGCAGAACATGCTTGTCAACAAGGACACTCAATTGATTTTGACAATGTTGCAGTGTTGTGTAAAACGAATTATTACTGGCAAAGCCTAATTAGAGAATCCATTGAAATTGAGAGGAATAAGAATAACCTTAATCGCTCTGACAGCTACAGGCTTAGTGCGGCCTGGAAGCGTATTATTAAATAATACACATTACATTTTGATTTAAAGCTTTCGTGACTGCAGTGATTCATGTTCTTGGCTCTTTCGGTGGAGTCGCGTTGGGGGGAAGCAATAGAATAATAGAATATCTATGTTTGTTGTTTTGTTGTTTCCCTTCGGCGTGGCTTTGCCGAGGGAGCTAAGAATATGAATGCACATTACAATTCCTTATAGGGGAAACACATACTAATTAACGGATTACTAACATAGCATATAATCACTAACACATTACAACTAATTACTAATCTACAACTCATTACTAATCATAACCATTGACTGATTACTAATCGATCATATAATTACAATACCCCCCCCTCCGCCTCTAATCACTGCACCTGATATGAGTTAAATGATGACGTCACCCTGCTGCTCTATATAAAACCGGGAGCAAGCGAGGGCTTTACCATTCTGCCGAATTGCCCGATGATGCTGGATGTATTTACCAGCGAAACGTCGTACTCAAACTGTAAATGTTGTGGATTCACTCTTCAACACACCGGTGAGCTAAAGTAGTGAACTATTTGTCCTTTGTCAACGTGACACTTTTTTTGCTGATTGGCCGTGTCGGGTGGTGGAGGGTTACGACACATTTATAAATAACGCGATCTAACCCAAAAACCTTTATTATGAGCACAAAGACAATGCACTATCACTCCCCCCCCACCACGTTCTATTTGAATGGGAAAGAACAGTGGCTTCCTGCTCATGCGTGGTACATGAATCCAGCTTTACAACACCGCTCCACGTAAATAATCCTTACATTCGATTGTGGAACAACTTGTAACGCTCTTCCCTGTGCCTTGCGAAACCTGCACAGCGTTCCCGATGGATCGACAGCGTTGGCCACGACGCAGGAGGGCGGCCAGCTGCGATCGCCCCTCCGCGCTCCGCTCCTGCGCCAGGCGTCCATCGGCTCGGCGCACACAGGCAGCTCGCGCAGCCTCTCGGGGCCTCCTGACCGGCACTCCCCGACGGGGCCGCCCGCCCTCTTCTGCCCGGCCAGCGAAACTTCGTCCTTCCAGCCGGCCTATCCGTTCGCTGTGCCGCCGCCGCCATCACCGCCGCCGCTGCCTCCTCCGCCGCCGCCGCCGCCGCCGCCGCCGCTGCCTCCATCTCTGCCACCTCCGCCGCCGCCCGATTCGCCACCGCTGCGGCACAGCGTGGGTTCCTTCCCGACTTCCGTTGGTTCCAACGGCTCCTTCCGGCACTACCACTCGCTCGAGTCGAACATCTCCGTGGCGGAGAGCGAGGCCTACTACTCGGCCACGGAGGATATGGACGCGGCGAGCAGCGACGAGGCGCCCGCCTCCTTCACTGTGCCGCGCCGGACCCGGCGTGTCGCGGCGCAGCATCAACACCAGCACCAGCAGCTGCAGCTTGGGTCCGGCTATAGCTACGTCAGCTTCCATCAGCCGCAGCAGCAACAGCAGCAGCAGCAGCAGGCGTGCGCGTGGTCGCTGCAGGCCACGAGCCGCAGCACCGTGTACCAGAGCTGCGAGGGCATGGAGGAGCTGCCCGCGGCGTCCGTCTGGCCGGTGCTGTCGCAGCCGCAGCCCGAGCAGCGCGTGCTGCCGGCCGTCGCGCAGGCGTCTCAGGTGAGTGCCGCTCTTGCGGGCCGCGACACACCTGGTGGGACACACGGGGCTGTCAGCGCGCACCTGTCCATCGCTTCCTCCCTTTGTTAGATCGCACCGTTGTAGCAAAGTCCTGCAGCTTCTACAGTCCGCCGTCAAATATCACACCAGCTGGCTTCGTGTCTTCCCCTTGGTCAAACCCGTGATTTATGTACAGCCTTTTTATCAATCCACTGCTGGATGTAAGCCTTTCCGTGCCATGTCAGTTATCGGGCTTGTTTGACTGTACTTCAAGCTTTTCAGTATTAGTTTCTGAAAGTGGGCAGCATAGAGAGGTATGGTATTAAAAACCTTTAGCCCTGCAACCTATAGAGATATACTGCACAGTGATGGTCGCCCATCCAAGCACTGTTCAAACCCACTCTCAAACTTGCTGAGCTTCCTCGGCATGACGCGACCTAAGGGTGGTATGCATTTCGGGCGATGTGGTCACACAGCAGGCGGCGTTCCTCTCTGTGCTGGGCGGGCCCGAGGGATTCGAGGAGCACCACCGGGCGTCGGCGTCGGCCTCCTCGGCCTCGGCGTGCGGCTCGGCAACGCGAGACTCCACCGAGACGCCCGAGGCGGCGGAGCCGGAAGCCGCGGGCGACCGCGGCGCCCCCGCGGACGCGAGGGCGGCGGGGCAGTCCATCTCGCGGCAGCCGGAGCTCATGCTGTGCTACGCCGGCGCGCTCACCGCTCTGCAGGCCGCCGACTGGGCCGTGCGCCACGCGCCACAGAAGAGGGCGTCCAAGTCGTCGCTGCACCGGCCCCTCGACCTGGACACACCGCCCGCGGTCGACGATGCCGAGCCGCTGTCGGACTACCCGGCCCTGCCCGTGTTCCGCGTGCGTCTCCTCCTTGCGTTGAGCGGTTACATTTAAAAAATGTTTTCATTACAAATTAACGCTGGCCCGGTACAAAGCGCTGATCACAGAACGGAGGGGGAACAGAAACTCCACAGCCCGATTTTGGCGCGACAGGTGCCCAACGAAGGGGAATAATTGGGCTTACTGCCCCACCCAGGTGGGGACCACGTGCCGGGACATGGAGGTTTATACGGGGCGGTCTAAGGGGGAACATCGCTAACTTACTGGGGGACATAAAGGGACAGGGGGAGGGAAGAAGGGGAGTAGTGAATCTGGGGAACAGTTTGATTTAACTGTTGTTTTTGGGTTGTACGGGAGTGTTGGTCGTCTTGAGGCCGGATGTTTCGCTTGTATGCCGGAACAAAACGCGGTACAAACAAAACACAATCGGAGAGCGACGCGGCACGTCCACGAGAACGTGAGCAGCGGTTTGATTCAGCGGCGCTTCAGTCAGGCCACGCGGAGAATGTAGATCAAACTAGGATGAGGACTTTGCTATTAAAACGAGTAAGGATTAATTAAATTAATATCGTTGTTACGCTTATATACTATTGTTATTTTTACAATAGCTGCCTCACATGGTTACTTACATTTCATGAATATTGTATGCAAATGTTACTTTTAGGTTAAGGGAATTAACAAGACATTATTCATGAGAAACGATACAAACTGGACAGTAAAAACCTGACCCCAAATATGGACAATGCATACAAGCTCAGGGGTAGAGGGGTGAATCTTTCCATGCCGACATGATATATACAACAGACACTAACCCGCCGCAGGACAATACGGTGGTGGCTGTTGGAGACCGTACAAAAGTAGGATTTTGATTTGAAGCTTTCGTGACTGCAGTAATTCATACTCTTTGGTTCTTTCGGTAAAGTCACGTAGGTAGAAAATAAAATAAATCACGACGTTTCGGGCGCAACACAAGCGTCCGTCCTGATGACAACCGAAAGAACCAAAGAGTATAGAAGTAGGATTATTATTTGCCATTCTGTGGGAACTTCATGTTCAAACCACGTTCGAAAGTATTTTTAAAAGAACAGGTCAACATCCCAGACAGCATTATGATTATCGTTCGATGAAATGCATCTAAATTGACCTTGAACCAACGAAGCAATTTTTTTCTATGTTAATCCGTGTCTGTGTGTGTAATTAAAGTTTCAGTAGGATAACATTTTGCTTTAAAACCTGCCCAACTAATGAGCCTCTGTGTGGCAGTACAGTAAGTGACCGTTGAGGTAACCCCTGCATATTATTTTTTAGCCCAAGGTCAATTGCAAGCCAAGGGAGATTAATTGTTATGACAAATATGGTGCTCGCCTTTGTGACGTTGTAAAACGTGAAAGTAGAATTGTTTTGTAGTTGATGCTTTTTTTTGTATTATTTCTGTGCAGGTCATCAAGCAAGGGCTGAGTGCCAGCGCCATGAAAGACCGTGCCTCTCAAGAGGCGACCACCTCCAGCAAGTGAGAGGCCCTTCCTGGCTGATAGTCATGAACACATCCATGAATATTACATGTGTATTCTAAATTATTCATGTAGTAAATATTATTTTTTGTTCTAAATTAAAGTTGAAATATAATGCATGTGCATGCATAGCCAAGCTTCACTCTCCCCCTCTTTGTTCTCAGTGAACACAGCTTGCAATTATCGTGCAGCATTAGTCACAGAAAACTATTTAATGCAAAGCAGTGCTTATGCCCACAAATAAAGGCAAACTTGTGTCTGTATCAATTGACGTAGTTTTTTTTATTTGTTGATAATCGTCACACACATTCACGAAAAGGAAATGCAGGCGCCTCTGTTTTGGCTGACTGACTTCTGGAAATATTGAGTTCTCACGAGGAAGTGTCGATGTCGTCTTCATAGGTGAGGTTGGTTAGTGGGTGTTTTCAGATCAATACATTCCACAAAGTTCATATTCAAGATTGCCTGACCAAAGTGCAATAAGATTTTTCATAATGTGGACACACCATTCAGCAGGACCTGCAGTTTATCAACTATGGCTAGTATTTGACTACAATTGTTCTTGTGAATTACGACTGAACGTGTGGCGAAAGGGCAGCCACTCGACAGAGGATAAAACTGTGCACACAGCCATGCTCATGCTGAACGTTAATGAAAGTGGCCAAGTTGACAACTGTCCATGCCACGTGCTAACCACACGCTAACCACGTGCGAACCATGTGCTAACCACGTGTTAACCACGTGCTAACCACATGCTAACCACGCGCTAACCACGCGCTAACCACGTGCAAACCACATGCTAACCACGCGCTAACCACGCGCTAACCACGTGCAAACCACGTGCTAACCACGTGCTAACCACGCGCTAACCACATGGGAACCACGTGCTAACCACGCGCTAACCACGCGCTAACCACGTGCGAACCATGTGCGAACCACGTGTTAACCACGTGCGAACCACGTGCTAACCATGCGCAATGTGGCAGCGTGTGCTACATGTCCCTGAACGACCGGCGATCGGGCCACTCGGCCACTGACGAGGTCACTTCTGAGGAGGCCGACCCTGGGCCCAGCATAGGCCCGGCCAAGACGATGGCCGTGGTGGAGGTGAAGGGAGCCCTGGATGTGGTGTGTACGCCACTGCTGGCCGAGGCCCTGGACAGGTGAGAATTCTGCTCGTGTTAACTCTGAGATCCCTTCAGGTGACCTCTGCCTCACAGTCGAGAGCAGCACTTTCCTACCCATCCTGCCATGCAGCTGTTTTGATATTTTGTCTGAAACGTATCAATTAGTTCTGAGTATTGTACACAGTTAATGCATATAGTTCATGTTTAAAGTTTAGTGTCAAGTTATGCGGCCCAATAAAGACATTTTATAAGTTGTTTTAAGCCCTCGGTAAGGCAACGGCTTACCACCTTTTCTTTAGTTTCCTGTTTCTCACGTCCAACACGTTCTTGACGACCACAAACAGAAAGATGCCTTGCATGTTGGTTTGTGTTCCATCGCGCCGCTCTCATCGCTGCTACACATGCAGGTACGTGCAGGCGCTGGTGTACCACGTGGGCACGCTGCACGCGTCTACCGTCGTGGAGAAGCTGCACCAGAGCTCGCTGTCCGACGTGCTGCAGCAGAGCAAGGCCCTCGCTGCCGACACGGTGCGCCCTGCGCTGCTCGCACGAACAATGGCGTTTGACTCGAGGGCTGGCAATGCAGGCCCCCAATTCCTGCTGTGATGCTTGCAGCGGCGCACAAATTACATGCACGGCAGAACTGTGACGCTAGTTGCGCGATACACCGTCGCTTTGTAAACTTTCAAGCTGTGTATTATCACACGGTGCACTGTGTGGATTTGTCCACCTCATCCCAACGCGTGATGTCATTATTTCACCCAGGTTTCCCCTGAAAATGTATCGTTGCTTTGAATTGTTATTGCGACACGGGGGGCTTGGCCTGGCATTATGAGCCCCTGCCTTGCGCAGGTTTCCGCCAAGTCGGATGGTCGCAGCGCGAAGACGGAGGGCAAGACCCTGTCAACGGCCGCCTCCGCCCCCCTGTTGGGTGACGGCGTGATGCGGGATGGTGGCACGATCAAGAGCCTGCAGGCAACCGTCTCTATTCCCAAGGTGTGCTGCTCTTCAGCCTCTCCCAACGCTCATTACATCGCTCATTACGCACAAAGTGCTCGCCACATATGAACCACAATACTTTGCTGATCTCGTCAAGGAGCGTAAACAATCATCACGCGAACTCCGGTCAGCGCATCGCCTGCTTTCAGATACTCTTCTGCGGCCGTCTGGAGCGCTGTTCCTTTTAATATTAGGAAGCTGCTGGAGACTATGAACTTTAAAATCTAAGTTGAAAATGTATTTATTTAGAACTGCTTTTTGTGTTTAGTTTGTTGACCTTACCTCGCACCTCCGATTAGCATGGTTGGCTTCGTGCGGTGTTAAAGAAGTTCAATATACATACATGTGTACAGCACTCCAGATAACTCCGCCTAACTATACAGTTTCCAAATTTACTCCATGCACCAGGTGATTGTTACCACCCCCAGGTGGAGTTTCCCGTATCGTGTGGCAGGGGATTCCGGTAATCGAGGTTATCAGAGGCTGGAGTTAGTGGTTCACCGCAGACTAAACGATACCTCACATGATTGGCAAATATCTCCTGGTAAAAAGTCCCCAGGCCGTGCGTCCTGGGCTGTCCAACATGAGTGTGAAGCTTTCCTGGTGTGATAAACGTCTTAAATATGGCACTCTAGGCACATCATTGCGATGTCATGTCCACACATTTAAATTCATGCGGTGACATCATTTCAGTACTATGACGGTGTGTCTCACTGAAATTTAAAAGTAAAAGTAATTTAAAAGTAATTTCTCATAGATGAAAATGTGTGTCGTACAATCTGGAACATGCTAGGTTCTGCAAGATAAGTGATAATTTTTTTGAGGATACATTTCTTATTCTTTAGTGTTTTCTGTTAACACAGTGGAAACATTTTACACAAACTTGGAATTCGGATGCACTGCTTCATGTAACACGAGCACAGTTTGACAGCATTCAGGGTCAAAGTACACAGCGGCAATCTTTAGGGTGATAATACACAGCTTGGCGCTCCACAGCTGCCAGTGGATAACGCGATGGTTCTGCCGCGCAGATAAACTTGTGCCTGCTGCAAGCGTCGCTGGAGGAGTCGGTGGTGAGTGGCGGCACGGTGGTGCAGAGCTCGCCCTGCATGTCGCTCGTGTGCATCTGCATCGACTCGCTGTCCTGCCAGCTGCTCATGAACAGGTGCGTCGTACGATCGTGAGCTCACCGTCCTCGCGCCCGCCCGCCCGGTTTCATTCTCCTTTAAAACATTCGCTGAGCTGATAGTAACGCTGCCAACGCTGAGCCTGCACTGCTAAGGTGTTCTGGGTTTTAAGGAAGATGAAACTCAAGAAAATGAATAACTCTTGCAGACGAACACGTCGGTTGTGTGACCCGGACTGTGTGATGTGGATTTTAAAGATTAGTTAATATATATAAATACAAATAAATACTCTCCGAGTTCAATACTGTCTTTAGTGGGATGTTTGGCCCCTTCCGTTCATGAATATTTGACATCTGTGAGGAAGCCAGAGTAGGGGGCAAGTTCCTCGCATTTGGGATTCATTCCTTTTCCGTACGGATGTTTCTTGGCCGTCTTCTCGCTCGGTGGGTTTGGGAGCGTCGCAAATTTTTTGCCATCGACCAATCGTGACTCAACGAGTTCTGGGCACACGCTTCCATCTTCTGCGTCACAGCGTGAATCGCTGTGTTTTTAATTTTCGCCGATCGGACGCAGGCGAGTCATGGAGGAGGGGGGTCGTGCGGGCGGCACCCTGGACAGCGGCGGGGGTCCCGCCGGGAAGTTGCAGCCTCGCTGTACGGGCTCCCTGCGCTCCAACGCGCCGGCCGAGACCGCCATCGAGATCGCCGCCCGCCTCGGAATCCGGCGGATCCACGGACAGCTCAGGGGCCTCGTTGCTTCGGGTAGGTGCCGCCAGCAGGCGATGGCCTCTTTGTGCCCACTGATGGCTCGTCGCTCCGACCTTGCCTTGGCACAGACGCAGCGTGCAGGTGCGTCGATGGTTGGAACGCAAAGGCGACGGGTGGTGTTAATGCATCCTTGCTGGGCACCCGGCCAGACCGGTTCTCTTGGGAAGCTGTACGAAGCCATTGCCTCTCAATTCCAGTTACTCCACCTTCCATGCATTTGTAGCATTGATCAAACTGAAGCTGTAAGCTGCCACTTATCGGTTACTATCTGTGGTGTGTTCTGAACAAGTGATATTTCCTGCAGTTTTTGTTAAATTAGTTGTATGTGTTTGTAAGATGTAACATTGGGTTTTGGGGTCTCAGCCTGTACCAGTAACAAAACTGATGCTCATTTTACAGAGGTGGAACATGTTTCAGAAAATCACGCCAATCGTGTCATGCTCCCCCTCTCTCTTCTGCACGGATTCGCAGGCCAAGACGTGGAGAGAAGCATCATCACAGCCATCCCCTCGGACAAGTCGCGCGTTCTCTTCCTCATGGAGGAGGCCGAGACCTTCTCATTCTCGGCAGAGGGCGACAAAGTGGCACAAGAGTCATCCGCCGGTGGGCCCGGGGTGGAGGGCGGCTCGCAGAAAGCCGCCCCCGACGCCTGGGGATGGATCATGTTCGAGTGCGGCATCGAGGACGTGCTCATCAAAGGTTTGTCTCGCTCAGCGGTCTGCTTTGCGCTTCGCTGGTACCGTTCTCCTGTGACCGCCGTTTGCCGTGGCTAATTCTGTAAAGTGAGTCGTCGTCTTCTTCTCACGTGGGGGCGCTGACTTCTTGGTCCTCTTTGTCCACTCGTTCCGGTCCGGGCGGCCATCTCCACTCCACAGTCTTCCCTGTCCCGGTTCATCACTTTCCGGGGTGCCTGCTTCTTGGTCTCTGCTCTGGCGCTTCCATGTTTTATCACAACGTGTCCCAGCCACCACCTGCGTTGACTTTTGCATTCTTCCTCATCGCATCTTTATTCATGCAGTAAAGTGGGTGATGTAGCGCTTTAGACTATTCGCTCCTCGTGATCTTACTTGAAACTAACAAACATCTCCTTTTGCAACTTTGTTTCAAAAGTGGCTTTGACACTGAGAAATCTGCTTACATATCTGTCCCACATTTAGCGACCACATGGACATGCCGGACGCATTAACGCGTCATTGACAGTCACGCACACACCGCCTATCTGTGTCCCTCACCGAGCACGCCTATGACCCAGCCTTAGCTGAAACATCGCTTGCCCCCACCGTAGGCCCGCGTGCATGCGTGCGCGCGTGCGTGCGCGGCCCTCGCCGCGTCGCTCAATTCTACATCTCTATACCCGCGCCCCCGGCTGCAGGAGGGAGGCAGAAGGGTGCTCTGTACGGCCTGGCCACTGGAGCGGAGCGCTCCGGGGGCCTCTCGAGCTCCCCCACGGGCAGCGGCTACAGCACGGACGACTCGGACGCCACGCCACGCGCCGACGACAGCCGCCGCCCCTCCTGGGGCGACAGCCGCTCCAGCTGCAACGAGCAGGTGGCAGCGTCGGCCGCGGCGCCTCCGCAGGGTCACGGGCGGGGGTTCGTTAACCGGTGCGAACCTTTGAACCCGTTGCCATCGCTTGCATTTCTCTGCCCCTCGTAAGGATGAGGGCGTGGAGTCGGACGACCTCAAGAAGGACCTGCCGCTGACGGTTCCTCCGCAGGACTCGTGCAGCGTGAAGCTCGCCATCAAAACCATCTGGTTCAGCTTCGCCGCCCCGACCAAGCTTTCGACGGCGCAGGGCTACTCGCGGTACGGACGCTCGGCCGTCCGTTACCAACGCCCGCCGTGAGATGCGCCGATGCGCATGTTCAGCGAGTAGCATCGTGTGCGTGTGCGTAAACTTGGCTGGCTGAGGCGGTGTGTACCGCGTGAGAGCTACGGGCTGGCACTGCTGAGATTATGGATTCTAATCTGGGCAGTGACCAATGAGTGAAGGGATTATCCGAATGTGGAGTTTAACGGTATCCATCCAGTCAACAACGACTTTACAAAGTACCATCATATTTGAAGTTGAGTTTTATTGAATACAGCTATGTTTTTGCATGTTGAATTAGAACAAATATTGAACACGCTTCACAAAGCAAGTAAAAGGTCCGGGCCACGTGTAGATGAAGTGGCCCACTAAAGTGACGCTAGTTCTGTCACGTCATTTTACAGGATCCGTATAGTGAGAGTTTGAGTGGATATTTCTTCATCCCGTGGCAACACTAATGGCACAGTTGAAATATATTTGGGTAAAAACAAGGAAAAGAATTAGATTCATCTTGAAGTTAGCGGCACAGGTTGGACCTCTCACTGATGAATTCCATTGGTTCCTTTTCGGCATAGACCAAACGCGCATCTGCCCCACATCATCGGCATTCACAGAACGATGAGCTGAGACCGTCTTGTGATTTGTGGTCCTCTACAAAATACCACGGCGCTCACCCCTCCGCTCGCTCGTCGCCCCCACCGCATGACAGGCAGCTGAATCTGCTGAGCACGGCGAGCCCGGCGATCGGCTCGTGGCTCGTGCCCGTGGATCAGCTCAAGTCGACGCTGGACAAGCTGGAGACGGAGGAGACGCTGCGGATGTGTGCCGTCATGGCGTGCATCATGACCGAGGCTCTCAAGGTGTGCCCCGGCTACGGCCGCCGGGCATTTGTCATGCAGCCTTGCGTTGCACGACGGTTGCTCTCCTACCGAAGCGTTCTTTAGATATTGCGTGGACGTGACGGTGACTTACATGACTCTCCCTTGATTGTTTTCTGGGAAGCGACGAGGGCAGGTCCGCGTTTGATTAATTTATGGAAATTGGTGAATAAACAGATGCACAACCATTTCTCCAAATAAAATATATTATTTGTCCATCACCCTAAGGCAGTGTTAATGATAAACGTTAGTCTATAATTTTGGTTTACAGGAGCAGGCAGGAAACACCGCCAGTAGGTGGCGGTCATTATTTTGCCAGCATGGGAGCGGCATCATCACGTGTAATGTGATAGGAGGCTTTGTGTTTCGTGGTTGATGACTTTAAGTGAGGCCCACCTGCAACCCACACCCTCTCCCATGTCCCCTTCCCACCAGGTGCAGAGCATTCACATCCCTCTGAAGAGCAGGTACTGCCGCGTGTCAAAGCAGGCTCGCCTCCTGCAGGACAACCCGTCCTGCCAGCTGTGCAACATCCTGCACCGCTACCTGCACCAGGCCGACTACACCCGCATCCAGGAGGCCACCACCGTGAGCGCTCGTTTCGTGAAGCGGCGAGCTCCACACCAGATGGTCGCCTTTGTGTGCATCAATGTCGGATCATCTGTCCCATTGGACAGATGATCCACGAACATTGTGTGTGCGTCTGCTGTATGTTTTTTCGACTCACTGTTTGCTTATGAACAAGGTATACCTGAATTCATATCTGTGCAGTTAAAGGAAGGTGCAACTCAAACACAAAAGTGCATCTTATTTTTCAGTGTGTTGATGAAGTAGCGTGTCCCATGCTATCTTCTGCGAGTTTGAAGTTCGTGAAAAAACGCAAATTTAAAGCGACTTGTGTCGATCACCGTCTACTGATGTCACTGCGGTTTTAGTAAAATCATTGTAGTGATGTCACGACAGTGCTGTGGCCCATATTTGAAAGTTATAAAAAAAATGTCAAGCACAAGTCACAGATATGCACAGATTTGAGTACAGTGTTAATAAGGATGGTTGTAAAGTATTTTAGCTTAGAGTTATGATTCTTACCAAGGCGAAGCCGTACAGCCAAGGTAGGGATACTGTAAGGAGAGAGTGGTGTGGTTATCGCAGTTGGCTACCTACAGTGGGAAAGAAGTAAAAAATACATGACCTTTTGACCTTGATCTGATCATTGATTTGCGTTTTATATTTCCACATCCACCAGCTGCGCTAAATCCACATGCCCCCGTGGATCGATCGCTGTGGCGTTTCCCAGCAGCAGCAGCAGCACGCCCTGTTGGGGAATCCCTTCGTGAGCATGCGCGAGTGTGCTTGTGTCGTGGGCGCGTGCGTGTGCCGTCACAGGCGGGTGGCCTCCCGGCGCTCGTGACGCTCAAGAAGGGCCTCATCGCCCTGACACGACAGTGGATGAACTTCATCGTGGTCACGTCGGGGCTCGTCGAGCTGGGCCGCCTGGGCTCCAAGAACCTGTCCAAGCTGCAGGCGGCCTCGCACCACGCGCACAACGCCGCTCAGGCGCACGCCGCCCACACGGCCGCGGCCGCCGCGGCCGCCGCAGTCGCCGCCACAGTGGCCGCGGCCGCCGGCGCCGTCCTGGTGCCCTCCGAGAGCCGTGGCGTGCTGCACAGCGACGCGAGCGGGGACGGCGCTGAGATGGATTACGACGCAGGTCTGCGCCGCCCTATTGTGGCTTCGGTGCCGGTTGTATCGTTGTTACTAGATAGGTTTGTAGAACGTGTAAGCTTCTGCACTTACGTGTGTGTACGATAATTTATTCATGTTGGGACCATAATGACTTTTTAGCCATCAGCTGGTGAACCAAAATATTATTTGATTTTTACGTGATCAAATGGCCTTTGTTTTTCATGGCCTTTGATGATATCTTTGTGAACGCAATCCATCAAGGCAGTGCACAATAAGATGTGAACAGTGTTGCTGTGCTGGACTGAACGGGCCTCACCTTTAATACCCCTTGAGGACTCTTGCATGTAACATCAGCAGTCGCACTAAGCACCACAGTCGAGTGTTGGTTTGAACAAAAAAAAACCCGTGACCAACATGGTGCAGCTATCTAGGCCTTCATCCAGCAGCGTATTGACAAAGGCCCGCAAAATTCTTCACTACACCTCTGTTTTACTTAACTCATTGAGCTCACGTGCCCTTGTTGTGTAGGCACGGTGAGCGAGCACACCATGCTGCTCGAGATGGGCGCTCACGTTGGACACAAGACCCCCCCGGCTCACTCCGGGCCCGTGTCTGGCTCCGACATTCTCATGAGGAAACTCTCCAAGCCTCACAATGCCGAGTCTGCGTTCAAGATCAGGGTATGCTCCCCAAATATACACTCACAGGTCTGGCCAGAAGGGACTTTGCCTTCTCAAAGTAAGCTTTACAATCAATAAATAAACACCTTTACTCTGAAGTTTAAAGTATTAAGTTATGGATCAATATGGCCGTGTTCTGACTACGAATGGCCTTCATATGCTAACCTAAAATACTTTGAAGCTCAAACCTTACCTCCTAGCTGTGTTTTTAAGTCAAAACTGAACATTAATTTGCTCACAATTTGCTATTCTTCATAAAGGCATTCATTAAAAGTAAACAGTAAAAGTGTAATTTTTGACATTCAATTTGTAAAAAAATACTTTGTTCCAAATGGAGACTGACTTGGGATGGTGCTGGATTTGTAAGTATTTTTTCCCATGGGCGGAAACCTCAGTGCCCAAAGAAAACCGATGAAACGTGTAAAGAACATTGTCCAAATACGTCAGCAACCTACTTCGTGTACTGCCTCCTGCAGGCACTTCGCTGCACTGCCAGTGGACACATCACTCACACGACCTCCGCGCGACCCATCAGCCGTACCTCCGCGTCGGTGTATCACGCACGTGCGCCAGCTTTCCCAGCTCTACTCTTTAATGCTGCCTTTTGTTTTTTTTTCCTGTTCAATTCCTGACTGAACTGGCGTCTCCGTAAGCAGGGCATCCATCCGTATCAGTCGCTTAGCCACACGAGCGGCGAGACGGTGGGGCCCGACTCGCCCGCCCACCAGGCCGGCCGCTTCTCTTCTGCCGTTGCCACGGCCGCCACGGCCACCACAGCCACTGCGCCAGGCCAGCACGAGACTCCTCGCAAGGAGAGCCTCCTGAGCTACCTGACCGGCAGCATCCCGAGCCTTCCCAACCTGTGGGAGGGCACCACGCCACTCAAGGCGGGCGGCCCGTCCGCCAGCAAGAGCACCTCGCTCACACGGGCCGGTGAGAGAGGGCCGGGGGAAGTGGCTGCGGACGCTCGCGCAGTGTGGCACGCCGAGGGGCCACGTCTTGCCAAATCGGCCGTTTCTGTGCATTTTGCAAACTGCTCGGCCACTGCAGAGCATTTCTCCCTAGCGGACACGGGGCCATTTGCCGCCATGTGGAATGCTCGCGTATTTTGGTTTATTATTAATCTTTTTTTTTGTAAAGCGCAATTTAATAATCAAAAATATCTACCCAAGAATGATTCCGAAGCAAATAGACAAATACTGTATGTGATGTATGTACATGTATAATTCTTAAGTTTCATTTACTGTAAGATAATTTTCACTTAGGCCCAGCTTGGTATGTTTGGCTAGTATCTTGTTATATTTACTTGTGGGAAAAGACTAAAGTGCCCAGAGAAAATCTACTTGAACAAGTCGATGGCTCATATCGTATCTCAAGGGTTTGGATAACTCGTGGTGCTTGTTGTCATTTGTCTGTGAATTGGTGTGTGTCTATATCGTGGTAGTGTAGCGGTTCGCACGCTGCGCTACGAACATGACCAATACCCCTGACGAAGATTTTAACTGCTCCAGGGCCTCCCCGAGGTCAACTCAGCCTCAAATGAGTACTTTGTGTGGTGCGTAAACATCACTACTGGGGAGACAAAGGCGGCCAGGCGTGGTGCTGGCCACCCACCCCTTTGTGCGCTGTGCCGGTCTTCATAGGTGCTCGCTAACTGCACTTGCTCCAACAGTCTGTTACGGCTATAAAGGGTTTTTTTGTCTTTTTCTAAATGGCACAGACCCTGGCATGGGACTGACCGAGGGCCTCCCTGAGCACCCTCTGCTCTCGGAGCCGTCCAGCGTCAGCTTCTACAACTGGATGTCACAGGCAGTCGGTGGGCGGGCAGCAGCAGCGGCGGCCGTGCCGCAGGACTCACCGCCGGTCAGACGTCCCGCTCATGGAAACGCCGCGGGCGGTACGCTTAACACAGTCCTCTCCAGTTTAACACGTAGGCTTTCGTGACCAATATCAACCATAATACAGGTTTTTTTGGGGGGGGGTTAATCACGTAAATATATAAACGTGTCCTTAAACCCGCCACCACTGACACAGCCAATTAGTAAGGCTTGTCACATAAATATGCCAATTCGTTACTAGTACAGCACACCGGTGTTTTGCAGAGCAAAGCCACAACATTTACAATCTCACTACATCCTCTCTACCTGCGCGCCTGCACCTACCTTGCTGTAATCCCGCCTGTCTGCCTACTTATCATCTACCTACCTCCCCACCAGCTTGCCTAATTCCCTGTCTACCTTCCTACCTACAAATCTTCTTACATACCTAACCGTCAGCCCACCTATTAATCTACCTACCCTATGCTATCTTATCTACCTGTTTAACCTAACTATTTATCTATCCACCTACATGTTGAAAAACAATAATGTGAAAAATCTTAAGGCACGATGGAAAACATACATTTTGAGGTTAAACTTCGTATATTGCATAAGTGGACAGGAGAACACCGTTACAATCATCATTACGAGTGTTTTTTTTTAAATCGACAACAGACGGCAGCACGCTTCCCCTGGCGTTGTCTGCGGCAGACTTCAACGCGGCGCTGTCGAGTGGACAGAACTCGCCGGACGAGACACAGTCCCAGCTGAGCGCCAGCCTGGAGACCGTCATCGGCCTGGAGGGAGCCCAGGGCCTCCCAGCCGTGCAGCTCGCCGACGCACAGGTACCAGCGCCGACATTCTGCCACGAACCTGGCTTACAAATCGAATGGAATGAAAAAAACAAGGAAGACAAAACCGTGCGTATGCGTTGATTATGCGTTTTGTCCTCGGAAATATTTAATTCGCAGTCAAAAAAGTCTATGCAGAGGCTTGGAGGTCACGCCTCAGGCGCTCAGCACATGTACGGTAGGGCAGCCGTTCAAGACTGTGGTTAGTTTATGGTGGTGCTCAGGACGGGCACCGTGACTGGTTTTCTCTCTTCTGATTAATCGCGCTTCGGACTCTTGTTGAACAGCCCGGGATACACGGCAAGGGGGTATAGCTCCGAGAGAAGCGCTATTAAGTGTTATTTTGTGGTTGCGTCCTCGTTAAAGTAACCGTGCTCGTTTTGCCTCTCAAGGTCGTGTTCCGACCGCTGCTGAAGCGGCTGAGGATCCACTCGCAGGAGGCGGTGCCCGTGAGCTACCGCAAGCACGTGGGCGGACACGTGTCGCTGTCGGGCACGCTGCACTGCCTGCGCGCCGATATCGTCGACTCGGACGCCTCCCGGTCGCGCAGCTCGCGCAAAACGGCCAGGTGCATTTTGGGAAGTGGTGGGCATGGCGACGGGCACAACAGAAGATTATCTTTTTATATATACAAAATAATAAAAACTGTCAAACATTCTGCCTCGAATATATTTCTATTTTAAAATGAGTGTGTTGTTTGGAGAGTTTTGTTTTGATTTTCTAACTGCCTGACACGCATGAAGAAATCAAACAATTTATAGTTTTGGATGTGAAAATTATTCCCCCCCTGCTCGATTCTACAGACTGTTACAATTCCGTTGCGATTTGATTCATGCTGTTGGTGATATTAGCAACCGTCCATTAACAGCTGCAGGGTTCACTTCAACCCATTAGGTAGAACACTTACGAGTTATGAATAATGTTTTCTTACACAATTCAATGCATGTATAGTGAGTGTAAGAATCATGTGTAATGGAGGAATTGATGTTTCGTGAAAGCTTTAACCGGCATCACAAGACCTAATTTTTATTTATTTAGTATTGCATACTTTGGATACACATATGGATTGTTATGAAATCAGAAGATCAAGGGTAAACCTAACAGGAAGTTTTGTTGACGTTGAGTAGGCATTTAACAATACATCAATTCTATTATTAAAAATATTAATGCACTTAATACATGCATCAGATCACATGTAAGAATGGATTATTTATGATTCATTCGTTCATATGCTTCTGTTATATTTAGGATAATGTAGCAAACAAATCTACCAATGAGACAGTCAAAGTGAGAAAGGGTACAAACAAAACAGTCAAAACGAGACGAAAAATATTTTTTTCTTGACTTGAATCGGGGATCGCTTTGAGGATGGGTGGGGGTGGAGGGTGATTCATTCGATGCTTGATTTTAGACTCTTCTCAAAGCCTCGTCCATGTCGCCCCGCGTAGGTTACAGCCCTCACTGCCCCCCAACGACGCTCAAGTGGCAGCGCCGGCCCTGATGTTCGACACCTTCAAGATCTGCGCCATTGTGCAGGACAAGTCGGCTGATACCCAAGGAACCCTTTACGGCGCTGGTGGCGGCGGCCGCGGCGGCGGCGGCGCCTTTGGCCTGCACGAGCGCAGCCGCGCCTTGCCGCGCGCCGCCTTCCACGCCAACTTCACCGTCTCCTGCCAGTCCATCGACCAGCGCATCAACATGGCGCTCGTGCGGCTCGTGCACCAGTTCTGCACCGTCATAGCGGACGTGCGCGCCACGCAGACCGACATCCGCCTCAGCCGATACTCGGCGGGCTCCACGTCTCCCACGCCGGCGTACTACGCCACTGTGAGACCGCGGGGGGGTGGCGGCGGCGGCGCAGGAGCGGCGGGCGCGAGGGGGGCTGCCGCCGCCGCCGCCGCTGCTGCGCCAGAGACGACCGGGCCCAGCTCGCGGGGATGCCTGGAAACGGGCGGCACCGGCATTCAGGCCCGACGCGGCAGCGGCACCAAGAACTCGCGCAGGGTGGGCACCATGGCGGAGGCACCGGTAACGCAAGCGACTTCTCTGTCTGCGTTTGTGTTTGTCAGCGATTGTGTCGTTGTTATTCTGCCCGCGTTATATTGCATGAAGGCAAGAAATGTTGTATATAGTTCTCGTTCGCGAGATGATCGGGCTTTTGCCAGCTCCCAAGCTTTGGAATGCTTTATATTTGCTTGTCAAACCACTGCTGATGCTGAATGAGGTCCTCGCTGTGCAGGTGGTGGGTGTTTGTTCATCATAACCAGGGGTCGGCAACCTGCTACTCCGAAGCCACGTGCGCTGGCTGTCTAAGGACTGCTTCGTATTGCGGCTCTTTAAATATTTGAGTTTCTTTTTTACCGCATTCGTAAAATGAATGGCTCTTCTTGTTATTTGGTTGCCGACTATGACGGTCAGTGCGTGTTGAAGGTGGAGAGAGCGTGGCTGTACTGCCCTCTGCTGACCACAACTTAACTTACTTTATAAGCTTTCGCAATTTTTTAAAGGGTTGTTCATTGTAACATGTCATTAGATTTTGTTTTGTGTAAATATATACACTGTCTTGATTTAGTTGTTTCTAATTAAATGACACAACAAATGTGATCTGATGTCATGTATATATGAAGTCGTCTCCCGACCCTGCACAATTTGAGACCAGAATTTTATCAGTGGAACCTCGGTGCTCTATGCAGCCTTTATCAGCCTGTGAGCCACTCGGGCACTTTGTGAACAACATGACAGAAGTGATAGACAAGCCACAGAGTGATCCACTGTACCCCTCGACACCAGCAAGTCAATGAGTTGTCATCATTCTGGGAGTCAATTAGATTAAATAATCTATTCTTTATTTATTAATAATGTTTACAGCGTTCTTTGTGTCGTTTATTGTTCTGTCTTGTTTGTAAAGTTTTGTGCTGAATTAGCATATAATTTGTATATTATTTGGATGATTTGGATGCATCTTAAAATTATTATGAGCACAATTAGATATCCGTCAAATTTAAGTCAATCAATCGATGCATTGCCAAATCTCTAATATATACCCCAAACAACACACTCAATCACTTTTGTCAAATTGGAGAGTTATAGGAAAACACTGTGGAGGGTCCGAGTTCGCCCTTCACCCTTTTCATTCTGAACGTCCGCAGGCAGCAAGCGCCGGGCCGGCTCGCCGCGGCAAGCCGGCGGGCCGCGGCGAGCGCAAGTCCTCGCGCACGGCGACGCGCAAGGGCTCGCGGGACGGGATGCTGGAGCCCGTGACGGACTCGGACTCGGTGACGGTGTCGGAGCAGAGCGAGCCGTCGGCCGAGTGCTGGCAGCACATGTACAAGCTGCTCAACTTCTACTCGCTCATCGCCGACCCGGCCGGCGTCATGCAGCACGCGTCGCCGCTGACGCTGGCCGACTCTGGGCGGCACCGTGACGACAACGCAGGTGCGGCGGATCGCTCTGGCCCGAGCGCCCAGTGGGTGAACGACACAATTTGCCTCTGTTGCCATAAAGGGGTTGCCTCAATACTAAAGGGATGATTACCCTTGCGTTATAAGGAAAGGTATTGCAACGAAAGGCATTGCTGCGGTTAGTACGGTGGTCTTCGTATTATAGATTTAGTCTTGGAAAAATTCAGTTTGTCACATCCTCGGGGGACAAAAACAGACTCATAACTTGCCGATTTTCTGATATGCCATTGGCCAAAGGCACCATAATCTTCACTGATATGTCTGCCATCTAGCAGTATATATTTGATAAACATTGGACTTGCATATTTGACCATATTTGCACTGACATGTGACAATTCTTATGGAGAAAGCCAGCAGCTTGCTACTTTTCTAATATGCTGTTGTGGAAGGGTGCCACACATTTTTATTACATACACATCTGCCATTTAGAAGATAAAATATGGGTAAAAAAATACCCATAGGTACCAGCGCCATGCTTCATTCACTCGATCGGATCTGACCTGGCAAAGTAATATCTTAAAGATGCAATTCAATTTCCAAAATTTAAAAAGGTTACGTAATGATAAAAATAATGCTTTGTGATTTGTCTAGAAATCAGACTTTGTAAAGGGACTCATTTTCCTGCTCCTCTTATATGGTAATCTGATGCTTTACTTGAAATACGGGATGATATTGACGACTTGTGTCCATACGTTTGCCTCGCACATGCAGTTGTACATGTGCCCGTATTCCGGTTTGTGTGTGTGCGCCTGTGCTTGTATCTGTGTGTGGAGCGGTAGCTAACAGCACTTGCCCCAACGGTTTGCTAAGGCTACACGGGGGGTTCTTTGTCTCGGATTTGGAGCAATAGCACAGTGGTTTGCACACTGTGCTACGATCACGACCACTAGAGTTCGATCCCCGGTCACGGCTAACATCTATGGCGAGTATTATCTGAACTGGTCCTTGTTCTTCCGTTGCTCACCTCAGCCATAAATGAGTACCTGGAGCATTGCATTTACATCGGCATTGGGGAGACAAAGGCGGCCGAGCGTGATGCTGGCGACAGCACCCCCTCGTCCGTTATCCCGGCCTTCATAGGTGCTCGCAGGCATCACTTGCCCCGACAGACTGTTATGGCTATACGGGGAACCTTGTCAATTTTTTTGCACGTGTTAGTTTGTTGTCCTTCCCCCACACCTCCGATTAGCACGGTTAGCTAAGTACGGTGCGAAAGAAGTTCAACATACGTGCATACGTTTGTCTTTGGGCGTGCCAGGTAGTCCCGGGGACCCATTCTGCCGCATCGCCTTCGAGAACGAGGTGGAGGCGGCGGCGGCGGCGGCAGCGGCCGCGGCAGCAGCCGGGCGGCCTCCGCGCTGGCGCGTGGGCTCCGTGGGCGCCGCCGAGCCTCAGCACGTGACGCTCGTGGTGTTTGGCGTGGGCATCGTGAACCACACGCGGCTGCAGGCCGACATCGGCGGCCTCACCATGGAGGCAGAGCTGCGCAAGGCGCACGGCAGCTTCACGCTCAAGGAGAAGATGCGAGGTGCGCTCCATCCGTCGCGTCGTCTAGGACATTCCCATTGCTGCACAGGAGAGGGTTAAAACGTGGCTGTCACCGTGCTCAGGAATTAGAATCATGGGCTGACGCCTTCGATACCCGAGGTTCAATTACAGGCCTCAAGAAAATCAATATATAGCGAATATAAAAGAACAACGCTAAAATGTTGCAAAAATATATCTACGACATCTACTGCCTCCTACAAGAACCACTTCTCACTCTCATGGTTGTTACATATATGACCCAAATGCCATACCTGGATAACAGACAAATACCCCACCATGAAATCAATTGCTTTCGTTCGACACTCTTAATTGATGCAGACGCCAAGGCCTATAAAGTTGCAGTTAAAGATAATGCACTGCACTTAGTTGTTAGGTAGATTACTTGTGATATGGGTTGTAGATTCCCATAATGTTGGCAATGATAGCAACATTCAGGCTAAATGTCACAAAATAAATGCGGTGGCCCCTGCATCCCTCGTCAGTACATTGACCCTGTGTGTCCGCGTCTCCCGATCCTCTCGCCAGACGTGTATCACCAGAAGACCACGGAGACCTGCGCGACGGCGCACGTGGGCTCCGTCACGGCGGTGCTTCTCGAGGGCATTGCTCCCAACATGCAGTGCGTAGCCGCTCAACGTGACTCGCCCGAGCCTCTCGCTATCTCCAGTAGTGCTGCCCGCTTTGCTTCACTGGTACCACTCATGCTTTTCACCGGTGCCATCACCACTACTCATTTGCCATCTCCCTTGGCTTGCACCGGTGCTCTCCCTTGTGGCACTGGTGCCGTGCCTTCGTGCTGCTACCATATTTCGCTGGTGTCACCCCTACTATTTCACTGGTTGATATACAGTGGTACCTCGGAGAACTTAATTCGTTCCAAAACCGTGTTCGAACACCGAATTATTCGAACACTGAAACAATTTTCCCCATAAGAATGAATGGAAATAGCATTAATTGGTTCCCCACCCAAGGATGCTCTTATTATGGGCCATTTTTACACAAAAGTTTACAATATTAAAATACAGTACAGTACATAAAAGCATACAAAAAACAAGAAACACAGTTATAATTAATAGAATAAATGAACATTGAACTTCACTTTACCTGTAGTAAGGAGAGTGGATGGCTTGAGTGGAAGGTGGTGAGGAGGGGAGGAGGAGGTGTCAGTGTTGCTTGGAAGGGGAGTCCCCCTCCATAAGCACGTTGGGTAACTGCCCTTCTGGGGTTCTTTCTTCTCTTTGCCTTTTTTCGAGCACTAACTGTGATTCACTTGAGGGCCTTTTTCCTCAAAACTGATCAAGAGAGGATTGTTTCTGCCTCCGTTTTAAGATGTTTCTTAAATTAATCAATGTATTATCATTATAAAAATCGCCTGCTCTGCTGGCTACTACCTTATCTGGATGATATTTTTCTCCAAAATTGTGTAACTCAGCCCATTTTACCACCTTTGATAAAGGGCTTTCGCGTAGAGTTTTTTTAAAGTTGGTAATTACCTCTTGGTCCATGGGCTGGATGTGAGGAGTCGTATTGGGGGGCAGGAACTTTACAGTGATAAAGGACGAGAGCTACGCGTACACTGGGTCATTCGCCTTTGTCTCGGTCACCCTGGATACGCGTCGCGGCCCAAACCAGTTCTTTCCAGTTGTTCGACCTCCGAATTTTTGTTCGATGTCCGGGGCAAAAAATGGTCGAAAATTTAGTTCGATCACCAAATTGTTCGAGTTCTGGGGCGTTCGATCTCCGAGGTACCACTGTATAATTATTGCCAGAGCAGCATATACTCACGTACACATGCGCACATTTGCATGGTCACTATAAAAATCGTGAAACTGCACAAGAATGTATGCAGATAACAATCGGGCAACTTGAAAAAGCTGTGAGGTTCCCATGCAATGCAGTGTGTTAGCTGCCCTGGTTATTAATGCAGATGTGTAGTAACCATAAAATATGCTCCGTTTGCTTTGTAGAGGATGTTAAAGATTCCCTGATAACATTCGAAATGAGAAGGCCATTGTGTGCCGGCGTCGTTGTCCAACTTTGCCATATTCGTTAAATTACCCTCGAATTACTCAATTTGGGATTACAAATAACAATCATTGCCCCTTCTGGCAGACTTATGCCCGCTTTGAGACCACGTGCCGAGTCATCTTGTGCCGCACAGGAACAGCTGCCACTGGGGATGCCCTTTCAAATGTGTTGAGATGAGATGCGAGGTGGTAGTAGTCACTTACCGCATGTAAATCGCACTGAGATGCCCCGACACGTGAAGGGGCCGCCGTGTCAAACACAAATCATCGTTGTCCTGAGTGTTTCATTTCTGACGTCATCGTTGAAACAATTTTATTTGAAACGTTTTTTTATTTTACCAGATAAGGCCCACTGAGCTATATAGCTCATTTTCAGAAGCGACCTGGCCACAAATGACAGCTCAATAAAGTGGCTTACGTGGAAATTTATAGCAGCCAAATACTCTAAATGCATGATGTTGAGTCTAAATGTGGAGGAAAAATCTGGAGGACCAGGGGGAGAACATGCAAACTCCAGATATACAGGCGTTAGGGTCTGAATCGAACCCACGACTTCCTGTATACCAGGCGAGGTAGTTAACATCTCGTCGGATTCCTCCAGGATAAATAAAGTTTCTGATTCTAAATCCACACTGTCGGGCGCAGGACGGTGGTGAAGTGCAGCGTCGCCAAGTCGCAGGCGCTCTACACGGCGCTGCGTGGCGCTCGCACCAAGAACTCGGCCGTGCTCAGGGTGGGCGCCGTCAAGGTGGACATCCCGCAGCACCCGGCCACGCTGCACGGCATGATGGTGCGCAGCTCCCACCAGCTCTCCAAGCAGATCTCCGACCTCATCCGCCAGCCGGCTCAGAGGTCAGCGAGCAGTCCTCTCCCACAGCCTCCCCACCGGTTGTGTTTATTTCGGCGTCGGTTATGTGTATATATGTTGAACTTCTTTCGCACCGTAGTATCCAACCGTGCTAACCTTTTGCCTGTGATTAAATCGCCTGGAATGCACCCCCTCTCATTGGATAGTGGAAGCTAAGCAGGATGTTGAGCCTGGGTAGTGATTGGATGAGTGACCACCGTTCATATATTGGAGTGTTATAGGCTGCTTCAGATGAGTGACCACCGTTCATATAGCAGGGTGTTGTAGGCTGCTACACGAGCTACGTTATTGGCAGCAGAGGGCAGTGCAGCAATAGGTCTCTCTTACCTAACAATATACTGTTTGAGGCTGTGTAAATATTGGTTACTGCATGTCAATCATGTGGTGTTTTTTATCAACTGGGTGAAATAAATGGAGGGAAAATTTGGCATTTACGTATCATTTTTATTTTAAATGTTTGGTAATGGAGCTGATGACGGGATTTAAATTCAGAACTTTCTGAGTTTTAACCACAGTGGCCCCAAGCTGTAGCTTGGTCCGTCAAAGCCAAAGTAATCGCAGTCAAACAAGCATGGAGTGGCACTCATCTGCAGTTTACAGTTGTGACACGGGCAAGTAAATCCACAACACAATGTTGATCTTTCCACAATATGGTACTCGTAGAAAGTTGCTAGGATTTGATCTCATAACCCACCATTGTGAGCCGTGCACTCTAACCACTACGATGGAGTAACCATTGCATGGGTTAAAAGGCATATTTCTCACATACGAGTGTGAAGGTCACTATGTATGTTGAACTTCTTTCGCACCATACGTAGCCATCCGTGCTAATCGAAGGTGCGAGGGAAGGATGACAAACTCCACACACAAAAAAACTGCAGGCAACCGTTGCGTTGGTCCAACGCTGCGACCGATTCGCGCGTTCCCGACCTGTGTGCAGGGACGAACCACAGGCTCAGGGGGCGGCAGGGAGCCAGGGCGCACAGCAGTCTGTTCCGCGCACGGCCAGCAGCCAGACCCAGACGCCGCTGGAGCCCAGCGACTTCCCGCAGCTGCCCGAGAGTCTGGAGCGCCGGCCGCTCGTGCTCAAGTTTGACGCCATCCTCGACGGGGTGACCATCGGCGCCGCGCTCCTCCCCTCGCTCCGCGCCGAGTACAAGATGGAAACCATGAAGAGCCACGGCATCACCGGTCAGAGCTGCCCCCCGCCTGTTTGTACGCCGAGCACGTGCGTCACGCTGGCCCCGAATTGGCCCTCGCTAACGGCGCCAGAGATTGTTGCCACGGAGGTGACGTGGAGGTTCTGCGCGTGTGTAAATGAACGGGAGCGTGTGTATCGCATAGGGAGTGATTCCTGCGGTGGTTATTACCCTGCACTGTGAAACCTGCTGCGGAATAATGTCTGTGGAAAGTGATATCCGAGCGAATATTCCTGGTCCCACCCCAACTGCTCGTGCACCATGCCGGCCTTAATAGGAGCTCGCTAGCAGAACTTTCTCTTACAATCTATTTAGTTCTACAAAGGGGTCTCTGTCTCTTTGTGTGTAAGGGAACAACATGTCAATGCAGGATATGTAATGCTCAGAGCACCACGTGAACACGAGGAGCTTGAAACCTCACCGCCGCGGTGTGCTGTCACCCCAACAGGCGCGCAGACGCAGTTCAAGTTCGAGCTTCCGTCTCACCTGCTGAGCCTGACGTCGCGGGTGGCGTCGGCCGAGTCGGTGGGAACGCTGCCCTCCACCAAACTGGCGCTGCCGCGCATTGCCGTGTCGGGGGAGTACGTGATGGAGGAGCACGGGGTCTTCGCGCCCGAGGAGTGGACGAGCGACGGACTCGCCACGCGACGCGGGGACTACCTGCAGTGCGTGGCCGAGGTGAGGCCCCTCCCCCACCCCCGGAGCCCGCTCCGCGTGGACCACGGCACAGCAACGTCCATTGCCGTTCCCGTGCCGTTCCTGGGCCGTTGCTGAGCTTTTAAAGTGAAGTCCATCACTGGTCGTGGAAATTACCCGTTCAGCTGCACAGACGGCTGTGGATGATAAATACATGCAAGGAGAGGCTATTGCCGCCAGCAAGGCACAAGAGGGAACAGCACCGTGCTCAGCTGCTCTTGCCACCATATTCCCTTTTTAGGCTGAGTGGGCAGTGGATGATCAAGGGACATTAACATTATATTCTCTAGTCGCGTATGTTGCTTGAAATTGAGACTGAGGAAATGAGATTGTAGCACCAGTGCACCTATCTGTCATCGTTGTGACATTAATTGCTGACTTGGCTTAGAACATTGCTCGAGCCAAGTACAATTACCTGGCTTGCTGTGGTGCAGAGTCAAGATATTCATCCAGAGAGTTCAGTGCAGTGTGCTAACCATCACACCACTTCCCAGCAGCCACAACGGTGAATATCACAGAAACTAGCCATTGACGGTGGCCTGGTTACACCAGCACCACCACTGCTTTCTTTATCTTTGTGCGTCGTTCCCAGATTGGCTCATTCGAGCACAACCTGAGCACGGATTTGCTGCATCACCTCGTTTTCGTGCAAAAAGTCTTCATGAAGGAGGTGAACGAGGTCATCCAGAAAGTGTCGGGTGAGCACGGAACGGGGGCAGCACACGGTCACTCCCGCACGTCTCCTGGGAAAATTGGTGTCTCGTATCAGCCGACGCTTGCGGTTTTTATGTTCCCGTATTGTCTTGTCTGTCATTACCTTGTCCGTGTCAACCATTGTTGACAATGGCATTCACGCGTCATTGGCAAAAACTGTCAGGTGGGGGCGGGCTTGTGGAACATTTAATTTGTGTGCAGGTTTCCGTGATGGATGTAAGAGATGAGTGGTACTATTTTTCCTGTCCCCTGAGCCAAAGGGGCTCCATTCGAGTGATTGGAGGTGGGTGGACCACACGAATAACGGTGGCGTTTGTAATTCTGGTGCTGTCTGTGACAGCTGGCACTGTCCGTTAACTGCCGTGGTGGACCGAGATCAGTGCCTTAGTCCTCCACGTAGCAGTATTGGATGAGTTGCTGTTCGCCACTGCATTTAATCTCATAGTTTTACGATGGATTTGTGCAGTGGAATAAAATCCGCTGGTGTTTTCCTGGTGCTTTTCAACTGCCCTACTACGACATACGTGCATGATTGTCTTTGTCGGGAACTCATTTGATAACGAATTGACAAACAAGCAAATGCATTTGCGACTCCACAAGGCTGTGATGGCTTGGCCAAAGTATATTTTCTTCAGTCTCAATGCCGGAAACAAACTGTAAATTGACAGCTTTGCGTGTTACTCGTATTCGGTGTTTGGTAGCCCTGATTTTGATGTGAGCGTAACGTGATTGCACACAAGTAATGAGGCTTGCGTGTCCATGCCGGGCCAGGCGGAGAGCAACCCATCCCCCTGTGGAACGAGCAGGACGTAGGCAGTGCAGACGGAGAAAGACCTAAACCTCTGCTCTACTCTCTGCAGCTCCGCTTTCAGGTAAGCATCGCAGTGTAACACCGCGTTATCGGCACACACGCGCACACGCTCATCCATTCGCGTACGGGGATGGTGGAATCAATCCACGGGTGGGTGGGATTGCTCGTCAGGAGAGAGCTCACGGATTGATCCGCGCATTTTCGCAGGGAGTGCAGGTGACGGCCACCACGCCCACCATGAGCGCAGTTCGCTTCGAGACGGGAGTCATTGAGTTGGTGCTGTCCAATCGCATCCAGACCAAGGCATACGCCGGGCTGGGCCGCAGCGGCAGCTACCTCAAGCTGTTCGGAAAGTGTCAGGTCGACCTGTACCTGGCCCTGGGGCAGATCATCAGCAACCAGGTGGGTACCCCATGGCGGTCATCAGTGGCCGTGTGCAGCTGTTAAATCCTCCCCACCTCGCGCCTGACACACAGCCATCAAACAAACGCCTGCAGACAAAGACAAGAGGCAAGGTCTGCTTTGCTGAGTAGGCTTGTAATGATTCTTCCCGGTGAGTCAATGAATTGCCACTATTTGAGGTGACAAATTAATGCAAGAATAGATTAATTTTTATTTTGTTTACACTCTCATTTTGCATCGTCTCTACATGTGTACAGTGTATTCATATGTAGTGGGTTTACGGAGAGCGGAGACGACTCGTAGAGGCAACGTGTTTATTCCAATAAACGGTAACAGTAGCAGTCACAGCTTTCACTAGGGCAAGGGCCCTTTTTACCTACTGCCTGGGGAGGTACGATCTCCGGACTTGTGGGCCCTAACACGGGGCTACGGGCTCTTAAGTCCTCCGGCTACGAGTGACCTAGGGGAGGCTACGCTGACCCGACCCAGCCAAGGTACGGGTCCCGACCACTGGCCCACTCGGACCCCGCCCTTACAAGGACGTCAGGCTGGGGGTTCCCAGGGTCTTACCACTGGCCCACAGAGTCCCGGCTCTTACAGGGGCAGCGGGGCTAGGGGTCCCAGATTCCTAGGCTAACTGGTCTTCTGGCTTCGGTCTTGGACTGGCCCCGGACCCTTTCAGAGGTCCGGCTTTTATACACAGCACCGGTGTATCAGCCCCTGGCCACGCCTCCCTTCCCGAGAGTTCCAGGGGGGTCTCGGGGGATCCTAGGACACCCCGCAGCCCCCTCCTATTGGGAGGGGTCTCGGGGGATCCTAGGACACCCCGCAGCCCCCTCCTATTGGGAGGGGTCTCGGGGGATCCCAGAACACCCCTCAGCCTCCTCCTGCTTTGGGGCTGGGGAATGTAGCGAGTCACATGCCGGTGTAAGTTACTGCCTCTGATGGGCCGTGTCTGCTACTGCAGGTAAGTGCACACAGCCCATTTACAGGGCTACATATATATATACACCCCCTGATGCACGTCCCACCATTCTGTGGCATTTTGAGACGCGATTGTATAAATTCAAGTCGTAGTGACTTGTCTTATTGTGTTGTGGTGTGTTGTTCTGTCTTGTGCATACCGTTAGCCTGATTTGCATTAACTACACATATTGAGTCTTAACACGCACAATTTTTTGCTTGTATTGTAGGCTTAAGAATCTTTTGTAATCAACGAATCTATGACTAGTTGGAGGATATGTGTAGTGCGTATTGTGAAGCTTGACCCTGTGAACGAAGGTGTTTTTAAAGAAGCTATAACCTAAGTTATAACTTCCCTTATCTCAATCCATAGGTTTATATGATTCATAACTGTTTTTTGGGTTAGATGAAATAATTATCGTTCTCATCTATTATCTTGAAATACAATCTGCGCTGCCTCCGCGACCCTCACCAGGACAAGCGGACTGAGAAATGAAGGAATAATCTGGGCAGTGTCCCAAGCTGCCCGACACTCACATGAAACTTCCATAATGAGCACCAGTGCCGTCAGGTTTAATTGGCTGAGCCAAGCGCCAGCCAGAATTTGGACGCGAAGCCTTGCGATTGCGAGTTGCGTGCTCTGATCACGGGGCCACCCACTCGCCAGACGATCAGTGCTTCTGCAAACGGTGGCGGAGCGAGAGAAGCGGAGCCTGCAAAGCCTGGGCCGTGTGTCACCGCGCGCAGGTGTACAAGGAGGCGGTCTCCGAGTTCCATCAGGTGGCTTACTTCCGCACACGCATCGGCCTCCGGAATGCCCTGCAGAACGAGATGAGCGGCTCGCAGGACCGCGAGGCCGTGCTCATCACTCTGGACCGGCCCATCGTGTACGCCCAGCCCGTCGCCTTTGACAAAGGTCTCCTCCGCGGGCGGAACGTCGCCCGAAGCGCACACGCGCACACGGACACATGCGTGTGCGAGCATATGTAGCACGCAAGCGTAAAATATTAACACACACACCTTCCGTAATATACATGCACACATGTGAGGGACATGTCCACACGAAGATCTCCTGTATAGCCTTTACTAGACTCTTGGGCAAGTAAGGTAAGCAAGCGCCTATTAAGGCCGGTAAGGCACACGAGAGGGTGAGTAGTTAGCATCATGCCCGGCCACCTTTGTCTCCTTAGTGCTGTTGTTTACACACCACACCAGATACTCTTATAGGGTCGAGTTTACTTAGGGGAGGAACAGGACTGGATCATGTATTTGTCACCGATGTTGGCTGTGAGCGGTAATTGAGACTCGGGTGGCCGGGTTCATAATGCATTGGACACACATCCGCACACGATTGTACACACACTGCGACATGATCATAGAAGACAACTTCCCGGACACTGTTTGGTTCCTGTGTAAATCGCAATAATGCCGTTAATTTACTCAAGAAAGCCTCATTGAGTCTCAATAATAGCTTTCAGGTGGGGCCTACATTATCATTTGTGCCATAACGGTGGTGTGGGCCCCGTTCATCAGTGCATATGCACGTCTTGTATTGCAAGGCTTGTATAAGATCTCGCCACTGTTAAGCGAGTGGCTCGGTGCTTCTGGCTCACAGTTAATGGCAGTTTGCATTCCTAATGAGGTTTTTGCTGGTGCCCCCTGCTCCCTTCACGCACAGCTGTGCTCTTCTGGCTGAACTACAAGGCGGCGTACGAGTACTGGAATGAGCAGCGCATGGCGCTGGGTCGCGACGTCTACATGGCCACGCGCGAGTTGGTCGACAAGTTGCCCACCATCTCGCAGACCCCCTCGCAGGCCTTCAGCACGCTCATCCTGCAGCTCACCGTCAACGAGCTTGGCATCTGCCTGCCCATAGGAGCCACCTCACAGGTACCGGCGTCAGGCCAGGCGCGGAGACCCCCTCGTGACGTCAGCACGAGCCCTGAAAATCTAGCTCTCTTCTGATTCAAACCCTAACCAGAAACATGAACACAACCCCGATCCTAAACCTAACACGAGCCCTGAGCTTAAGGCTGGTCCCAAGGCAAATTGTTGTCGAGGCTCAAATCTGATCCTCGTGCTAATCTTGGCACCAGATATTTAGGCTGCTTCTGATTCCAGTGTAAATGTAAGCAAAGTAAGTACCCCGTAGAAGCAAACATTTTACACAAATTCCACAGAGATCCTTTATTCTGGAGAGGGCAGTGTTTGGATGGTGACAGAGCGAACCACTGATGTGACTTTGAAGCTGAACCAATACTTGGACGAGGACCCCGGTTCGGCGCTGGTGCTCACGGTGGAGAGCACCCTCATCTCGGCCTGCTCCTCCGAGTCCCTCGTCAGCAAGGGCCACTTCAAGAACTTCTGCCTCCGCTTCGCCGAGGAGTTTGAGACTTCCTGGGACGACTGGAAGCCCGAGCTACGCAACGGGACCGTCATGAACGCATGTAAGAATGTGGCCTCCCCTTCGCCGTTTTCAACTTTGAACTCTTCTTGAGGACTGAGCGAGAGCCGCTTGAGAATAACGCCAATTGACTCTTTGGTTCTTTCGGTAAAGTCACGTAGTTAGAAATAGGATAAAATAAAAGCTTGTGTTGTGATCGAAACGTCGTCATTTATTTTATTGTATTTCTACCCACGTGACTTTACCGAAAGAACCAAGGAGTATGGATTCCTGCAGTCACGAAAGCTTCAAGTCAATTGTCTCCTTTGTATCGGACTTTTGGGAACATACCAGGAGAGGGGAAGAGCTCTTGATCTTTTTGCATTATGATTGTGTAATTTTCACTGAAGCACTCCGTACCACGCAGCATCGCTACGGGGTGGCAGCCGGTGGCGTCCACGGTGGTGCTTGCTTGCGATTGGGCGCTTTTAAGTCACGGGCTGGCGGGTCACGTGTGTTTGTGGAATTCCCACATCCACTGGGTCACGAGAGAGAACTCCACAATGGGGTTAAATTTTGATTTAAAGCTTTCGTGACTGCAAGGATTCATATTCGTGGTTCTTTCGGCAAAGTCACGTAGAAGGGAAACAATAAAATAAAAAAATATAAAACAATAAAATTCTCACGACGTTTCGACTGCAACACAAGCAATCATCATCAGGTGTGAAAAACCACAGCTGATGATGATTGCTTGTGTTGCAGTCGAAACGTGATAATTTTATTTTATATTTTAATTATTTTATTGTTTCCCTTCTACGTGACTTTACCGAAAGAACCAAGAAAAATGGGGTTAAACCCAATAGTCAGAGCACGCGGAACATAACAAAACAGTTGACCGCTTAACCTACATTGATTGTTTTTCTTCTTGGTTGTGTAAACATGGCAATGGTTATTGTTTGTCAACACTTACCATGTTAACATTTTTCAAAATTACACCTTCCTGGAGACAGAACAACACATAGCTTACATTGTGTTTGCATATGTACTTAAATGCCTGCAGCCCTCTGCCAGTCCATTGCTGGATAAATGTGGCCAGGAATTAGGCCACTGGGTACATCTCGCAGTGCGATGTCTGCTGCACAAAGCTACCCTCCCCAGAACATAAATACACAAGAAATGTGTCCATGAACTTCCTTTCTAGGCAGGTGAGAGCCCATTCAGATCAAGTGTGGCTTTTTAAAGGGATACCTAAGGTTAACTTATGGGTGCCATATTACAAAGACACACAAAGGCTACATCTGTTGAGCAAATTAACTGAACTCCTTAGTGATTACTTCTTTAAGCCAGTGCACATTCTAGGGCTCCCGTGCTCACGTTTCAGTCCTCGGCGTCACCGCAGCGTAATTCTCTGTGACACATTTGCCTAATTGAGGTGAAGTCCTCGTCATTCCTTGGTGGGGTTTTTTTTGTTCTTCCGGATTTGTTACCGTTCTTCCCTTCAATCCATGAGCACCTGTCATATGTACACTCCTCCTGTCATTTGGATGGACGTGCCTTTGGTTTGGCATCACTGTTTTTTTCTTTTTTGTTACAGGCGTGGTTCCGGATGGGACCTACGAAGTCTGTTCACGCACTACGGGGCAGTCTGCAGCAGGTGAGTTCGTGGGAAGGGACACTTTATATATTTATAAATGTATTTATATTTGGTATATCTCCAATAAAGGCAAAAGTCATAGTGGTTTCACTCAAGTGAGCATTGGGGCGTTGCTCATGTATCCTAACAAGCGTGATCCAGTGGTGGAAATGTTTATTGCTGTGGTAGAGTCGGTGTCCTCTTAAGACAGCCACCGCTGATTTCCTTTGATGGACCCTGGAAGCATGATGGGTTGTTGCGTTGAGTCCATCATGGTTGAGTGAGGGGCTCAAACCAAAGTGCCTCCCTCCCTCTGACCTGCGATGATTTGAGGAATGTTCTGAAAAACCTCGATAGCCCACAAAAGCTGTTTAGAGCATAGGGTTTTGTTGACTGTTGAATTTTGTCGGTGAAGTGAGTGAATGATTAAGTTCATTGCATGGCTGTCTGTGGGGAGATTATACAATACAAACTGTTAAAGATATACTATATGAATAAGATTTTTTTTCACTTTATCGAAGACACCCCTCATTTACAGGAAGATGGAGTCAAAAACAAACATACCTCACGAAGTAACTTATTTAAATAGGTTACGCGAATGAACCAGGCTGTCTAAACTTTGGCAACTTCTTTAATGCGATAACAATACTTTTAAAGTTAGTCAAATGCTCGTCAGATGCTTGTTTATTAGGGCTATCATAACGTAACTGTGACCTCACTCCCTTTGACGCTTCAATATGACATGGAGCTGTACGACATTCCTTAAAGATTCAAACTCGTGTCCCGCGTGCCGTAACAGCCTCAACTGCTTGGAACCTTGTTGCACCATTCGGGTATGCCCGTCACCCCTACATGCGAGCGCAGAGCTGCCCAATAACCAACCATCCGCATTGTCGAGGCCTGCCCTGTAGACGGTGAAATGAAACTGCCGATTGAACTCAATGACGTGGCAATCTAGTGCTTGCCTGACCCATGATCGCAAACACAAGAAGTAGCCTAGGGAGACATCTACAAACTAACAGCTGTTTACCTTTCGGTTACGTCTTTATTTTAAGCGCCGTCGTGAACCCGCGCATCTTTTTCCGCGTGAATGGTTGCCACCCATGTGTTCGTTAGTAAGTATAATCCTCCCGGAATTTGATGCGGCGTAGGTTGTGCCCTCGATTAGAAACGTGGGTGCCATCCATCCACGGCGAGTGAAAATATTTCGACTCTTAAGATCGTCGTTAAAAAAAAGCACGCGCGTCTGGCAGACAGCGGCAGTGCGGGCACGTGGATGCTGAACGTGCTGTGGAAGATGTGCGGCATCGACGTGCACATGGACCCGAGCATCGGCAAGTGGCTGAACACGCTGGGCAGCACGCTGACCACGCTGACGGGCGAGGAGGACCTGGACGACATCGCGGATCTCACGTCCGTGCTGGAGCACGGCATCTCGGACGAGGACGAGCCCGACGGCGTCGCCACTCCCTTCCTGCATACGGTGAGCACGTGGCCCTTGCAATGTTTCACATCGGGGGTCTGCGACACATTCGATCACGATTGAGTCGTGACGTAGCCAGCTCAGTGGCGTGTAGCGGAGTATCGACAAGGCTCGATTATTGCAACTCACTCCTCCACGGGACTTCTGGTAAAAAAAACCATCACGCTGCGGCGTGTACAAAATTCTTTGGCACGTGTCGTGACGGGTGCTGCGAGATTTTACGACGTTCGTCCAGTGCTCGCTGAGCCGCCATTGGCTTCTGGTTGCCGTATGAATACATAATAAGGTCGTGCTCATTGCCCACAAAGTGCTTGCCACAAGTGAACCACAATACCTTGCTGATCTCATCAAGAAGAATAAACCATCACGCCAACTCCAGTCATCCTCTCAACAGTGGCTTTTGGCTAACCTTCGAACAAAGGCATCGCATGCTTTCACATGCGCTTCTGCGGCCATCTGAAATTCTCTTTCTTCCGATATTAGAAAGCCGCTGGAGCTATGCACTTTTAAATCTAGATTTAAAACCCATTTCGTTCGAACTTGCTTTTTGTGTTTAGTTTGTTGTACTTCCCCCGCACCACCGATTAGCACGGTCGGCTGCGAACGGCGTGAAAGACGTTCAACATACGTATGCTACATTCAAAAGAAATTCAACATACCATTTTCCTTGATTGAATTGCTCTGCGTTTCCTTCTGTTTTATGTCGAATGAATACAAACGCTTTGCGCTGCACTGGGTGCGTTTCGACCACCGTGCGCATATCAGAACTTGCCGTACGTCGGTTTCAAGAGCCGCAGGCTGTAATTTGGTGACCATCGCCGTCGAGGTATTGAAGCCTGAATATTGCGAGATGTCCGTGTCGCCTGCCTCGTTTTATCCGTTCAGAGGGTTCTGAGTGGGGTGCCCACCCGTGCGCTGTGCAGGACGTGTCGGATTACAGGCGGCAGCCGTCTCTGGGAGGCCCCAGCACCGAGCTGTCGCTCAGGAGGACGTCGAAACGCCTCATCGAGAGGGAGCTCAACGAGCAGGCCAAAGTCATCGATGACCTCAAGTACGGGGCCAGCCGCTGTGCTAAGAAAAAAAAACATTAACCTCATTCCTTGCGTTAAGTAATTAAATTTTCGCAATGCACAGCAGCTCCAATTAAACCTCTCACAGCTTGTTCACAAGAAGAACATGGTGACCTGCCCCAGTTAACGTTGCCGAGAATTCCACAAAAGTCTCAGGAAAAAAAATAGAAAACCTTTTAAATTAGCGAAACTTGCCTTGTTGTTCCCCTAGCACGCACGACCTAATTTTCCTTTTTATTGTTCGTCAGGAAACTCGGGGCGAGTGAGAGCACCATCAACCAGGAGATCCAGCGCTACCAGGCCCTTGAGACGTTCGCCGTCAAAGACATCAGGAGGGATGTGCGCAAGAAGCTCAAGCGCTCCAGCATCGGGGCACGTGACCGCTGCCTCCATCACACTATCCAGCACACTGCCTTCGTGTGCATGCATACAACCAAATCAGTCCTGAATGTGCCTGATCTCATCAGATCTTATAACCCCTATTAGAGGTGAGCCTGGGTAGTAATTGGATTGGAGACTGCCTGGGGATACCGGGTTTCGTAGGCATGATGTGATTCGATTTTCCGAAACACATTCAAACCCCGTATCTCAAGACATGCATGCTCATTGGTCCAACACAGCCATTTGCTCCTCCCTGAGCCACCTGCCCTCGTGTGATCCTGCTGTTGGTTTTAGACGCTGCTTGCGCCAAGGTGGACAGGGGGCTAAGAGCTCAGAGCGCTGAGCTAGCTAGCACCGCTGAAATCCTGGGTTCAAATCCATTAACCTGCCTATGATTAAACCGGATCCTCTATAATACGTATATATTAAGTTGATGGTGTCAGACAGGTCACCAATGATTGGACAAAAAAGTCATCGTGTTGAATTTGGTTGTGCGCTCTCGTTGGCCAAATTCCAGTTGCCTCAAGCTGTTCTAGAACACGAAGAATTGCACCACTGCGCGCACGATCCAAATGAATGCTTCCTCTGATGACATTGCCAATAGCGTAACCGGAATATAACTCGGGAAGCGTGGACAAAATACGGGTAACAGTGAATGTACGCTGCTCGTGTGCCTCAGGCCGTGTCGCTCAAGGATCGCTGGGGCCTGAGCTACAAGCCGAGCCGCTCCAAGAGCATCGCGGCGAGCGGACGGCCCAGCCTGAGTCGCGTCGGTCGCTCACGGTACGGTTGCCCTACCCTGGCCCTTACTGCTTTCTTCCAGCCTTGTTCTCCCCTAACTCTCCTCTTCCAGTGAGCTGTACCCCATCCATGGCTACATATGTACATGGCTGCATATACACTCTGCTAATCTCGGCCCGAAGGTAGAGAAACCTTTTCGAAACTCTGGCTCGCTCACGTGGTTGGTTGGCCTCTAAATATTTTCTTGTTTGTCTTTGTTCCCGATACTCATCCTAAATTATTTGTACGAATGCATTATATGTGTATTTCTCAATTTAGACGAATGGAGCTAAAATTACTACAAGCGTCATTTTAAAAAAGTCACCGGTAAAAGCTCGATGGGAAAAAAGAGAGCAAAAAAACTTCACTGTTGACTTTAATCGCAAACTCCACTTTGTGACGATAAATAGAATTGCTGGGGAGGAGGGTGAATAATTTCATGCCTAGCAGTTCTGAAAGAAAAAAAATTGTATTCATAATTTATATTACATTTTTCTATATTTCACATGAATTAATTAGAATATATTACTTTTAAAATATGTATTCTGAATAGTTTAATGAATTTTTAAATAGCTGTTTTCTAGTTTTTTGTTAAATTGGAATGAGCTATTTTACTCTACCTTTTTTAATCCCACGTGTTGCTTATCTGGTCTCAGTGCGCGCTAACCTGCTCGTGAATAGAGGTTATCCAACCACTGAATCTCTATAAGAAAAATGTCACGGGTTCCATGAAGCGGCACTAACACAAGGATGACATTTTTTAGCTGCCTTCTGTTATTTTATCGTTCATTTTATTTATATTTTTTGTGTTTCTACTTTTTGTTTTTTGTTCCCCGGGGCAGTCACATCGATGGAGATGATTTGCCGGAGATCCGAATTTACGAGGCCACAACTCCCATGCCCAGAGTGACTTTTGACATCCACAAGCCGGTGAGACGCCCAGTGCTAAGCCTCCTAATCAGAGGGATTTAGTGTAAAAGAGGACATACCCACACTGACATTGGTTCCATTAAATCTATTGCCTGTAACGGATTGAGTGTGCGTTTCTTGGAACGACGATGTTTATTCAATTTTTTGTGCTGGCTACATCTGCTTTTGACTCTGTTGTCAGCCTTGGCTGGCGCTACTGTGCTCGTTAAAGCTGGTTGCAATGCATATTTTACTTGGACTTGTGTACCATGATGCATTGCACGTTGCCTGTCATTGGATCACAAGTGATAATTCTGCCCGTGGTTGATTTAGCCCATGGTAATGATGCATAATCTATGCGTTTGCATGATTTTTACGGACTTGTTTTTCTTCATTTGCCCTCTGTTGCTTGTGCTGAGTTGCACCGCTAACAAGAGTGGTGCCTTCGTCCCCTCCCGCCCCATGTGCGCGTGAAGTCTGTGCTGGGTTATGTGCCCGAGGAAAGATATTCAGCTCGAGACAACCTGTACTTCAAGGTAGCATCGGCGACGGACAAAACAAATCTTTGTGTCAAGCCACTTACTAACCTGTCTTCCGCTTGCGCAGTTCATTCTGTGAGCGACCAGTCCAACCCGTTTCGTTCACAAGCGAGCGGTGAAATCTTACGTGAAATGTATTTTTTCTGACTATCATAGAACATGTGCTTGCGCTGACGTGTGTTTGGGTGTCTTTTTCTTTCAGCCGGATATCAACATAGCCCAAACGCATACCATTTATACTCTTTGCAAAAAATAGCATCGGTCACAAGTACAGTCATTTCAGAGTAAAAAAAAAATCGGCAACATGAAATAATCATCAAATTACATCATGCCAATAATTTCCAATTTATATGCTTGTGATGCTTATAATTCTATTTTTGTCTTTGAATTTGAGAGTAATCTCTGCGCAGTTCTGCAGAAAACCCACATTTACGGTTATTTAGTGATTCTCTACGATCCCTGCATTTTTACTGTGTAAAGCGACAGCTCAGCTGTGTTAAGAATCCACATGTGTGGCCCATACTTGAACAGGATTGCTATTGTACCTACAGTTGATGGTTGTACGGGCAACCACTGGATACAGGAATTTATTTGCTTAAACTCCTGGAATAGAGGATGTGGATTTGGCCCCAGTGGCTGCCGGTTACGTCCTCATGCCCCCAGGAAAGCCCTCTCGCTGATCGATTCGCTGCTTTGGCCACGTCCTGAGTGCCTCGTCTGAATCTCTATCCCGAAACAGAGTGCTCTGATGGCTTTGCCTAACTTTTAATTTATTCCACGGCCTGTGCATGGATCACGAGCCGTGAATGCATCTTTTTAAAAATCATGTTTGCGTGTCCAATGCTTTGGAGGTGTCATTTTGTTCTGAGCGTACCTTTCCATCTGTGCTGCTACGTTGCTGTTTGTCTGAAGGCAGAAATCTTAATGCGTTGGTGGCGTGGTTTGCCTCGGTTATTGCTGGTGATCTGTGCATTCTGTAATTGTGCTTTGTGGAACTAAAAGGTGTGGATGTATTTGAACTACATGGCTTGTGTGCTGGCCTTGTAAGGCAAGTTTAGCGGTGATGTCCATTGCAAGCGGTGACGTTTGCAACTCTGTTTTGGCGAGTTAATGAGTACAATTGCTAATTATCCATGGTTGTGCTGCTCTTTGGTACATGGTGTGAATCGCCAGCAAGCTACAGCGTGACGTTCAATTATACATCACACACTCAACATCCACAGGGATTTGGAACTTGGTGCCTTTTCCATTGCAATAATTTCTGTCCTATGATTTTTTTAATCAATTTTCCAATTATGCTTACTCTGAAATGTATTGCTGCACGCTGACCTGTCTAACAAGTCATCTGGAAACATAAAAACATTTCAGAATGTAGTTTGTCAAACCACTGCTGGATACCGGCCTATGCAACACCATGTCGATCTTGGGGGTTCTTTAACCATACTTCACCCATGCTGGTCCGTGTGGATTGATGAAGGGGGGGATGTGACCAGGGCCAGTTCAGATATTATTCCAATGTTAGCTATGGCCAGGAATCGAACTCAGATTGCTGGCTTCACAGCACAGTGACCTAACTATTGCGCCACTGTTCCCCCACTGAATATGATAGTCTATGTATTTTATTTACTACAATAATATATAGCCCTTTTGGTAATCCACTACCGGATGAGGGTCTCTCCACGCCGTGCGAGCTGTGGGGAACATTTGACTATACTTCACCATTCTGGTCATTGCGGGTCGGTGAAGGCGGGAGCTTAGTCGAGTCCAAAAATGGCTTTTCCTGCACTGCCCTCTGCCAACTGGGTCACATACAGCCAGTAGGACGCATTGCCTCGCAGTGCAAACTACGGGGTGCTCCGGGAGCCACACGCGCGCGCGGTACTACGCAAGACGCGCTGTTGATTCGTTTGTGTGTGCGTGTGACCGGACGCGCAGTTTCCGGAGGAGACGGAGGCGGACCTGCTGTCCGTGGTCGGCGATGACGCGCTGCGCCTCAGTCCGATGAGCGACGGCCCGAGCTCCGTGTTTGCCAGCCCCACGCCGAGTCCGTACTTGCAGTCCCGCGGAGCCACCTCTGATTCCCTGCCATCGCGGCCATCCGCCATGCCCCCCCGCCAGCTACCGCCGCCGCTGCCGCCCGGCCCCGGCCGCACTTTCCCCGCCGCCGCCGCCCCCGCCGCCGCCGCCGACGACGCCGCCGACGCCGACGACGCCGACGACGACAACGAGGACGTGCCGGACGGGCCCGCCGAGGAGAGCGACTCCACTTACACGGACGACACGGAGAAGGAGGACGAGGAAGTTGAGGAGCAGAGGCAGCACAAGGCGCGGTACGGACGAACGCCGTGATTTCTCCCTGTTGATCGAGAGGTGTTGGGCGCTGCCGAACCCCGGAAGTGAAACGTGACCGGAGAGTGAAAAGGGAGCCAGGGCAGAGCACCAGAGGTGGGGGGCTAGGGTTCGTGTTTGGATAGGACAAGGACTGACATTGCCTAGATTGTTAGGCCTTAGGGTCAAGTTGGTGTTTAATGTGGCAAGTGTTGTCTGCTTCAATAGCAGTTTGTTGCTTCTCCCCCATTTGCCAATTTTTAAAATAATACCGTTGAAATGAATAGATAAGTGGTATGGTGAACAACATCAAATGGTGCATTGCTTTTGATATAGTATCCCACTATCCATAGATGCTGTAAACATCTGGCAGTCATGCCCAATTAACGACGGATTCATGACAAAGCTGGAGTGAGCGCACGGTCAAATCCCAGCGGAGCGGCGTAAACAATGACGGGCCTCGCGTCGCGATGCCGTGATGGGCGTACGGGGCCCGAGCGTTCCTGACCGCCACCCTGCGCGGCGGCGTCGCAGGCGGGGGTCGGATCAGCGGCGGCGGCGGCGGCGGCGAGGCCTGCGGAGCCCGCGCCCCGTGGGCAGCAGCGAGCGCGTGCCCCCGGCGGTGAGCGCTGCGGCCGCGGCTGCCGCGGCTGCCGCGGAGCGCAACATCGACTTCAAGCTGGACGTGCGCGTGGAGATCGACAGCGGGAAGTGCGTGCTGCACCCCAGCATCGCGTCGCAGCCGGCCGACGCCGACGAGTCGTCGTTAAGACGGTGAGAGCGGCCGCCGTCCTCGTCGCATCACTGTTCCTCCTCGTCGTGGTCGTGCTTTTGTTCAAAATTATATATATATATTTTTTATAGCTTTAGCCGTGGTGTTGCGATTGGGAGTCACGCCGCCGTCTCTTTGCGTTCGATGAAGTGTCACGATTTGGGGCCATGAGTCAATGAGACAAAGTGGCGTCGTTGCCTCTTGGTAGGCTGGAGGGGCCTAGGTACTGGGCTGCGAAGAGGGGGTGAAATTTCAGTAGGCGACCTTATTTCATGTCTTACACCAGGGCCAATTCCAACCATGCTTCGCCACTGACTTAAGTCATTGATTTAATTTTTTTGCATTTGCAACGTCTTGTTTGTATTCTGTCTCATTTGCATCATCCGTATTTATTCTCTCTCTGGTTCGCGGAAATCATTATTTCTTACACGATTCGGGTACACGTTGTTTCTGTAATCATCAATGTTTATGAATTAATGAATCAATGATTTCTTCCGTGCATCGTTTTTGTTGTGAATCGGCATTGCAAAATCATCTTCATGATGGTAAATATTGATGTTTGTTGTCTATAACATTACAATTTGGTCATTCATCCACATTAATATCACAGTTCTAACAATCTTCATTATCATTGCACCCTAAAACGGGCATATTACAACTCCTCATCAGCTCTGTTGTAAATTGTAACCCTCAATGTCATCATTGTCCGCATGCGCCATCGCTTCACATTGAATAACCCACACCGCCGCTTCAGTAAGCCAATGCACTTGACGGTGTGCTTCGTTTGGTGCTCAAGGTGCAGGCCTTGGGAGCGTTCCGCAGCAACGTTGCGTGCGTGTTGCGCGGTACCGATCGTCCCCCTCCCCCATCCGGTTCAGGGAGAAGGGCGGGCGAGCGGGACAGGAGTCACCCACGGGCAAGCGGTGCGCCTCCGGGCTCGGCAGTGGGATCCTCGGCTACAAGAAGGTGCCATCCACCTTGCAGACCAAGGGCATTGACCTGGAGACCACCGTCTTCTACATTCCTGGAGTAGAAGTCAAGGTATCCATCTGCTTATCCATCGCTTTGTCTTCTCGTTCAGCCGTACGCTTACATTGTCGGGGCTGTCTTCGCGTCTCTGTTTGTGTGATGCTCGTTTGTCCAGAATAAGATTTTTTGTACTGGACATATGAATGTAGTTTTGTTTATCGCATATTTGATCTGCCCGATAATGTTTTGTGCATTGTATATCCTTGATGTGTGATTGTGCTGCATCTCATCAAATTATTAGATCTAACACAAACGTCTACTTTGTTCCTTATGATCGCATATGTTGGTTAGGTACCCCTCTTTGACATATCCAGAAGATATTGCGAGATGTCAGTTGTTTTTCTGCTGTAATTTAGCTCCATGAGAATATTGCATTTTTGTGAATCATCATGTTTAACATATTTCTTTTTTATATAAAAACGTATTTATTGTGTAAATTATCGACAACCTAAATTAACATTCGAGGATGCGTCCGTATTTTAAAGAATAGTAAACACAGTTTAGATGTATAGAAATGAATTGATTAAAAATATATTCTTACACTCATGAAACATGTATCATATTGTGCTTGTGAGCATTGATTATATGCCATTCATAAATAACTTGCCTTGAAGATCATGTAACAAATGAGACAGACAAATAAGACAAAACATTCAAAATAGAATGCAAAACAATGCTGTTGTCAATGAATTGTGACGACAAATCATGACAATTCACTGAATTGTGAAGGGGAGGGGGGGGGGTCATTATAAACCCACAAAGGACCATTTATTTCTCCATAAATCCACACAGGTTCACTACAACTCCAAGACGGTGAAGCTGGAATCTCCCAACATTTCTCGTGGTTCTTCACTCAGCCGCTCGCAGTCCAAGGAGTCCAAGCTGTCAGCCATGAAAGACTTCAATTACCAAGTGGGCAAAGGCCTGCCCCAGGCACCACCGCCACCCACGGCAGGTCAGTCCTGAGATACCCATGTCACAGTCGGCATTACATACACTGGAGTCACCTACCTGACATAGACTTGGAACTCTTTGACCATAATATAATACAGAAAAATTACGTATTGAACCATCAGCGAATGGAGCTCCTCAACCATCCTTTGAACAGCATTTAAGCAGGCGAAGCTTGAATTGGTTTCGACTTTATTAGGCTCATCAGCAGAGCATGGTCTGTGAAGCAAGTGCTGGTGGGTATAATTGGCGTCACAGACAAACGTCATCTACGAATACTGCGGGGTCCTGCAGCGCCGTGCTCCAAAATGATGCATACGTTACTACGTTTGCTTATTACAAAGCTACGTATGGAGAATTGGAATCTGTTCACGTTGCCTGGAAATGTAAATAATGGTGTAATGTTCATTGTTTTTTCAAAAGCTGCACTGGGTCTCAAGACTCGTTCAGGAAGGTTCTGCTTCACAAGTTCCAAATACCCTATTTTGCTCAGGCGTGCATGTCTTAGGTATCTGGAGAAAACCCTCACACGAGGGGATAATATTCAGGAAACCTACTTAACCATACATCAATTTACTAGACACCTTGCAGCTATTGTAACTATGTCCTTGTCTTTGAACTAGCACAGGTGGTTCAACTTCCCAAAGTTTTAACTGCAACAGCAAAATTGATCGTTCTGAACGGCAACGCTTCATTCATCATAAGCTGGGCCTCCAACGGTTCTGTGAACGTGCCGCCGCCTGTTAATAACCAGCGGCGGGCCAACGTCCGGGGGTGCTGCGTGCGCGTCCCCCACGCAGGCAAGGCCAAGGTTGGCGGTGGCATAAAGACGGCCAAGCTGTTCGCGTGGGTGGCCCTGCAGTCTCTGCCGGAGGAGATGGTCATCAGCCCGTGCCTGCTGGACTTCTTGGAGAAGGCGCTGGAGCTCATTCCCATCACACCCATAGACCACCAGCCTTCTGGTAGCTGCCACTGCTCGCACGCTGTGCACGCTGTACCATGCCCTCTCTGTCACAACACCGGCGTGGGAGGCGGTTTATTTTGGATGGTCAATTTTATTGGTTTATCCATCGGCACGTATCCCTTTGTTTTATTGCCTTCTGGTGAATATTGTGTGACTCTTAACTAAATGTGCATTTTGCGCCTTTGTTCATGAAATTGCAATGCAGAGATTGGATTACTATGTGTTCCCTAACCCTAACCCATGGGCTTCAAAGGCCATAATAGTATTCATTAGTCCAGAATCTGATTAATATTCTTGATTTAAGCGTCTCAGAATGTTTGGAATGACAGCTCTGTATGAATGTAGATTATTATTTGTTATTGTTATGTGATCCATTATTCTCTTCGCAGTCATCTTTGAATAATTTATATGCATGTACAAGCGATTGGAGGCTAATGAGACTGGAACTCCTTAAAGTCAGATTTATCACCATTTCTGAATTGTGTAATGATTGAGGCATCATTCTGCGATTAAAGTATTAATTTTTGTGTTAACGTTAGTAGATATGTCTGCAACTACTGTATTGTACCAGCAAATGGTTTGCTGATGTCCACCATTATTCCATCTGGTCCATAAGCTTTCCCTTTTTCATGCTAGAAATGACATTGTTTAAATTTTCATGAGTGCAATCTGGAATCTCTTCATCCAAAAAATCCAATTCCTTTGATATGATGTTTTTATTTTGCGATAGAGATCCAGATGAAAATTTCTCCCCTTATCATAACATGCAGACAGCGTATATGAAAACACATAACCGATTCTCGTGACCACAGTTCAGTGTGTCTTATCACGAAACGATGCGCTAAAATGTGCCGATCTTGAATGGTAAGTGACTATTATGTACCGACATCTTATTTTGATTATCCACCCACGCTTGTCCCGGTCAGCTGTGCTGCAGCCTCAGGAGGAGGAGGTGGGCCACTTTGATGTGACGGTGGAGCCCCTGGAAGAGTCGACCACCTCACTGGTGTCATCCTCCACCTCCTCGTACTCCTCTTTCCCTGTTGACGTCGTTGTGTACGTCCGCATGCAAGTGAGTCCTCTACCAGCGCGCGCGTGCGTCACTCACGCGGTGTGGGAAGGCCTTCATCAAACGCAATCAAAATCTTTATTTAGACTGCGGGAGGAATCCGAAGCTCTTTTTTTCCACAGATGTCAGTATGGGTGGGTCAAGTGAATTAATAAAGACATGTAAATAAACCATTTTTTTTTCACTATTCTTGTTTCTTATTATGTATTTGTGGTTGACCCCAAGAATTGACGTTGAATTTTCTAAAGCGGAGGGGGTTTCATCCACAAGCTTAAATTCATCACATTTTCAAAGTTAAATTTTCTCTGTACATCACATGTATAATTGATGTAAATTGAAATCTACAACAATCATTATTTTATCATTACTCCGCATATGCATCCCAATTAAGGTAATGCTGTTTTTATTGCAGTGTACGAAGTTGTTGATGGTATTTTGATTGTTTGAATGAACCACTTGAGAAGTCTGTCTTGCTGAGGTCACTCGAGTCGAGAGAATGCTTTTCATTTTTTATTTTTGCAAATTCCAATTGCGCTACTCTCTGTGTCTTGTCGTGAGACAAATGGCCCATTTGTAACTATCACGGAGAAGTGCGTCAGGTTAAAAAGAATGGCCTGCAGAATGAGAACTGAAATCACTACGAGTTATTTTGGTGTTGTCCACTCTAGTCGATAAAACGTCCACTTTTTAAATCCTGCAACAGAGACATTTAAATGAAAACAACTCTTTTAATGCTCAGAGTTGGATTTGAGCCAAATTAAGCAAAAATAAATTGTGCGGTCGTCAGTGACTGCATGAAAACTATCGAGACGTTACGCCTGAGAACCCAATTTCCAAATCAGTGTCTCAGCGGTGTCGGCTCAGCATTGTTTAGAAATGTGCTTTTAAAGAATTTGGCTTTTGCTATATATTTCTTCCTCAGTAAGCCACTTTGTTGAGTTATCATTTGTGGCTAGGGCTCTTCTGAAAAAGAGCTATATATCTCAGTGTGCATTACCTGGTAAAAAAAAAGTATAGTTTTAAAAGTGTAAACTTACTCCTGAGCCACCAAGCCACCTCTTGTTTTTTCCCACCTGGCTAAATGAAAGGTGATCGATGGCTTTGATCGAATTTTTCCTACATTCAGTGCCATCGCCCCACGTCATGCCCCAATGACATCACCTCCTCGTGGCTTGTTTTTTTTTCCCCACGCACAGCCATCACAGATCCGCTTCAGCTGCCTGCCCGTGTCGCGGGTGGAGTGCCTCCTCAAGCTGCCCTCCCTCGACCTCGTCTTCTCCTCCAATCGGGTCGATCCGGAGGCCTCTGGTGCTGCGTGCGGCGGTGGCGGCGGCGGCGGCGGCGGCGGTGGTGGTGGTGGTGTTAGTGGTGTTAGTGGTGGTGGTGGTGTTAGTGGTGGTGCCAGTGGCCTGGGGTCATCTGCTGAGAGCACTGGCTCTTCCCTGGCCCAGATGGTGCTACGCACGGCCGCAAGCAAGGCAGCCGGGCTGCAAGGTGCGTAGGTTGTGCGTGCGTGCATGCGTGTGTGTGTTTCTATTGCATGCCGACTGCTGGCATATACGCATACACACGAGTGAGTTGGGGGCATGGAGCATTTTAATCTTTGGCGTACTATAGTGCATCAGCTCATCGTTTGTCATCGATTTCGTACACTCGTGATGCGTGCATTCAATCTTGCGCGTAACAGTCAGTTGTATGTATGCCAATTATATTATGTTTCGTGTTTGTAAATTTGTGAACAAAACTGTACACACAAGGTGGAACAAATGAGAAGAAATGCAAATGAGATTGAAAAGAATGGATTCTTGAATTGAAGCGTGACCACAAATGATGACTATTCATCAAATCACTGAAGGGCCGGTTCTTACCTGCCAAATTAAAATCTGTATCTACATCACACACGAGACTCTAAATTATATCCACTATCTCCTGATCCCATAGATATTACATTGTTATAAGGAGCGTGTGATTGTCCTCGTGACTTTAAATCAATTCCGTTTTTTGCCAATAGTGCTCATTGCAGGTAATGGCTGTTTTTTCAGAGATATTAACTGTGACGATCTGCATTGCAGAATGGCTAATGCCTATAATATTGTCGAGATACATAGCTATTAAGATACAAAGCATGGTTTTCTAATTGCAACGATGTTGAATGCATCTTCAGACCAAGCATTTAGAAGCTAATTGGTGGTAGTTATAGATAGATGACCATTATTCATCACCGCATTAGAGTCCACTGAGACCAGGAGTCTCACTGTCAAGGGAGGCTCATATAAACAATAACGCGGTGTGTTCTAATTAATATCTCGAATGAATGTAACTTAACATAAGTGAGAGAACACAATTGTGTTGAGTATTTTGTTAATTGTGTTTGTGCACCATAATATCTTTAACACACAGGAGACTGCACTAATGCCTTTTTAGACCAACGTGTTCATAGGCTTTGTGAATTTACACAAACAGGCACCAACGCGTCGATGAACGTGATCCGACGATACCCAAACGACGCGGGATTTGTCGCTTATCTTCGTTACCGTCCGTTGCAGGCACCGGCTCCGGCGTGCCGGGGTCGCACACGCCGCGCACGCGGCACCTCAGCAACCAGTCTGACGGCGGTGCCAGCAGCATGAGCGCCTTGCCCGGCAACTGCAGCGGCCTCAGCTTCACGGCCATCATGTCCGACTTCTCCTTCTACGTCTTCCACCCGTACGGCGGCAAGCAGAAGTCCGGCGTCGCGGCGATGGCCACGAGCAACGTGCCAGGTGCCGCGTTAAAACTTGGCACCGTTTTTGCGCAGGGCCCAAGGCGGCTCGGCGCTCGGCGCTCGGCGCTCACAGCCGGATTGCTTTCTAGAGCTCATGTGGCTGACCGAATTGGTATCTAGACGAATGAACGATTGTGTCTACCGCATTGAAGTGGAGAAGAGAGAATCCTGTGGTATTTATCTATTGCAAGAGTAGCGAAAAGTCAGCTGGTGTTGTGCTGAAAATCCATCATCAGCCATGGTCTAAAATATATGTTAGAGTTATATACAAAAAAATATATGTAGGAACATTGGCTCCAAGTGAATAAATTGTCCAGGTTTTGCTTGAAAAGCATATTAAATCTTAACTCGCATTTAAATAATTGGTATCGGTAATTAAATGAGTAATGTGTAAACCGTGGCGGGTAATTTGCGCTCATCACCAATTCACTGGCTCCACATCAAGGTCTGGAACAAGTGTTGAGTGCCGATTGGACCTCGCGATTTCCACAGAGGTGCCATGCTTATGTTGACTCATTAGTCGCCCGTGGGTGTTCTGCATTTCGTAGCAGGTGTTTGCCCTTGCTGATCGTGTTTGGCAACGCTCCGTGTGAGTGGTTGCTGATTGATGGGGTGGCTGGTTTTCGTCCTCCATGGCAGGGCTTACGGCAGAGGAGCCCTCCTCTGCCACGGGTCGCAAGGACTCGCTGAGCATCAACCTGGAGTTTGTGAAGGTCAGTCTATCGCGCATGCGCAAGACAGGAGCTGTGCTCACCTACGAGACCCCTTCTTCTTCCGGGAAGACCGGGAACAAGATGGAGACCACGCTGATCAACATCTCGGGTAACTCTCAGATTATTCCTCATTTGTTTATATTTATTAGTTTTTACAACAAAGAGGTACTTGTGTTTTAATATGGATCATATATATAATGTATCCCTAGCTTATTCATTTCAAAGATGTATGATTTATGTCAAACGGATGCTTATGGCCACGAGTTGTAAAATGTGGAAATTCATATCATGAGCATGCGGTGTAAAAAATAGTCGCGATCTAAAATGTTCATATTGCCTAACAGCAAAACAGACAAGAATCTGCTTTGAGGTAATGTAATGGTGGCGCGTAATGGTGGCGCGTAATGGCACAATAAACACACTGCAGGTGGGAAGCGATTTCAACACGCTGAACAGTAAGCCAGCGCATGTGGTTTTCCGTCAAGATATGACCATGTGTGATAATAAAAATAATAATGGAAGTATAAATCACTTTAATAAAATGAAGAAAAGTAATACCTTCACAGCTCGTAGTGTATTCAAAAACTGGTGGGTCGCGGCATGTTGCCCAGAGTCTTATCACACCATGTTTATGATTTTTAATGAGTCAATGTTAACGCCAAAGGCTCCAACAACTTAAGCAACTCATTGATAATCTGAAGTGGAGTGGGAAAAGTGTCCCAAACCGTTGCACGTGGCTGCTTGGCTGTTTCTTTGATTCTCCATGCATATATGTTTTCAGCCGTATGCGATATCGGCTCCGCGTCATTCAAGTACGACATGCGGCGTCTGAGCGAGATTCTGGACTTCCCCAAGGCGTGGTATCGTCGTAGCATCGCCCGCAGACTCTTCCTGGGCGACCAGACCATTGCTAACATGCCAAGTAAGGGCTCCCACGATTGATCATAAGTTCTCCATTTCCTTCATATATTCCTCCTTTTGTTGGGCATGTCATCAGTTGACCACGTACGCTGGGTAAAAGTTTAACGGCATCAGAACGCGCCGATAACAACGTACGGTGGGTTCCCGTGCTCGCAGCGTCGGTGGCGGGTACCCCGGAGTCTGCCGACGGCGTGCCCTCCCACCTCTCCCCGGAGTCTGCGCGAAAGGCCTACCTGCGCACGTGGGACACGCAGTCGGGCCAGGGCTCGCCCTCGGGGTTCCCGTACGTGCCGCCGTCGCCCAGCGTGTACAGCGTGCCGCCCTCGGGGTCGCCGCTCGGAGTCAAGTCGCCCACGCACACGCGTCTGCGCAGCGCGTCCGAGTCCTCGGCCAGCCGCGCCGGTCCGTCGATGACTCGCACAGGCACGCACGCACACAGCAAGCAACAAAAACATGAACAACCGCCATTCGCCACGAGGTGACGGTGACCTTACTTGCGGTGCAAAAGGCTCGCTGGCGGGAGGTCATGGGACAGGCCCAGATGTTATGGGTTAAATAATTTAAATGATTAGCAGATGCACTGCATTGCTTTATTTTGAGCCACCCGGCTCTCTGCTTGTTTTTTTCTGAGCATTGCTCCTCCACCTTCCTCTTTTACTGGAGTGCAGTTGCCTCCCAACTGCTCGGCAAGCATCTTTTACGACCCTCCTCCACAGAGGCTGACCTTGATTTATCACAACACCTTTTGGATTTACAGAGAGCTGTAAATGAATGAATGAATGAAATGAAAGCAGTCAAATGAAAAACATAAAATACTTGTCTCCCTGTTGCCTCTGAAAGCAGATTCAGGCTCCCACGCCAAAACGTCCACTCCAGCCACTGCCAAGAGCCCCGACGGGAGCAAGAGCAAGGCGGCAGCGGCGGCGGCGGCGGCGGCGCAACAGAGCGCCCCCTGGGAGACGCTGGTGCTGTTCGCCGTCAACCTCGCTCAGCTCAACGTGCAGATGAACATGAGCAACGTCATGGGAAACACCACGTGAGGCCACTGCCCTCGCCCGCTCGGGACCCAATGCCCAGTGACCTCGTTGCTTCTGTAGCATTCAGAGCTTAACACGCAGAGGGTGAGGCCTCTTCGATTTAGCACTGTTTTACGAAATATCTTTTGGGGACTGCAGCACAAGCGTGAGTACAGTTATGTGATACAATGCTCAGAGGAAGTGGCATTGGTGATGGGTTAACCCTCTGGTTTACGTAACACGGTTCACCATAGTTTATGTATGTTGAACGTCTTTCGCACCGTACATAGCCAACCGTGCTAATAGGAGGAGCGGGGGAAGGGCACCAAACTAAACACAAAAAGCAGTTCTAATGAAATGAGTTTTCAATCTAGATTTAGAAGTGCATAGCTCCAGTGGCTTCCTAAATTTGGAAGGAAGAACGTTCCAGATGGCCTGGCTGCAGAAGCGCATGTGACAGCGTGTGATGCAATGGCGGTCTTTGTTCGATGGCCAGCCAAAAGATGCTGCGAGGATGACCGAAGTTTACTTGATGGTTTATGCTCCTCATCATTTAGGTGAGATGTAGACTATCGAGAGGGCACCTCGGAAGCGCATTGTACAATTGGATCAAAGCAAACTACACGCTGTGGTTCCTTTAATATTCATGTTCTCTAAATTTAAAATATGCAACACCCAATTTAACATGGGGGTGGAAAGCATTTGTTGTGTTGCTGAGAGATCATCTCTGTATTGTATTGAGAGTTATCCCCCCCCGGAGTGCCTCCGGGCACTCTTGATTCCTCATTATTCTGCTGCTCGTTTACGTGAGGTCGTGATGGTGGATGATCCAGCTAAGTCGCAGGAGTCATTTGTGAATCGCACGGAGGTCGTATCTGAGACACCTACTTGTAGCGACAATCATCTGGGGGCCTGTATGAGACAATACACCAAGGAGGTTGAAAACCTATCCGTTTGGAGTTTTTTAATGTTTTTTTTTTATTTGCATGTGTGGGGTTTCTTCAGGGTGGGCCCCTTATTTCGATCACGAAATAATCGGTGAGCCTTTCCCAGATGAACAAATAAAAAGTAATTCACGATTCGTACCAGTGCGTATATATATTACGCCCATAATGCTTACTGGAACAGCCTTTAATTTTGAGATGTTTACAGCTAGCCGCATTCGTTAGTGCATCAGCAGCCGGGCGCTCGTTAACAGAATCACAAGTTTTTACAGCGCTCGACACGAACACCCCCTGGCAGTCGGCGTTGGCTGAGAAGGTTCGGGGGTGTTTCCGGGGCCGCCCCACGTCTCGCGCAGGTGGAACACGAAGGGCGTGAAGACGCAGGGCCGCGTGTCCGTGGGCAGCAACATGGATAGAGACATCAAAATGACCCTGGGGCTCGGCAGCTCGCAGCTCGACTCCAAGGGCGGCGTCGTCGGAGGCACAGTCAGGGTCAACACGCTGGAGATGGTCGGTGGGTGCTGCCACACTAACACCGATTGGTCTACCGGCGGCGGGTCTAAGCATTCCTGGTTAATCGGCTGACAACGGGTCAGTGCCGTTCGTAAGTCGGCAACGGTGGGTAGAGTGCACACCTTTAAGACAGCAACTTGGGGGCAAAGTTGGTGGACCACACAGAGATGGAGTAAGGTGCGTGAGATGCCCATCTGTAGTGAAACGATGTGGCTGTCCTAGGGTGTGGTACATCAAGTAGGTTGTCAACTGGCTGTCTACAAAGTTTTGAGAGTTTTCCCTTTATATATGTGGGATTTCTCTGGGTATTGTAATTTATGCTTGCACAGAAAACATTCTCAAGGAAGGAATTTGCCAAACATTTCAAAAGTCTGAATTTTGTTCTGGGTAAGCAAAGAAATCGGATTACCCCCTCAGTGGATTTGCAAAGGTTAATACACTGCACCACGAACCCACTGACCTCCGTTACATTTCTGGCCCTAGCCAATATCAATGGCGTGTAATGCCTGAACGGGTCCCGGGGGGATCCCCTTTCACCAACCCGCACTCACCAGCATGGGGAAGTATGATCAAACAGCAGGACAGCAATGGATTTGGCAAAGGGCTATGCATTATATTATCATGAGCGGTGGCCTTAGAGCAAAGTAAAGCAACAATAAACAACGTGTGTGATATATTCTGACAAGCACATAGGATCAAAGCCAGTGTTCAACTAGTTAAATTGCACTGGGAAATAATTTTACGTAGCAGCGACACGATCCAGAGCCACAACAAATGCGGGTCGCCAGCTTCTCCTGACGCCCACGGCTGCGAACGCAGCCAGGGCTTACACGGCCCCGCGTGCGAGTCGCCCCGCTCTGTGCGAGTCGCCCCGCTCTGTGCGAGTCGCCCCGCTCTGTGCGAGTTGCCCCGCGTCGTGCGTCATCCCCTGTTCACAGCCTTCATCTCGGAGCACCCCACCAAGGAGCCACGGCACCGCGTGCAGACGTCGCTGGGCTCCACGGAGGCGCGGGTCGACTACATGGGTTCCAGCATCCTGATGGGCATCTTCAGCAACGCCGACCTGGAGCTGCACGACGAGTGGAAGGCAAACCCCAACCACACCGTCGGCCTCAGCGACTCGACGTTCACCGATAAGACGTGAGCGGCTGCCCTCGTCCCCCACGTTCACCTGCCTGTCCCCATGTCTCCCCTCCCCCGCTCCCCCCACCTCTGCGGAGCATCGTTACAGAGGCTGCCGCCTCTCCGCTGACCGCTCACAGCACACAGCACATAACGCGTTTGGGTTACGTGTAGATGTCACATGCACCGGGCGAGTTGCCTCGAGGTTCCTCATACATTGTGTGCCGCTGTTAACGGTGACATTCATATTTGTTCAGAGGTCTGTGGTGTAATTATTGTACCCACCCAATACAGTTGCTTCTCTCTTATTAATGTTGCCCATAATTGGTCTCTCCGGACACAGTGGCACTGGCAGTGAATGTAACCAGTATAATGAGGCATATTTTATTGTGTGAATGAATACTGATGACAATGGCGATTGTATTGAGTCTCAACACAGTTTGAAGTTCGTTTGTTCGTTTCTCGATCCACTTGTCCTGGTGAGGGTCGCGGCGGCAACGTGTTGAGTAGTGGCGGTCCAGACCTCCCTTTCCCTGGAGACAGCCTCCAGCTCTTCCTGGGGAATTCCCAGGCCAGCCGAGCGACATAGTCCCGCCAGCGTGTCCTAAGTTGACCCCGGGGTCTTCGCCCAGTTGGACGTACCCGGTAGAGTTCCAGGGGGAGTCTTTCGGGGGGCATCCTTACAAGGTGTCCGAACCACCTCAACTGGTTGGGACTGGTTTGGTGATACTGACGTCTGATGACCGATGACAACACATTAAGATCATAATGTTGATTATTTTGTACTGGATCAAGAAGCCTTTGGGCCAAGACATCTGCCATCAGGCAGAGAACTGTACCGAAGTACAGCGACGGTGGTGCCGACCTGGCGATTACGATGTGTCCTGACTGTGCTCGCGCGCCGTAGGAAGGTCTTTGTGCACGGAGACCTGTCGTGGAGCGTCTTCCAGGTGATGATTTCACGCTCCACTACGCCGGACCTCGTTCGCATCGGCGTGAAGCTGCAGGAGTTCTTCACGCAGCAGTTCGACACCAGCAAGCGCGCCCTCTCCACGTGGGGTCCCGTACTCTACGGCCCGCACAAAGTCGCTCCTGCTGCGCAAGAGAAGGCCACGGACGAAGAGAGTCAGTCACCGCCCGAAAACGATCACCGCCTCTGCCGTCGTCATTGTCACGAATCCTCATTGTCACCACCATTACCGTCGTCATCGCCAGTTGGCATCGTCATCATCTTCATCAACTGCATTTTCGGCATCCTCGTCATGATTCGCGTGGCTTGGCTCCAAACAAATGTATGTACGTACTCATTATGAGTGTTTCCTGTGAAACTAGATGATAAACAAAGCTCTGCCAAGTAAAGATGCAATTCCTTTTGATGCATAAATCTACTTTTTTTTCATAAATATGTGACGTTACTTAACATATAATGTGGAACAAAGTGAAATGCCTTTACTCTGCATTACTTCATGAACATATCATGCAATACCGCTTTAAATTATCTCTCTTTCCATTCTCTCTCGCTTTGGAACATTATTTTTCTGTTCCACTAACTCCCTCTCCATCTGCCACCTTAACTCCTTCTTCCTCCCTCCGTAGCCTCTTCACCCTCCTCTTTCCTGCCCTTTTCCCCCGAATTTCTTTATTTTCTCAAAACCTCGGTTGTCGTCGTTACCCTCCTCACCCACCCCTCGGCCCCTCGGCCCCCTCCCTCCATCCTGCCGGCGCTCCCCGTCGCGCCTCTCAACGTGCCGCCCCCTCCCTCGTCTCGCTGCTCCCCCGCAGGCCTCCTCGACACAGTGCTGCACCGCCACTGGCCGAGCGTGCTCCGCACGGTGTGCGGCTGCCAGCTGTCCATCTTCCCACGCCCGCTGCCCGACAGCGCCGTGCTGCTCGGGGGCAGCATGGGCCTGCACGGTGACCACATGACGCTCGCCTGCTTCCACGGGGTCAACTTCCGCGCCAAATCCTGGGCCCTCTTCCACCTCGAGGGCCCGAACATCTTCTTCTGCACCGAAGCGCAGGAGATTCACCAGGAGGGTGCGTTGCAAATGAGCAGTCACTTCGTTGGGCTATCGTTTGGGGCCAGGTCGCTTCTGAAAAAGAAGCTAATAGCCCAGTGGGCCTTACCTGGTAAGATAAAAATTTGTTCAGTTTTATTTTTGTACTTTTTTAAGTGATTTATTTTATCTTTCCTATACTTTGCACTCCTATCGTGTTTATGTATTGTTTGTTGTTGTAGCGTTCTAAGCGGGCTTTGTAGCTCGTCGGATTCCTCCAGTATAAATACATATTCTGACTCTGTGAAAACAATATATATCATTGCTGAGCCAAGCAGCAAAATGGCATTCATTAAATGTACAATATATAAGAGTTGATACATTTCTTGAACGGAGCAAGGTTATAAGAACTTTGAAAGAATGACGGTGATGGGAGGGAATTCCCAAGTGGAGCAGCGAGAGTAAAGAACCAGGACGAGTCATATTGTGATCTGCGGTGTGGCATCACGCAGAGGTCGGGCTGTGGGGTTGTGTTCTTACACCGTTTATGTTTGGGCTGGGAGGTCCCTGTAGTTTTTTTTGTCGTAAAAAAATGATTGGAAATTAGAAAATGTTCCAGGAATTACAGACAATGGAGCGGTTCATGTTGAAAGTGCACGTCATGAAATTAAATGTTGAATGTTTACGATGGCTTTAAAATGTTTCTTTTTGAACTATATCAAATTTCAGCCAACATTATTAACTGTTTATAAAGAATTTTGAGAGGAAGTGCCAGAAGAAGTTTTCATTTTACCCATTCTCAGCACATTTTGTTTTGAGAACTCTGCCTACAGCCAGTATTTTTCAAAATCATACTTATTTACTTAAGTTTCTTGTGGACTCAGTAAAGGGCAACAAATAGGCAGTATTTGCAGCATCAACTTTAAATGAGGCCAACGCCGATCATTTCTCTACACGGTAGGCAGCGGGAGAGGTGCCCAAAACAAAACCGCCTTCGCATAATTGTGCAAGATTGATATGCGCCCTCTTGGCTAATAGCAGTATTCATTAAATAATCTATTAATATTTTGTATAGTTTTGCTGTGCTCTGCTAAACATCACTAGGTTCCCCACGGCTCCAGCAAGTTTTCTGATGGCCCTTACCAATACACCAAGCCAGCCAATGGCGTTCGTTTAACAGGCGACGTTTCTGCTGGTGAAACTCGGTGAATTTGAAAGTGGTCCTGGGTTTGCCTTGCTTTACTGAGAGCGTTTCTCCAATGTATCGTTGCGACTAAAGGGGCGCCTTCGCTGTTCATTTGTCTCAATCGCGCATCCGCGTCCCGTCTTGCACAGACTCAGCCGAGAAGTTCATGTACATGGCCCAGAACCTGGACTTTGTGCTCGGCAACAACATGATGGTGACGGGTGGGGCGCTGGAGAGTCCCATGGCAACCATCACCAAGGTGACGCGCCGTCGCCACGAGAACGCCCCGCACGGCGTCGCCACGGTCAACGAGTGGTTCAACTACGTGACGGCGATGCGCAACGAAGGTGAGCTGCGTTCAACCACTACCGGAGAAAATGCAAAATATCGGGGCAGGTGTTTCTGTGCGTGTGTGTGTGTGTGCGCGTGTGTGCGTGTGCGCGCTTTTTTTAGTTTAGTGAATTAAGCTATAACAGAGCCCCATAGTGCCCTTGCCAATAACATCTGGTAGCTCGATAGCATTTAATGAGCCTGACCGCCGATGAGACCCAGAGATCCTGAGTTTGTTTGCTTAAATAAAAGCTGCTGGATTATATTTGTCTGGCGAGCGCATATGCCGATTGACTAAAACACGTTTGATTTATACGTGGAGACCCAAAACGCAGTTCTGCGTCTATATAACACATACAAAATGTACAGACAGCTGAAAGCATTGGGTAAAATTTGTATTTTTGTTCAACTGGATGATAAATTAAGATTGTTAAGAGAGTTTGGGTTTCATCCCTGGTGCTTTAAGCTTAATTTTAAACGAAGTTCCTTTGTTTCAAAGTGGAATGGCAGTGATTAATCATTTCCCACATAATTTTTTTTATAAATATTAATTACAATTTCCCCTGGGAAGGTTTTTTTCCCTTTGCTTAACTATTTCCTTAGCTAAATTACTTTTGGACACATGTATAAAATTAACTTGCACGCATCATTTATGTATTCATTACTGCATTTTAAAAAGGTCTCAGGTGTGGATTAGTTATCTCTAATCCTATAAATCCGAGTAATTAATGATTGCAAAACTTAAACCTTGATCTCATTAAGTTGTATGCATCTTTACTATTAGGCAACTCCAGACTATTACGAGCAGGCCCATGGTTTATCATGCACAAAGCTATTATCAATTTTTTGGGGAATATGGTTAGTGATTTCACGAACATCCTGTCTTGGACAGGAAATGAGGCCGAATGTCGATGGTGAATGATGAAGCGCAGATATCATGTGCTGTGCGTCTTCAGTGATTGCGCAATATGTGTTTCTGTTTTGTATATTTGGCTGTGTGGATTGTCCTTCAGCTGTCAGGTGAACTGAAACACTCAGTCGGCTCGTTGAGCCGCTTTTGCGGCTCACGTGATGATTTAATTTCCTTGGCTGTGTCTGGCGGTGGGATGGTTTTAACAACACAATTTTGCCCATATCATTGCGTGGCCTAAGCCAAAAAACAATTGTGAATCGCATGATATCACATCCTGCCTGATTGGTGTCCTCATAGCCGTGAGGAGCGTATTAGCCCCTCCGATTAGCACGGTGGGCTGCATACGGTGCGAATGAGGTTCTGCATACATGCAGCAAGGCAATGAGTGGCCGATTGAACGTAGTACAGAAAGTAGGGTAGTGAGGGCCCACTTGTGAGGGAGGGGCTGGCCATTCTTGCCTCCAATTTGTGGCTTTACCCAGGGCATTGGCGCCTCTCTCATAGCCAGCCCTGCTTCAGGGTTATAGAGCAGATGGGTGGTCTAAACTCCTTTAATTCAGATAGAAATCATGAACAATTAAAAATGTTTAATTTGAATACTGAAAAATGCAAAAATTACTCTGAATTGCCCCAGTTGTAGGAGTGCTGCGGTGGGACCAATTTCTAAAACAGTAATGCCTGTTAATGTGGTACACACATTTTTAAAAAGCGTATTATTATTATGGTAATTATGCCAGTCGACCCTCCATTCCCTAAATGTCTTCGGCAGTAATGTAGTTTTGCACTGTGTTTTTTTTTTTATAGAATGCACAGCGATAATGCAAAGCTGTAACAAGCAAATAATTTGGTAAAGCGATTGAAATACATATTCTTGCCAGCTATTCCATTAGTGTTTGATTTTAAAAAAAACCTGTCAATCATCAGTGTGGCTTTTTCATGCATGTCGTTGGTCCAAGTAGGTGGCATAAAATTGATGTTTGGCAACAGGGATTTGACTCTAATTAGCCTAAGCATTTTTGAGACATGTTAATGATGGGTTTATAGTTAAATCAATCGGTAGGCTACTCACTCAGCAGGATTCAGATGAGAGCCCACTGAGAGGCAAGTCTCTCTTACAAGAGGAACCTTGTTTATGATGCAAGGGCTACATAATTAATGTTACTAATTTAAACATATGATTGTTACTTGTAAACTGTGTTGGTATTTTCAGAGCTATATTATAAACATGTAAGGCAATACAAAAAATTAAAGTTTAAAACTTCACTTTTTTGCAAAAAATATAAAGAAATGGAAGCCAACACACAAAACGACGCCAGGATGACCGCAGACACAAGGAACCGACTGCCCAGAGAAGGACTTGTACAGGGCATGTCTCTTCACCCACGGATGAACAACGCCACCAAGCTGGATGAATCTGCAGGCGGTGATTTGCTTAGGCTGATTTCTCACGCCACACATGCAGCAGTGGCAGAATACTTCAGAGTTTGAATAATGCCACTTCGCAAATCCGTCTCGGCTACTCCACGCACCGCTTTCCCGGGGAGAGCTTGGCGAGCCTCGATTCTGTCGCCCCCCCCCCCCACCCGTCTCGCCCGGTAGAGCTGAACCTGCTGCGCAACGTGGACGGGAACGCGACGGAGGGCGGCGCAGCACAACGCAGTGCCAGCCTGTCTGGCGGGCCGCGCGGCACGCCCAGCTACAACCACGAGACGGAGACCATCTTCGCTCTGCCGCGCACGCAGCTACTCTTCAAGTCGGCCCAGCTGCAGGAGTCGGAGAGACCGTCGCTCCAGGGTGCGCTCGAGCGATTGTCGGGAAGCTTTCCTGTAGACAGAGTGGCTCATTGAACCATCAGGTCTCTTTTTTTATTAGGACATCCAAAAAAGGTAGCTTGCCATCTTTTTCGACTTCCATGGTAAATCTGATGGCTGGGTGTATGGAATTGATGTGGTTGAAGAATTGGTCTTGAGCAGGCCGGCCATGTGGCCAGATGACAAAAGTGTCATCCACGTACCTCTTCCATAAGGTTGGGCTCAGAGTAGCAGTCTGGATGGCGTCAGTCTCAAATTGTTCCATGAAAATGTTGGCTACAACCGGAGATAGGGGGGAGCCCATTGGGGTGCCCTCAGTTTGTTTGTAGAAGGTTCCATTCCAAGTGAAGTATGTATTGGTTAAGCAGTGTCTTACCAGGGGGTACCTCAGTGTTTAGTCCTTGATGAACCAAGTCTTCAATGATTGATATGGTGTCAGGTACAGGAACTTTGGTGAATAAGGAAACTACATCAAAACTGACAAGCAGGTCGTCTGGGGACAGGGAAATACCCTTGCTTGTTGATACCAGGTGAGTAGAATTTTGTACCGCAGAGGTGGTTTTTCCAGTGAAAGGCCGCAGGATTTCAGACAGAAAATGAGCCAGTTTGTAGGTGGGGGAGTTGATAGTAGAGACTATGGGACGAAGCAGTGTATCTACTTTATGTATTTTTGGTAAGCCGTATAATCTTGGTGGCCTGGCAGCAGAAGGTTTCAACGAGAACTGTTTGGTTTGATCAATTAATGCGGTTGAATCAGAATTGATTTTGTTGGTTTGTATGACGAGGCTGTTGGTGGGATCTCTTTTTATTTTTGTATAGCTGCCATCGTTGAGTAATTCTTGAATTTTGTTGTGATATTCTATTTTATCCATGATGACAGTGGCATTGCCCTTGACGGCTGAGAGGATGACAATGTCATCCCTCTTTTCTAATTTATATAATTCAAAACGCTCATCTTTGCTGAGGTTGCTAGCTGGCATCTTAGCGTTTTTAAGGGTTGCAGCGATTTCAGATCTTGCTATGTCTGCAGCGATGTGACCCAGGCCCTTGAGAGCCACGTCTACTTGGGCAATGATATCATTAACTGGTATGTGTTTAGGTGTGACTGCAAAGTTTAGCCCTTTAGCTAAAACGGATTTCAGACCATCGGATATAGAACTGTTACTGCGATTATTTACGACTTTGTTAACGTCTAGCTTTTTGGTGTGTGGGTCCGGTCTTTTGTTTGAGAGGAGGTTAAATTTGGAAATCAGGTTATCCTTACATTTGGTCGACAGTGGCAACTGAAGAGGCAGTCATATTGTCTACATGTTCCCAATCCGATGTGGACATTGTTGCCGTCAATAATAAGTGTGATTTGTAGAGTGTCTTGTCTAACTGATCTAGTTCGGTGCGTATAAGTCTAATTTTTTCTGAGATAAGAGCTAAGCTAATTCTGGAAAGAATTCGTTTCGCATTAGAAGAAGTTACAGCAGTAGAGGTCATTGTGGTTTTCACACCTGATGATGATTGCTTGTGTTGCAGTCGAAACGTCGTGATCATTTTATTGTTTTATATTTTTATTATTTTATTGTTTCCCTTCTACGTTACTTTGCCGAAAGAACCAAGAATATGTATCCATATAGTCACCTTATATTAAAATACACCTCTTCCACTGGCCCACGTGCTCTCTAATGCCAGCAGCATGAAGGTCTTGGTTTGTCCTTAAGCCATAACTGAACTACTGCCTTCACGGTACTGTCACTGTTGAACCACCATATACGCAGAGCTCCTTTCAGCGGTTAGACTGTAAACAGATGAGAGTCTGGAGGAGCTACGTCTGGGCTCTATACCCGATGTTCCAGAACATTCCATCCGAGCTTTCCCAACAATTGTGTGGCACCTGAAGAGTGTGGGGGCGTCTATTATCGTGCTGACATGGCATTTGCAACAAATCCCAGGCTATTGTTTTGTTCCCCAACAAGTCATATATATGTGAGGCACTTGAGACAGTGTTTTGATCATTTTTGAAAGGCAACTTTTCCCCTCTATATCCCAAAAACAAAATGTTTCATCGTTACCCTTCTAGAATTTGTGTTTCTTTACTGGAGAAAGCTGGGTGTTTCCTTTCGGTGCTCTTGGCACTCACTGTCGAGCTCCTAGTGATGAACACAACGTTCATCAGCAGTGACGATGCAAGCCAGAGATGCTTTGTCTTCACGGAGGAATTTTGCTGATAAGGCACAACGAGCACAAATTCTATTCACATGTTGGTCTTCCGTTATATTTTTTGCCACTGAGCGGGCACATGCTTTCCCCAAATGAATCTCGTCACGGGTTATTAAATGAACTGTTCCCACACTTGTCACCATACCCAGTGATATATACTTAATTCCTACTCACCTGTCATCTAAAATCAACCCCTCGTCATGAGCAAGTTTGGGTCGAGTTAAAGCAATGACTGACCGACCGTGCTTATGTCCTGATTACAGCCGTTCCACCCATTTGTAAACATTTGCACTTATGAAGTTGTTGCCATATTTGGAGCTTCAAAATGTGTAATACATTTCGCTGTACTTTCCAGCCTGAGGGCATAAACACAAATTAGCAACTCACTGCTCTTCTAATGTGTAGTTGTGCAACGGTACTGTTCTCATTTATCACGTGACACGTTTGTCTGGCATCTCGCAGCACAATCTGGGGTAGATATTGTTGCACATGAGCAATAGTATCATACCGTGGGAAAATGTTTTTGAAACATCACTAACATAGGTGAGAGAATAATTTTCTCCTTGATATAGTGTCCTGCATGCATAAATATATAGCAGAAGACCTCGGGCCAGATGGTTGTACACTGCACTGTCTTAACAGACCTTGGTGATTGGATGTAGACATTGCAACAACTGTAGGATCTAACGCAGGGGATGAAACAATTGAGATGTTGGTAACATCAGCCGTTACGGTCGTAATGACCTCTTATCCTTGACCCTGACATTAGTACGCCATTTCGTGACAGTTTTACTGCCAATTATCCATTAACACAACTAAAGAGTGTTTTGAATGCTCATTGCAGCAGCACCCGGTCCCTTTCTTTACTCAGCTGGGAAAGATTCCGGTGGGCCAAACCGCTGCAGGGTGGTGCTTCGAGTATGAACGATGATTGGTCTTATACAATATTGTCTGCTGGGCCAAGAAAGGGCATGGTATGAGGAACAATTAAAAGCTCCTCTGGGCACCGTAAAGTGAGACAATGCTTGATGTAGATGCGTCGAGGGCAGGCAGGCAGGCAACTTCATTGATTCACTTCTTAAGTTGGGGCTGGAACGTAAAAAAAGTGTTTTCCTCGGCAAAAAAGAGGCAGGATGACTTAATAATTTCCATTTAAATAGTAAGGTATATGGTAATTCCAAAATCATAAAAAAACACGAAATAAAACTGTGAACGGTCCCACGTGGTTTCCTTGAATTTTTTTACTTAACTTTACGTGATTTTTGTCCAGGCAAAGCCGTTCTTTTTAAAATTAAAACCACGATCTGCAAACGAGCATGCTCTCAAGTTTAGCGTATTGTGGATTTAATAGTGAGCGTACAAGCAGGCTTCTGTAACTCAAATTAACAAGCAACGTTACCAAATGAGTGCGTGCTATTATGGGAAAATACTCAGAGTGTGATGTAAATCACAGTGACATGAAGTGCTTTTCTACAATGTGTATTTCACAATAATATCATTAGAGAGAGACAGAGTTCATTATTAAGATTTTCAGATTGAAAGTGGATTATTGTTGCAAAGCTGTGTTCTATTTAGGCACTAAACTATAATCCTCTTAATGTTGAGTAATGACCAAATTATAGTTTTTCATCGCATTGGCAGCAAGGAAAGCATAGAGGATGGAAAAGTTTCATTTCATGACTTTGCTCAGTCTGTTCACGCAAGGAGATGGGGCAGAAAACATCATCACTCCGTTTCCTCGGCCAAATGTACGTCTCCGTGTTTTTTCTGAATCGCTTTGTAAAAGGGGCAGCATTGTGGAGTAGGCCACGTATTCATGCTCGGCCGTTTTTTCCATTTCGTACACAATTGTTCCGGTGAATAGTAGAGAAAAAATGTAATTTTTTGGGGAATGTGGGGTTGGGAAATAAAATACGTTCTGCTAGAATGTTGTGTTGATCGGCACAGTTGGGTTTCTTGTTGAGCATTGGGCCCCATCTTGCAACTGCAGGCACAGCGTTTACACGATCAACACCAACACACCACGTGTTAAAGCACACCCCGCTGCATCCAGTTGTGTTTGCTTAATCTTACTTCTCCAACACTGCTAACATTAAACCTCATTATGATTCATTGTAAATAGCTTAGGCTAAGTGAGCCAAACAAAAGCACCCAAGAGAAAACAGACGGGATTCTATTAAGATTCACAAGGTATGAGACAGCTAGGACGGAACGGAGATTCGTGCACATGCCAGAGTTTAAAAACTAAAGAAAATATATATTTTTAGATTGCATGGGATATTAGCTTTCTGTGCCTTATCACAAGAGCATAAAAATATCCTAATTTTGTCACAGCATTTGGGTCAGAGCAGATCCCCCGAGGAATCAAGTCAGTTTTGACTGAGCATTATCTCACCTAGCCCACACATTTTTAGTTAATGGAATGCATGCTGGGTTTTACTTAAATAGGAAATAACAGAAACATGTTTATTTAATGTTGTACATTTGGAATTCTGAAGATGTCTGCGGTATCGCAGAAGAAAAAGAAAAGATGTTTAATTCATATTCTTAGTTTTTTCGGTAAAGTCACGTTGAAGGGAAACAACAAAATAATAAAATATATATAAAACAATAAAATTGTTTTATATATATTTTATTAATCTTACAATAAAATTGTTATATATATTTTATTATTTTGTTGTTTCCCTTCAACGTGACTTTACCGAAAAAACTAAGAATATGGCTTACTGCAGTCACGAAAGCTTTAAATCAAAATGTTTAATTCAATTGTAAATTTTCATATGGAACGTATAATGAATATATATTTTTTTCGTGGATTTTATTTAGTTTACGAACGGTTTCTATTTCACAAAGTGCAGTGTCTGTGACTGCCGCAGGCAAAGCAGACGGAGTAATACCGTTTTCATGACCAGTTCTAAGCAGGCTGGAGCCATTTCAGGCCAGTACTGTGCCACGGGCCTACCTACTTTCTTGACTTGATGAGTGGACTTGTCATACCCAACAGCTGTGTTCAGCAATACCGCTTTTCCACTGGCACAAGCGAGCTCGGCCAGCGCAGAGCCCTCACGGTACGGGTAGTTTTCCCACTGGCTATTTGTCGAGCCGAGCCGGAACCGTGCCACGCCGTGCTTGTCTCACAAGACGTTTGAATCTGGCTCGGGACCAGGCAGGGCCATAGGCGGGGTTCATAATAATTTTGTTTGTGCTGTGCGTCAGTCGGTGCACTTGAACGTCTGATGCTGATGTCACATTGGTTGCGTGTGATGTCAGCAACGCAACTTGGGTTCTGCAGCAAACAAACAACTGCGACTCTCGAGAGCCACGCCGTGCTGGCATTGTACGGCCCTGGCGTGGTCCAGTTGTCTAGTGGAAGAGAGAGGTACGAGCGAATAAACCCCAGGCACCGAGGCTGCCTGATGACATCAATGATCACTATTGTGTGGCCTTGACGGTACCACCTCATTTAGTCATTGAGCAGTGTTATTTGAAAAGCAATACATTAGTAGATTTGCACAAAAATTGGATATTTAACGCATGATAGATCGCCTAATTGTTGCATTTAATCGTGATTTGAAGATATATATATCTAGGGAGCGCTACTCACCTGGTCTTGCATTCATCGCTACTCGATGAACGTGCACCTTCCCAGGGTCTTCACTCAGCTGCCATGGGTAGGGGGAATGGACAGGGTTGAAGTCAGGAGACAGTGGTGACAGAAAGGATGTCACCACATCGTCGATGACAACACGAAGCATCCCAGTTGTGGCTCTGACATGCCTCTGACATACTTAAAGCTGGTTGTGGAAAGTCCAGTTTAATCAACAGCCTCCTCTGAATTCGACGTGTCTTTCTTTTGCGCACCCCCCGCGGGTTTTATTCAGATGCATCACGGAAACCGAAGGTGGAGTGCAGCGTTGTGACGGAGTTCCGCGACCACATCTGCGTGACGATGGACGCCGAGCTCATCATGTTCCTGCATGACCTCGTCTCCGCTTACCTCAAGGAGAAGGAGAAAGGTAGCTCGGCCGTCTTACCCGGCGTCTTGCCCTGAGATCGGGAGTCCCATCGCACCTTGCGCAGACCAGCGCCGCCCATGTTAGAACACATGCCGTGGAAGGTGGTCCCGCAGGACCAGCTCTGAGATCCCTTAAAGTGATCCCTTGCCCACACCGAGGGCATTGCACTCTGCCACGTGCTGTGGTGTTATGTGGCCGCATGCTGCTCAAACCGATGTTATGTTTGATTTTATTTATTCTCGGAGCGAGATCTATTGTTACGTTAAACACGTTGTTTGGTGGACTTTTTGTTCAGTCACAAGTGACTCGGCTGAGACCATCGACTCCCTGGGATGCTTCCGAGATTTTAACCCAGGGTCTGAGTGATGCCGTTTCGGCTCTCCGTGACCCCCCCACCCAGCCACCGTCGTTGCCAGTGATGTCCGTACAGTTTAGAGAAGAAACAGCAGCGACCCGAGGCAAAGAGACCAGATCCCTTTTGCCGGATGCAGTAATTTGTTCATGAAACTCGCAATACTTTTTTGTTAGACTATCAGCAACATGTAAATCAGTTTGCTTGGTTTCATAATTCAGGGTGAGGGTAATGGTGTTATATTTTAAACGTGTGTGCACCGTACCTGTTGTATATAACGGTTAGTGTGCTTTCCATTGGCAAGAGAGTGCGCATGCTGTTGAAGCCTTTAGCGGGACAGCCTTAAAATCCATATTTTTTATATGAGGGTTTTTTTTTCTAACTGTGGCGTTGGGAAATTTGGGTGTCTATAAGCTGTCCGTTAATTTTAAAGCGAGTTATATTGCATTGTACTTTACTTTACCGTATTCAAAGCGCTGCGAGATTTCACTCACCCGAGTTATTAATTTTTAATATACTTATGAAAACAGTAACATTCCTCATAGGATGGCCCAGCATAGTATCTTTTTGTGCAAAAAAAAGGCCTTCGTATCTCATCACATGTTATTTTAAAAGTGTCCATCACTCGTGGTCATTCGTTCATTGTTCACTCTTATGCTTTGCAACTCTCTTAAATGAACATCTCTGTGTCACATCCCACATTACTCACGTGTTAAGCTGCACCTAAATATCCGTGCTAATTAGGTTCCCGCTGAAACCGCCGTGAGATGCTTCAAGTGTTCGTAAAAAAAGTGCGCAAAAGGTTTATGGCCACCTCTATATAAAAAAAAAACATTCTGAAACTATATTTTGAAAACATATCACAGATAAGGGTGGCATGCGTGGTAATTAGCACACACCGTTGTGTACATGGTGGTACATTGGTTAGCACGCTGCGCTGTGAACCTGGCATCATTCCTGGCCATGGCCTTCGTCAGCTGCGGCTACGATCTGCACCTGCCCTGCTCGCTATCCTCCTCTGCAGCAGCTCGACACGGCTTTGAGGAGACTTAATACAGCAGTCGATTTACAAAGGGCTTTTAAATAGTTCTCATCATTCTTATTGTTATTGTCACAGGTGAACGTCGTGAGAGAAACGTTCCGCTTCTTGCCGAAATGGCCAAAACCATGTTGCCTTGTCACCTCTGTTGGCGATGACGTATCAAAACTTTTCGCCAAAAATTGGACAGAGGGGAACGTTTGTCAACGCGAGAATTGGCCCCTCTAGATTGACTTGACATGAGGAGTCTCTGGAAAACGCTCACAAATCAGCAACATACCTTGCAGTTATTCTCCACTTAAGAGTTTTGAGATATGTCTGTTCAAGTGCATTGATTCCCGAGTCCTGAAAACTTGCAGCCAATACTGCACCAGGTAATAGATTGTGGAGAACAGCAGGGAGTTTGTGCCAGCAGGCCGATTGCCATTCCGTCAAAGCAGCAGATCATTAATTCACAACAGAGCAGCACAGCAAAAAGGTCTGACGCGGTACGAGACCTCATTTCCGTACTGGCACCACGTCCGCATTGTTTATGCGAGCAATGAGCACATTATCATAAATCCCAGCACCACGAGGTAAGACCATAGCCTAAGTGGTCATTAAAAAGTGTGGCGATGCCTTTAAGCATCTTAATTTTTTAGCTCCATGAATGTTAAACTTCAAACTCTTGAGGGCCATTTATTTTCTGTTCTGGTTGCTAATGCTTTGATGACCTTTTGAGTTAACATTTCGCGAGAGTTTTGGTTGTTGCGCAGCAGATTTGTTTGTGGACGTTTGTGACATTTGCTTTCTCGATCCAAATATATACGGATGTGCACAAATCTACGCATGAACATAAATACACACACACACACTCATACTCCTGCCCACATTTATATGGTGTGCAGGCAACCTCCATTTCACTTAGCCTTATAGACTATTCTTCACAGTTTATTACCTAGCCTTATAAACTGCCTTTTTGTGAGCACTCGTGAGAACAGCTCAACACCCTTGTAACAGGGTTGTGTGGTCAGCACCGCTCATGCCAAGCCACCTTTAATTTCCCAGTGCTCATGTTGACCACACCGGTGTAACATATACGGAATCTAGGGGAGTCCCTTGGCTGTGTACTTTGCCACTCCTATTGTGTTTTTGTATCGTTTGTTGTAACTTTCTGATCCGCCCCTACTGGGCATCTGTGAAGAAAAAGAGCTTTGTAGCTCATCGGATTCCTTCTGCAGTCTAAATAAAGATTCTGATTCTGTGTTTGAATTGGCCACCGCAAGGTCACGAGTCAATAACCACTACAATATCAACCTCCATAATACAACGGCAAAGACTCCTGTTGTGGACGTACTTTTGTGCACCTGGGAATCAAGCTTGTGTCGCCAGGATCATAGTGACTTGCACGCCCCACGATGCCACCACTACAGTTACACAGATGTACACTGCACGCGCTCGCACACGGGTGACTAAGAAACTTTCAGTCCCTGAACCTGCAGGGGCAGAGATCCTTGAGAGCAACTTTGCACCTCGTTTTAGTAAAGAAAGGGTTTGAGATTCGGGTATATGACATTCACAATGCGAAATAGTGGCGATGGATGCTTTCATTGACTTGGTGGTACAGTCTGTGCCCCAGTGCCAAGGTGGACACTTGAGTTTGAAGAGAACAACATTTTATAATAGAACATGGCAGATGGCCTTTTGTTCTAAAATATATCTATCATTGCTTGATTTCTGCCGTTACTCTGATCGTGTCAACGTCCTTCACGTTCAGGTCACCAGATAATGTAAGGGGGCACTTGGATTTTTATTATTATTATTATTAATTCCGGTCTGCTTGTGTCTGAAAATGTCCCCTTTTGAAAGGCTGATGCGATTTCTTCTCCCCAGACACACAGGGAGGAGCCCTGACCTTGCGATAGTGTGCTCTGGCAAGGTTACGAGGCTTCAGAAACGGCTTCACGGGAGTAGCCAAAATGTCTGCTGTTGGGATCTGGTGCTCGTATAAGCGAGTGGCGCTGAGATTGAGCACGTTAAGCCATGGGCTCTTGATGTCTCGCTGCAGTCAAATTGCCAGCGTTTTGGCCATGCTACCTCCTGTGCATTTGTGCTCCGTTTTGTGCTGGTGTGTTTTATAGGATAACCTGCCATGTGAATGGATAGGATGATAATATACATTTTTTTTCTCTCTCAACAAGTTACCGGTGTAGTACAAGCATTCATTTGATTTTCCTACGTAAAAGTGCGTGTCCTTACAACGTCTAACCTTGCCATGAGCTACTGTCATGCAATATTTATCATTTGCGCACCGTTTTGAATGGTCACCTGAGGCAGGTGTTGCATCTCATTCCGCATTATAGGTAAATGTGTCAAGTGAATCACTTTAAAAATCATTTGGAGCGTCTTCCTGTTCAATGTTACATACGATGTAAGGGTTTTGTTTGTATGTGGATGACGATTGGCTCTGGTGGTTTGTTTTAAAACTTTTATTTTTATTTTAAATCAGATCTTTACGGTCTTCCTTTCATAACCATCGTCTCCCTTCGAAGATAAACGTTCAGTCTCAGCCTTCTCTCAGTCCTCCTTAAATTAAGATTACCTCCTTACCTCAAACAAGCAATGGGGACGTTTACTTGTCTCCATTGGTGAACCAGAGTTCCTATTGCAAATTCTACATTTCCATGGCAGGGACCAGTCTGTCTATGGGATGACCACCATTGACCTCCCGGAGGAACGTAGAGCCGAGTCAACCCCAACTGAGATGTCAGCTAGCACTGCTGGGCAATCGCTTCTGTAAACGATGAGAAATACCCATCAACAGAATAATAGGCAGGCCCGAAAAGCCGTGAGCTGACACAAACCCAAGCGAAACGTGTAAAAAGCACGCAGTCTTTTTTGTACTATGCAAAATCGTCAGAATTTCCTGAAAAGGTTCATTGTGGTCCACCACTCAGACAAATCACGCAGTCCGCACCAGCACCGTGGATCTTTGCCTGCCATCGTTGACCAGCGGAGAGATGGCCCCCACTGAGTTGTTCTGCAGTGGAGAGCCTCGGCACCCAGCCAGCGTTTTCAACGCTTTACAATGAAGGCATTAGCTCCATCCGTCTGTCCATCCACAATGGGGCTGGGGGGGGGGGGCACGCTCATAATGATTATGCAGTTTGAACGAACCTGCAACATAATTCTAGATTTAAATCTTTCGTGACTGCTAGGATCCATACTCTTTGGTTCTATTGGGTAAAGTCACGTAGGTTATTTTATCTGCAACACAATGTTGCATTGCTATCAGCGACTTATTGCCAAAACATCACCTATTCGTTTTTATAATAGAGTGATACATTCTACATTTTTTGCTTTTAAGGCAGTGCTATGTGCAAAGGTTGCGTTTGTGCACGACTTGCAACGCAGCGTCACCAAGAAGATATTTCAAAAGGGTTTGCTCAAAATGTAAAGGCGCAAACCAAAGCAAAAATAAAACTTGCTTTTTGTCCCGACAGTTGCCCCATCGGCTTCCATGCCACTCGCGAAACGCTTCCCGAAAAAGCGAGAGCGCTTTGGCCAGCGTGACATACTCCACGTGCGTGCTTCAACTTGTTTTTTTTTTCTCGTTTGCCCACGCGACAGCGATGTTCACGACGCGCGGCTCGCTGTCTCGCGGGAGCCAGCGGAGCCCCACGGCGGCGAAGACGGCCGAGCGAACCCCGAGCCAGGAAGTGCCGCCCCCTGCCCCCCCAACGGGCGGGGACAGCCGCGAGTTCGTGTGCAACACCTGGCAGCTGGAGCCCTCGCTCAGGTGAGTGGCGACGACGGGGGCGGAGGCAGGGTAGAGACGCCGCATCTTGCGAAACATCCCGGGGCATTTTACAGCTCCGGCACTTTCCAAGCTGGCAACCACGTGTGCAGGTGGCACGTGGGACCGTTGTAAAAAATCGTTTTTCGTAAAGTCAACAATGCAGCTCCACAATTTACTCGCTCATGCCACTGCTGGTGTGGGCGGTGCCCTCTCGCTTTGTGGGAAGCTCAACACAGCCCCTCTAGAAGGTGTTTTGACCGATACGTCCACACGGGCCAGACGTCTTGGAAGAGGTGCCAGTGCCCACTCTTAACCCCGCCACACGTGACGATCATCGGCTGCGTACTCATTAATATTGCTTGGTAGACAGAGGGGAGGGTGAGTAAATAAACCTGCCCATTGTGTTATCTGGGATGCCGTGAGATGGAATCGAGCAAGCGACCTCTCGGTTGCAAGTCCGGTGTGCTGACCGTTACACCCTGGCAGCATTGGGGGATCACTGTGAATACAATATAACTCCTCAATAAGTATTCCCACAGGGGTACTCAGATTGCTTTTACTGCACGTCGCAGTATAGGATCTGCATTGTCCTGTTGAATGGAGGAGACTAATGAACACGGGAGGAATTCAACTCGACAAAGGAAACGAAAAGTCTTTGCAATGGTGTACAAGGACAGGCCAAGAAAATACCTCGGCGACATTGTTCCCAAAACAGCCTTAGAACAGAAAGATGTGTATAGTATGCTGGGTGAGTAGTAGTCTGTATATATTTATTTATTTTCCGAGGCAGTGATAACGGTGGCACAGCGGTTTTCTGTAATCTATTTGAGAAAGCCTGTTTTAAAGGTTTCCCCCCCTCTCGCCACTTCCCTGCCACCCTAACCATTATCCTTGTGCCTCCCACCTCGTCCACGTTCCACGTTGCCTCTCTTCTTTACCTGTAACCTCCCATGACCATTTCCCCGTAGTTTATTTTCTCTTCTGCTGCACTCGCCCTCCCTCTCCCCTGTGTCACCTCCTCCTCGCTTCCTGTCCTGCTCTGCCCTCTGTCCTGCCTGCCTAATCTCATCTTCTAACACTGACCCTTAACCCGACTGTCTCCCTTTCCTCTGGATTTCTCGTGGACTCCCTCTGTCCTTTCTTCTCTTTCCATTACTCCCAATCAGCCCACTGGCCTCTCCCGCAGTATGCCCCTTATGCATGTAACGTTTACCCACCACCCCGCGTCCCCCCTCCCTGCAGTGAATTATCACGATTCAAGTATCCATATTTTGTTCGGATGTGGAAAGTGTAGCGCCTCTAGTGGCTGCACGTTGTCACATGCAAAAATTACCTACAATAACATATCGTCCGCCGTGATCTACCCACTGCTAGATGAAGGCCTCCTCAAGTTGCCGCCATTTCTCGCAATGAAAGAAAACGCCATTTAGCTGCTGAACATAAACTCCTTTCGTCACTCCATCTCCACGGTTTTGCGTGCCTTTGAGTGTCTTATCACCTCTAGCTTCTGCTGTCCTAAGTCTTGGCCGCCGACCATCATTCCTTATTATTATTATTGTCATGAATATTTTTTTACAGTCAATATTATGTATATCGCTGAATTAAAACATGTTATTTTTCGGTGTATTGGTGCGTCGCTTCTCATTATCACGTTCAGGTTTCCAAAAGCACTTCACCCTGCTATCGTGCAACTTTTTCCTTCAGAAAAAATAATCCACCTTCAATAACTCGTCCAAGGTCTACACACTCCGACATGTTTTTACCGCCAGTCTCCCTCCGACAGATACCAGTTGCAGATTATCCATCGTTCACCAAACAACAACACGTACGATTGCAAAATAACGCACCCTTATAGGTCGTGATGTCGCGAGCGTTAAGCATCGGTGAATGTACCCCGCATCCATCACACGTCTGAATTCCCGACCTCCACCCAGGCTCATCTCGTGGACGGGCCAGAAGATCGACCCCGTTGGCGTGGACTACATCCTGCAGAAGCTGGGCTTCCACCACGCGCGCACCACCATCCCCAAGTGGCTGCAGCGCGGCGTCATGGACCCGCTCGACAAGGTGCTCTCCGTGCTCATCGAGCGCCTCGTGCTGGCGTTGCAGCACGAGCGCGAGCGCAAGGCCTCGTCCAAGGACGAGCACGGCCCGAGCCAGCGCTGAGCTGCCCCGCTCGGTCGCCCGCGCGCCCGCGGCGGCTCGCGTTCGTCCCCCCCCCCCCCCCCCCCACCACCCCCTAGCCGCACCGACATCGCTGGGATGAGCGGGGGAGTGCGGTGGCTGCCGGCGCCGTGCCGCCCCCATCCCCACACCCCACGCTAGGCGTGTGCCGAGTTGGTAATCGTTCTCCTCGTCACGGTAAAGGTTCAGCCCTGCGTTGGCTTGCTCGCATCGCTGTTGACGGAAGGGCCTCCGCAGAAGGCAGCTCTGGAGAGAGCCTCTCTCGTGAAGGCATTTTGGGTCTACTCTTCCACGCCGGCCCAGACGTCATGGGAGATTTTGTCCGAGTGCGATGGCTTTCGAAAGGAAGCCCGGTTTTGTACGAAATGCTGCGCATTTTTAATGGAGCCCACCGCGTACAAACCAGAGACGTTCACAGAACACATTTCCCTCTTCTGTGCTGTGTGGGTTTTGTTATCTCTTCAAGCGACTGTAAAACTTGTAAATTGCATTAAAAAAAGTATCGGCTGCAGCTAGTGATAAAAGGTAGTGGGCACTTAAATAAATAAATGAGAGCCAGTTATTTGCACCATCCATTTATTCGTTTGTTATCCACAGTGGCATGCCCGCAGCCAGCGATTGCGATCGCTGTTTAGAAAAAAAACAGGTACAAAGTTTGTTTTGCGACGATTAAACATGACCCTTGTGTTGTGGTAGCTGTTGGTGACATGAGGAATGTGCTATTTAGTTGGCTGTGGAGTGGTGGTGTCACCACACCAGCTTTATTTATCGCTTTTAATCACACTCACTTGGAATTATTTACAGTTGAGGCCAAAGTAAGAAAGTTAAATTCATGGTAAAACTGGATTAAAACTATAAAACAAGAAAATAAAGTTTAAAAATATTAAAATATAAACTAATGTAAACTCATTGTCCTGTTCTAAGCAAAGCAATTTGTAAATTTGTTGAATTAAAATTAAAGATGCTGTTCTTGTAAAGAAGAAAACATTAATCTTAGATGCTACCTGCCAAATCTCTTCTGTGTACTTGGCACAAACCATCGCGGTAAAATTAGGTGTAGTGTCAATTATATTTTTTACTTTATTCCTAGCTTAACTAATTTGAGTGCACACTTAACGCTTGGCGTGACCAAATGTCCGTGCGGATTGGTACCAGGAGCACCTCTTTAAGCGTTTAATTGCCAACGGGCAGATTTGAGGGTCAGCCGAGGCACAGGCTGTAAAAGCGTAGGAACGCGAATCGCAACCGCCTTGTGGACACGCCATCGGCTCTTTGCCGCCTCGCCGTTGCCCCCACATTGACCCGCACTGCCAGGGAGTGCAGCGGGCCGCGTCAGACGACACGGGGACCGGTACGCTCCGCAGATCCACGCCGACGTGTCGCGTGCGTGATTGAGCCGCTCGGCTTCGCTCAAATACCCAGGAGGGAGGGCAGGTGACCGTGCCTCTCCTGTGACCACGCGGAACGTAAGCTGCTCGCCCCCCGGAGATTATGTGCAGCTTTTTTGGCTCGTCACCAGTCCGCCGCAGCTTTTCCTCGCCCCAGTGTGATGCGACGTTGGCGTAGAGCTGAGATTAAGTCCCCTGTTGCGCTCGGAGGGATCCGCAGTCAATGTTCAGCCACTCCCGTGGCGCCGGGCTGATTAGCAACCGTTGTACATAGCCTGGTCTACGGTTACATTCGTGTGTGTAGTCATCGCACCAGGGAATTGTAATTCATTTGTATGTATGTATGTTGGACTTCGGAGGTATATGCATTTATTATTGTATGCATATGCAGCGTTCGGTATTGACATCGGTGTGTGTGATTGATCTAAAGATGTACCTTCATGGCTGGCTGCGGTTAGAGAGAATATTTCCATAAAAATGTAAAGCCGCTTTTTAATGTGGTCCTAAATAGGCTGCTCATGCTTTCACAACAGCAGGGCGATAATAGGTTCCAAAACAACCAAATAATCCATTAGAACCCCGCTCGCTGTCCCTTGTGGTTATGGAGAAGGCTGTGAGAACACTCGCATCAACTCCTTGGTGTTCGCGCCTTGCTTTTGGCAAGCAGCGACATCTTGATGCCATTGTTTTTCATTTCGTGTTGTTTACCGCCACGCTGCACTGTTGATTAATTTTTCCTGTTGGACTGGTGGCTCGTGCAGTTGTAAATATAGTTGAGTGCAATTCAAGGTTGTTGCTCAAAGTTCGGAAGCTCAAATGTCACGCCATCACGCGAGGAGGAAAGTCACGGTGGCATAACGGCCGCCGTGATTTGAATTCCGTGCAGTTTCCCGTCGGTCACAGAAAGTACAAGAAATGTCACTGCCGCCGCCGCCGCCTTCACCGCAGTCGCGGCCGCCCCTCGCCGCGGTGCCACGGCGTCGACACAACCTGGCTTGGGGTGCGGTGTGGTCGCTGGAACGGCGCAGCGCCGTCAAATAAATAAATGTGGCCATGTGTGCGCCGTGAGATTCGCTCGCGTTTTGTGTACGCTGGCTTGTCGTGCAGGCGCTGAGTAGCCGTCTGGTGTGTTTTCGACTTGAAATGATCGAGGTAGAACGTGAGCTCCTTTAATTCGGTTCCTGATTAAGCTTCAGAGCGAAACTTTGGACATCGTGCCGAACAACTCACGGTACCGCCCGAAATCACGTCGGAGAGCTTACGCGCACCTTGGCCAGCGTGCGATTCTGGCCGCCGAGCCCTGGAGATCACCGTCGGCAATGCCCATCCCTGGGTGAGTCCGCAGCGGGGATTGACAAGTGCCAACGGGAGCACGGGGAATGTTCGAGATGGTATTGTGGGCGTGACTGACTCGGAGGGAGTTGATTGTGCGGGATGCCGTGTGTTGAATCCCGTGTCATCGACATGTAATCGAGACGTTAAATTTAATTTTCCACGTTCGCGTTATGGTGAAGGGCCGTTTGGGAATCTGCGGGGTTTTTTTTGCGTCGGGTTTCTCCCTCTCTCTCTGACTTTGCACAGCTCCCCCAGGGCAGCGTGGGCCCCACCCCCCTCGGATTATGGGCCTGCCTTGCTGTGCGCGTTTACCTGCATCTTCTGCAAAGAGTTCTTTATACCTGTGGTTCTTACATCGCCGTTGCGAACGCGTCATTATTTTATTCTGTTTTCGAGCACATTATTCATCATCTCTCGTGCTTCGGTTGTTTTTAAACTCGGATCCCAATGCGTCCAAAATGTGAACATGCGTTGGAATATCTGTGCTGTTTTTTAGTTCATATAATTGGCACAAAATCACAATGTAACCTTTTTGGTGGTTGTATAGATGGAGAGGTGGAATGGGGGAGGGGTGTGCGCTACAGCGAGAACATAAACCAAACAAGACAAACCCGGAAATATTTACATACACACACACAGGTTACAGCGCTGTAAGTTACTTGGTCATTATATCACGTATGGTTGACAACAATTGCAGGAGTTTTATTCATTTTCTGTATGATGGCTGATTACACAAAGGGGCAGGAGGGGAGGCAGAGCCATGCCCCTGGTGCCTCTTTTCATTTTCCCGAGCGGAACAACATGTGTCTGCACGTCTGAAGGGTCATCAATACCCCTGCGTTCCTCCTTAACCCTCTGCACGTACAGTGAGGGAAAAAAGTATTTGATCCCCTGCTGATTTTGTACGTTTGCTCACTGACAAAGAAATGATCAGTCTATAATTTTAATGGTAGGTTTATTTGAACAGTGAGAGACAGAATAACAACAAAATCCAGAAAAAAACGCATGTCAAAATGTTATAAATTGATTTGCATTTTAATGAGGGAAATAAGTATTTGACCCCCTATGCAAAACATGACTTAGTACTTGGTGGCAAAACCCTTGTTGGCAATCACAGAGGTCAGACGTTTCTTGTAGTTGGCCACCAGGTTTGCACACATCTCAGGAGGGATTTTGTCCCACTCCTCTTTGCAGATCTTCTCCAAGTCATTAAGGTTTCGAGGCTGACGTTTGGCAACTCGAACCTTCAGCTCCCTCAGATTTTCTATGGGATTAAGGTCTGGAGACTGGCTAGGGCCACTCCAGGACCTTAATGTGCTTCTTCTTGAGCCACTCCTTTGTTACCTTGGCCGTGTGTTTTGGGTCATTGTCATGCTGGAATACCCATTCACGACCCATTTTCAATGCCCTGGCTGAGGGAAGGAGGTTATCACCCAAGATTTGACGGTACATGGCCCCGTCCATCGTCCCTTTGATGCGGTGAAGTTGTCCTGTCCCCTTAGCAGAAAAACACCCCCAAAGCATAATGTTTACAACTCCATGTTTGACGGTGGGGACGGTGTTCTTGGGGTCATAGGTAGCATTCCTCCTCCAAAACGGCGAATTGAGTTGATGCCAAAGAGCTCCATTTTGGTCTCATCTGACCACAACACTTTCACCCAGCTGTCCTCTGAATCATTCAGATGTTCATTGGCAAACTTCAGACGGGCATGTATATGTGCTTTCTTGAGCAGGGGGACTTTGCAGGCGCTGCAGGATCTCAGTCCTTCATGGCGTAGTGTGTTACCAATTGTTTTCTTGGTGACTATGGTCCCAGCTGCCTTGAGATGATTGACAAGATCCTCCCGTGTAGTTCTGGGCTGATTCCTCACCGTTCTCATGATCATTGCAACTCCACGAGGTGAGATCTTGCATGGAGCCCCAGGCCGAGGGAGATTGACAGTTATTTTGTGTTTCTTCCATTTGCGAATAATCGCACCAGCTGTTGTCACCGTCTCACCAAGCTGCTTGGCAATGGTCTTGCAGCCCATTCCAGCCTTGTGTAGGTCTACAATCTTGTCCCTGACTTCCTTGGAGAGCTCTTTGGTCTTGGCCATGGTGGAGAGTTTGGAATCTGATTGATTGATTGCTTCTGTGGACAGGTGCCTTTTATACAGGTAACAAGCTGAGATTAGGAGCACTCCCTTTAAGAGTGTGCTCCTAATCTCAGCTCGTTACCTGTATAAAAGACACCTGGGAGCCAGAAATCTTTCTGATTGAGAGGGGGTCAAATATTTATTTCCCTCATTAAAATGCAAATCAATTTATAACATTTTTGACATGCCTTTTTCTGGATTTTGTTGTTGTTATTCTATCTCTCACTGTTCAAATAAACCTACCATTAAAATTATAGACTGAGCATTTCTTTGTCAGTGGGCAAACGTGCAAAATCAGCAGGGGATCAAATACTTTTTTTTTTCCCCTCACTGTATATGATTATACCCCGATGCTCGCTCCTGCTTGTTTCGGAGCAGGCAGGCAGACACGCCGCTGCTATTGAAACGGCATGAAACGGTATCCCCGTGAGCTCCCCCTCTGCGACTCCCCCTCTCCGACTCCCTCTTGGCTCTCAGCTGCCATTAGCTCTCTTGGGTCAAAATTGGTCACACGCTGACTTTTATTCCATGGTGAACCGCCGCGTGGGGTTTAGCAATCGGGCAATCAAAGCGGGGAAACTGTTCCGATGCGTGCCTGACAGCGGACTAACGGAGGAATTCGCAAGCAACTTCCCCTTGGGCGATGTTCACAGGCTCAACGTGCGTGATGAAATTAACTTGCAACTCGCTTGTATATATATTTTTTTATATTTTCGTTTTGTTCATAAGTGGGTGTTTTTTGGTAGGATTTAGTAACACTGTTACTGCCGTGTTTTTTCTAATAGTTCTACTGATTGTTGCCTTTAGCAATGTTAATCATGGGTGGTGACTCGTCAGCTTGAAGTACATGGGAATAAATGAGCCACGGATAAATGAGAGGGACCATCCTATAGACGATGTGCTTACGTCATTTAGTCCTGTTAATTTTTGCTTTAAGCCTCGAGCAAGGAGAAACATGTATATCATAGTGTCACTGCGTTGCGCATTTAAGGAAAGTAGGGGGTTCCCCCCTCCCCCACCTTCCTGTAACCCAGCCTGCATCGGCCTCCATTCTACATACAACGTTTCGCTTTTGCAATACTTCACACACTCGTGGTCAATATTGCGCAGACGTAAGCGCGTGCCATCGAGCACGCGCTCAGAGCTCGGTGACCGGTCCTTTGGGGGTCGGCCGCGAGTCACCCGCTCGGACACTCGCGGCTTTGGTGCGCTCCCGAGCCACCGGGCGGGAGGGCTCGGAGTGTTGTTCATGAGCCGTCGCTTGCGTCGCTTCGGCTGCCGTTTTCTTCGCCCGCGGCCATCGCAGAGTGGCGCTGGCTTCAACCGTGCACTCCCGTGCGTGTGCGTTTCAATTGGCCACTGTTGAATTGTGTGTGTTTTTTTTTTTTAAAACGCCTCGTGCAGCTTTTATGCAACCCTTAAAAAATTTGTTAAATTCCAAAAACTAAATCACACCCGTTGGTTTCTTTAAAGCAAAAAAATACGCACGTGATTAAATAGAGGTTTTATTTTTGGAAGCTTGCGCGTGCGTGTCGAAAAGATGGTCTGGTGCGTGCCTCTTCAATTTAAAACCTAAACGAGATCCCCCCCCCCCCCCCTGCACTGGCGACCCCATAGGGGCCAACGCGAGCGGCGTGCGCGCTACACGTGCCGCCCGTGTCAACCTCCACTGAGCAGAATTGGTGATGAGTCCCCAGCGCTGTGCCCTGTCAGAGGGAGGAGGCAGAGAAGGGACCGCGGCTTCCTCCTCTCGCGACAGTTGGATGGTGGCTCGGGGTTTATCAGAGAGAGTCCCACAGCCACGTGGTGTGACAGCATTTGCTTATTGATTTGTTTGCACGAATGAGCGTTTAGCGTTTTCCTGAGATAAAGCGACAGGTTACGTTGTGGGCACGAATAAATATATTTTTTAAATAACGTTATTCTAGAAGTCGGGCACGGCCAGGTCCACTCGCACTAAACAGAGGACAGCTCGGGTGGGTGAACGCAAGAGGTGAAATGACTTGTAAGCGGCTGTCAAGTCATTCACAGCTGGGACAGGCGAGCACCGCACGAGCTCCCATTGGGCAGACAAGATCTTCAAGACAACTGGCAGGGAGCGAGTACAATATTACTCGTATTAACACCAACTACATGCCCCCCACCCACCCCCAAGTAGTATGTACTCATGCGTCATCTCAACTCCTGGGCGCCTTTGTGGGGGCGTTGGTGTTTGGCATCATTCCGTTTAGAGTTGCGAACAAACACACACACGTGGTAACGCGCACACACGCACGTGGTGGTAACGCGCACACACGCAAACACACACACGTGTGTGTGTGTGCGTGTTTGCGTGTGTGCGCGTTACCACGAGAGTGGTAATAAACAACACTCCGGTACCAGCGCTGCGTTCGTGTTAGGGGCACCCTGCCCTTTCTGTGCATGTAACTAATCACAGTAATATATTACATTGGAATTGATCTGCTCTTAAACCGTAATGATTTATTTTTATTTTGCCAAGACGCTACCTACAATGACTACAGTGGTGGTTGAATGCTTTATGGTTTTGATGTTATTTGCCATGGATGTACGCTTGATACTTTATTTAATTTAGAAACAGCGTTGTCTTTATAAACCCCGATGTGTAGAAACCCCGATGTGTAGAAACCCCGATGCGCGCGGGACAGTGCTGCGAGACTGCTAATACGCTCGGAAAGTAGAACTTCAATATCCTCGTCCCAATTTTAATACAATGTCAGTTTTCTCTCATTTAGAGAGGGTGATTTGAAAGAGCGAGAGAACAAGAGGAGAGGAAAACGTTTTGGGGGGAGTGTGTGCGAGTGCGTGTCTGAGTCTGTGTGTGTGTGAGTGAGTGTGTGAGTCTGTGTGTGAGAGTGTGTGTGAGAGTGAGTGTGTGCGAGTCTGTGTGTGAGAGGGTGTGAGAGTGAGTGAGTGTGTGCGAGTCTGTGTGTGAGAGTGAGTGTGTGCGAGTCTGTGTGTGAGAGTGTGTGAGAGTCTTTGTGTGAGAGTGTGTGAGTCTTTGTGTGAGAGTGAGTGTGTGAGAGAGTGTGAGAGGGTGTGTGAGTCTGTGCGAGTCTGTGTGTGTGTGAGTCTGTGTGTGGGTGAGTCTGTGTGTGTGTGAGTCTGTGTGTGTGAGGGTGAGTGTGTGAGAGTGAGTGTGTGAGAGTACGTGTGAGAGAGTGTGAGAGGGTGTGTGAGTGTGTGAGAGAGTGTGAGAGGGTGTGTGAGTGTGTGAGAGTGAGTGTGTGCGAGTGTGTGAGAGAGTGTGAGAGGGTGTGTAAGAGTGTTTGCCACCACCGCTGTGACGCCTGTGGCGTTGGATGGCAGGTTTTTCGGACCTGGCAAGCGTGCTCGGTGCAATAGCTGTGCCCCAGTGCCCCGTGATGTTTAACATGTTATTAACAGACCAAACCTTGTGATGTGATCGTGCAAAACAATAACAGCGACTGGCGAACAAACAGAGCCGCCGTTCATCACTAACAAAAATGTGAATTGTCAACTTTTGCTGCTTATGGAGCCTTTTTGTAAAAATCATCTCTTTTTTACGATTAAATGTATTTGTTTATTGATATGACTGGTTGTTTCAAATGGGGTAAGCCACTTTGCGTGACTTTTTTAGTCGGACGGGTGCATTGCTTAACTACTGCATTATTGTTTTGTGTTTTGTAATACAATGTGCAATTAATACGGGCCTGTGGTTATGATCTTTGGTGTTAATGTTTCTGAGAAAATAAAATATTCAGACATTACCGACTCTGTTATT